ATACATTGCTTGATGTAACTTGAAATCTAGTTCCATTAAAGCGAAAAGTTTAATACAAGATCGGAACTTAATTTAATCAACAAGAAAAGAAGTCATTCAGAATCTAAGCTTATTAAAACACTTTGCTGGAGGATAACGATAACTTGTGTTCAGTTTCTTTATACAGGTGCTACGTAAGAAAAAAAATCTTGCTGCTAAAACAACTATTTATTCTATAGCTGATTTCAAAGACTGTTTTATTAAATGCCATAGTTTTTGGACATTTTCTGCAAAATGGTGTTTCACATAAAACTGGGGGTTGCTCCTGGGGCACTCCCTCAACTATTTCCGAGATCATGGTCACCGGCATACAGTACGGGGGAAGGGGCTTTATCCAAACATTTTGAAAGTAAGTTGGAACATACCCACAAGATTTTTCAGGTAATTTTATTTCTCTGGGTGCGCCCCCACCAACATACACACTTCGTACCTATTTCATTTTCAAGTTATTTATTGTGATGCTTTTTAAAAATGAAAGTGATTTGTACACTTTTGCGGACTCGACTTCTCATCGGAGATCATCCTTGGATTGGAAAAAGCTCGACATCATAAAAAGTTGGAAAAGAAAGCAAAATCAACAAACCGGTATTTTCAGTTTGTGGTCAGTGATGTAAGGAATATGTCAGCAAATTGAACACACACGGTAAAACGTAAACATTAACAATGACAGAGCTTTGATAATGTTTTTAAACAAGAGGCCCATGGGCCACAACGCTCACCTGAGTAACTTTGGCCCTGCTGTTCTTCACCAGACTTTCCCCCATGTAATACACCTATTGTGGTCCCATCCCATCCCAGGGGTCATGATTTTAACAATTTAGAATCTACACTACCCCAGGATACTTCTACATTAGTTTCAGCTTTTCTGGCCCAGTGGTTCTTGAGAAGAAGATTTTTAAAGATTTTTTCTATATATTTCAATGTAAAACTTGGATTCCCTATTGTGGCCCCGCCCTACCCCCGGGGGTCATGCTTTTAACAATTTATATCTACACTACCCCAGGATACTTCTACATTAGTTTCAGCTTTTCTGGCCCAATGGTTCTTGAGAAGAAGATTTTTAAAGATTGTTTCTATATATTTCAATGTAAAACTTGGATTCCCTATTGTGGCCCCGCCCTACCCCCGCGGGTCATGATTTTAACAATTTAGAATCTACACTACCCCAAGATGCTTCCACATTAGTTTCAGCTTTTCTGGCCCAGTGGTTCTTGAGAAGAAGATTTTTAAAGATTTTTCTTATATATTTCAATGTAAAACTTGGATTCCCTATTGTGGCCCCGCCCTACCCCCGGGGGTCATGCTTTTAACAATTTATATCTACACTACCCCAGGATACTTCTACATTAGTTTCAGCTTTTCTGGCCCAATGGTTCTTGAGAAGAAGATTTTTAAAGATTGTTTCTATATATTTCAATGTAAAACTTGGATTCCCTATTGTGGCCCCGCCCTACCCCCGCGGGTCATGATTTTAACAATTTAGAATCTACACTACCCCAAGATGCTTCCACATTAGTTTCAGCTTTTCTGGCCCAGTGGTTCTTGAGAAGAAGATTTTTAAAGATTTTTCTTATATATTTCAATGTAAAACTTGGATTCCCTATTGTGGCCCCGCCCTACCCCCTGGGGTCATGATTTGAACAATTTAGAATCTACACTACCCCAAGATGCTTCCACATTAGTTTCAGCTTTTCTGGCCCAATGGTTCTTGAGAAGATTTTTAAAGATTTTTTCTATATATTTCTATGTAAAACATTGATTCCACATTGTGGCCCCGCCCTACCCCCGGGGGTCATGATTTGAACAATTTAGAATCTACACTACCCCAGGATGCTTCCATATAAGTTTCAGCTTTACTGGCCCTGTGGTTCTTGAGAAGAAGATTTTTTAACGACCCCACCCTATTTTTGTCTTCTCTTGATTATCTCCCCTTGTGAGGGGACTTGGCCCTTCATTTTAACAATTCAAATTCCCCTTCACCCAAGGATGCTTTGTACCAAGTTTGGTCAAAATTGGCCCAGTGGTTCTTGAGAAGAAGTCAAAAATGTGAAAAGTTTACAGACGGACGGACAGACAGACAGACGGACGGACGGACGACGGACAAAATGTGATCAGAAAAGCTCACTTGAGCCTTCGGCTCAGGTGAGCTAAAAACACGTGTTTGGTGTTTATGAAGAATGGCGTTGTAAATGTGTATCTAGAATTTTAATTAACAAATCTGGATTAAACTGATGCTATCTTTCAAAAAAAAAAAAAAAAGAAGCAATGCAAGAGTGTTCAAGCCCTTTAAAGTTAGGCCAATGATTGATACAGGTACTGCAAATCATGAAATATATGCGACGTATTATTTTCGCGAGATAGTTATTTGGTATTTACAAACGATATAAATGATAAATGAGAAAATTCATCTTTTCCATCATTTAGGATACTAGTAAGTAAATATCATTAATTATCAAAAAACTTCATCTAAAACTTGTGTTCCTGCTAAACTGCAATCTTTGAACTTTGAGTTTAAAGCTGGACACAACTTGTAAATAGGCATACGCCATATTAGTTTTCCTATCTCCGACATCAGCACTTGGGTATACTCTTCGCAATCCTTTCTTGTCACGGGTTCCTGTGGAATGGACTACATGCGTCGTGATTGTTATCTTACATTAAAATGTAACTGTGCTTGCATTTTATTGCAGTTACGTGTATTTGTGTTTGTTTATACTGTAAGACCTGTTAAAGGACTTATCGCATGTTTCTAAACTATTTGAAATCAAAAGCGTAAAACGTTCCTTATAACCACAGTTTATAAATTTTGTGTTTTTGCTGCAGATAAACCGCGGTAATTAACCAATTATTGACTCAAATGAAAACCCCTGAATTAAAAATCTAAGTTAATTAGATAGCGATCACGTGACCCTGTGACGTCAAAGGCGACAATGGCTGATCACCTCTACTGTTAATCTTACTAAAATATACGCGATACAACATGAATATTCTGCATTGTGGACGACCATTTCACTGATGTTATCGATATGAAATTGAATATCCAACCTTATATTTTAAAATTGTCATCAAGAAAAAATCTGAAAAATCTGTTAACATTGTAAAAAATAGCAGCGACGATATCGAAGGAGACGCGGCGAAGACGAAGAAACTCGCCATCACAATACAATTTGATTTGTCATCTTATCACATGTATTAACTTCATTGATTTACAAATTTAATATTATATAACTGTTATTCTTCGTTTTTAGCATAACATTAATTTACTTATGTTTTGTAAAGGATGGCAGTCTTGAAAAATAATTTTCCGATCACGAAACATTCGTCGATAACTCCGTAAATAGTTTATATATTCTCATCTCTCTATCACTGAATTGTCGCCTATGACGTCAGAGCAGTATTTCGCCGAAATCCGACAGAAATATGCATATTGCCGTATCTGAATTTCAACTTTCAATATCTCTTAAAATATGCTTTCAATAACGTTTATTGTATTCAGTATTTTAACAAACAAGGTTGTAGATAATATTTTTCATAAAATCACGATTTTTGAAAGATCATGCGATAAGTCCTTTAAATGATGCAAGTTTCTTTGGCAACTTTCTCTTCTGCCGTGGAAAAAGCACCCAGTTACTTTTTGTCTCTATAGAGAGTTTTTACAATGGCTATGTAGAATAGGTCCGTCCACACCAGTGAAAACCGATTACACTGAACGCAAACCAAGTAGACGGAATATATGGGGTACAGCTAACGGAAAATGCAGAGTAATACGGCGGACATAGATCTCTGCCTTTTACAAATCGTGTTCAGCTTTAAGCTACAGTTACTTCCTTTAAATTTTGTGGAATATAGCAAGGAATGTTCCGAACCAAGAAGAGACGAAAGGGTTGATAGTGCAAAATTAACGCTTAATATCTCAGAAAAATTACCGTACCTACAGGGCAAATAATAATTGTTACACCAAATAAATAAATATACGGTTCTGGACAAAATAAAGAAAAAGCTTCTGTCGTCCGAGGAATGGCAAGGACTGGGGCTTGAATATTCACATCAAAGAAAGAATTTTTCACCAACACAGAATCCCCCAGCCATTGCTCGGACCAAAGTATGCCAATTCTGATGGGTTTGTGAGAACATAATTTGGCGGTTAGGTTCGTAACACTTAACAATGAACACCTACCCCTAACCTTTCAGAAGTATTAAATACACAATTGCGAACTACACCTAAATAAAATATTTAGCAGAGAAATAGATTTTAATAGGTTTAACTTTATACATAACACATAAAAAGATTAAAAGCTCAATTCATAAATGAAACACATGAAAGTTTATATATACTTGTATTTTATGTAACTAATTATACCAATACACTCAATACATAGAATACATATCATATCCTGCAAGTATATAGTGTTCAGTTCTATGGAGACAGACTACGATGTGATATTAAAATTGATTTACCATTTCATAAAATGCCAAAAACCATCTTATGGTCATAAAATGCCAAAAACCATCTTATGGTCAATTAGCCTTCATTACTTATAGCCAATACATTGCCTATTCCTGGACTGTTAGCCCCCCCCCCCCTTTTTCATCTTAGAAACTTGCTTTTTAAATAATTTAAATAAAATTTTCAAATCTGTAAAATGCAAAGCCCTTTACTTTGGCATGATTGAAATACACATAGTTGCACTTTTCTATGAAATAATTTGAGAATGGCTATACACAAAATAAATATGGTGGAGATTATTAACATAAAGTGTTTTAATAAACATTAAGTTATAACTAAGAAATTCAATGTTCTGCCTGATTTGGTACTCCACTTTACACACACACCTTGTAGTTTCTATCTGTGTTAATAATGGGTGCATGCAACTACACTCAGAAACACAATGCTGTTCTATTATGTAAAGAGAATGAATGATCAATCATGTGGAATGTTAATTTCAAAACAGAAAGCAAAATGGACCTGTAAAACGGTTAGTTTATTCAAACTGTAAAAACAAACAAATCAAATATGTTGTAGATATCTTGACTATAACTATATTGCACTGTTAATCATTAAAACAAATCATAAATGTATATATAATAATTATTAGTTTGATTAGTGACACAACACAATAATGCATGCTGGGAAATAAAACAAAATCATGAATATTCATGAGGATATGCAGAAATGACATTGGGAGCTATCATATCATATTAATCAGTGGCAACTGGAAAGTGGCAATTGAAAAGCTTGCTAGTGGTTGATTATGGAATAGCGAAGCATATCCCATAACAGTTTTTTTTTTTTTGCTGCAATAAAAACATGAAATCAAATATCATGACTAGAGATCTATGACTTGGTGTCAAAATACTAGTGACATTACATGATGCAAGAAAAGTGGCCAAATTTGCTTGATATTCCAAATTCCTTTATATTCAAATATTAAGATAATGCCTTTTCAAAACTCTTCTAAACCAAGAGTGTCTCAAGCAAATTCAGTCTGAATGAAATATTTCTCTTAAGATAGGAGAACAAAAATGCAAATGTCCACAATAGATAAAAACCACTTCAGGACGGAGAAGTAAAAATACATGCATATCAAACATTTATGAAAATTAGCTAAGCTAAATTGAGAAAAAAAATAAATCAATTTAAAAAATAATGAAATATCTTTGTCAATTCAACATGTATCAATTTTCAGATTTCTTTTGATGAAGAAATTGACTTCATTGGCAACAAATGAAAAAATTTAAAAGACTATCTAAAGGGAATGTACATAGTTGGAATGGTCTGAGTTCTATAAATATAAAATATGCAATGCTGATTTTGAATCTATTATAAAATCAATTACAGTATTTCATTAAGACAAGATTAGTGGCACACAAGTTAAAAAAAAGCATTTTAGTCTCAGATGGCACCATATTAGTATACATACATGTATGTAACCGTTTCAATGCGTAGGAGTAAATGCTAAATAGAAAGTGTAACATATTAAAAGCACTCCAAAAAAATTAAAAAATTCAAAATTAAACAGGCTATAAAAAAGAAAACATTTTGCCATAAACTTATTTTCCTTATCAAATCTTTGTTGCTTTTTTGGTACAATTAAAATAAGAAGAAACTAAAAGACAAAATAAATTCATAAAAAAAAACCCACAAAAAAATCTAGCACTCCTTCAGTACAATAACCAGTATATTGTGTGCTTTTTGATGGAGTGACTGTAAAATTGTTTACTCTGTAGAGGCTTTTGTCACCAATCCAAGAAAATGAAATATAAACTAATTCCAGGTATCCAAAAATATCAATAGAGGTTTTTTAATATTAAAAACTGGTGGTGAATTCTGGCCCCCACAAAAATAAATGATTTCACAGAATTTATGACTAGGATAGCACATTTTAAAACTTTATAAAATACTGTTGTTCTACATGCTGAATTCAAAATAAATATATAACAATATGACAATGGAATGGTCAAAGGGAATAAATATGTCAAATTCTCTGCAAACTAACAACATACACACAAAACTCTAAAAGCTTATCTCTGCTACAGAGAATAACGAAAATTATCCACCCAAACAGTGACTCGGACAGGACACACAGAGAAGACAAAGCTATTCCCAGATAAACTTATTTTGGAATTTCTACATCAATATTTAAACTGAATTTTTCACCAAATGATTTCTTTTTAAGAAAATGTTAATAGCAATCCTTGAAATCCATTGATTCATACGCTTAAGTAAATGTACACTAATTTGTAGAGAATTCCATTATGTAAAATTTCATTAAAATAAGTTCTAGAAAAATTTTAAAAAGTTAAATTGATACATGTATGTTCAAACATACAAAAAAAAACTTTCAAAGCTGAGAAATATTGTGATTTCTAAGTGTTGTATAGTGTGCACTCAAATACAGTCATGCTCATTCAAACTTTCATAATCTGGATTTTCTTTCATTCAGACTTTGTGTTGATTTTAAATTTCTCTCATTCAGTCTTTTACTGCCTGGACTTTCTTTCATTTATGCTCTATCTATCAATGCTTTCTTCTTGTAGTGGGAAAAAGAGTTTTCTCTCTTGACAAAACTTCTTGTGAATTGGCCAGTCCATCTGTTGACAATATGCACCACAATATCTGAATATTAAATAAAAAGGCAATTCATTAATAACTTTGTGAGATAGAGATCTTTACACTTTACATCATTCTCAAACATTTCTATGCCTTTAAATAACTGTAAACCAACACTCTTAAATGATTTCTTAGCAACAAAGTCTGCAACTTTTATAACAACTTTTGATAAAACTTACCTTTCCTGTTATGGTCAGGCACCAAGATTTAAATATACATTTATAAAATTAAATTTTATTTAGCAGTTCCTCAAAGAGCTAATTTGACATACCTCACTTCTTGACAACGTCCACAGATGCTAAATTCCTTAACTCTCTTCTCCATATTTGTACAGGGAGGGTAGTGGCATTCATAATAAACACATACTTCATCTGAATTGGAAAAAACAATGCTTTATACCATGTATACTTCACATAATTTTGAAGCCAAAACATTCATTTCTAAGTTTATTCATTTCCATAATAGTCATAATATTATATGAGAATTGTGGTGTTCTCTTTTTCTTTTCTTTTTTTTTAATAACAAAACTTACAATATTAATCAGTAATTCATTTTGAATTTCTAACTTACCCTGGTCTACATGAATATTTTCTCCATTGGGACTGAACTGTTTCGTGTAGACATGTGTAGTGGGATAATGCTAAAAGAATTTTAAAGCTTTAACATTCTATTTCTGTGGAGATAATTCAATACATTACCATCTGAATCATTTAAACTATTTTAAAACAAGTAAGTATTCTTTATATGTTAACAAACATATTCAAAGAATTGTGGACCCCCACTTTCAGTGTCTTAGTGGGTGGAATGCAATTATTTATGTCAAACTGTTCCCAACTTGTCTATTTGTCCTGTCTTGTTTGTCCATCATACAAAATAGATTTTTTTTTTAATTAATAAAAGTTATGGCCAAGATTAAAGTTTTTTTTAAAAACTGCATCAAACTTCAAGATCAAGATCATGAGGTCAAATACATAAAACAATCCAAAAGGTCTTGTCACATGTAATGCGGCTATGCCCATGTGAAAAAAATAAGAAAGCCTTGTCTCTTCTAGAGCAAAAGTTACAGCCTAAGTTAAAACTTCAAATAAGTAGGTCAAACTTCTAGGTCAAGTTAATAAGTCAGATATGATGTTTTTTTTTTGAAAGGTGTTGTCACAGGTAATACACATGTCAAATATGAAAGCCTTATCTTCTCTCATTCAGAAGTTATGAGGTTAAACTTCAGGCCAAGGTCACATGGTCAAAAACCATAGTACATTCTGAAAGGCCTTTAGCAGGTAATGCACATGTCAAATATGAACACTCTATCTTTTCTCATTCAAAACTTATCATCAATGTTAATATTTTTAAAAAGTATGTCAAACTTCATGGTCAAAGGGTCAAAAATCATAGCACATTTTGAAAGGCCTTGTCAAACTTAATGCACATGTCAAATATGAACACCCAATCTTCCCTCATTCTAAAGTTATCACTAATGTTAAAATTTTTGAAAAGTAGGTAAAATTTCAAGGTCAACATAATGGGTCAAAAACTATACTATATTTGGAAAGTTCTAGTAACATGCAATGACATGTGAAATATGAAAGCCCCATCTTTTCTTATTCAAAAGTTATGACCAAGGTTTAAATTTTTGTGACAGATGGACTGACGAATGAGAATAAATGTCCCCTCTCTTTCACATAAGCAGGGGACAAATAAAATTTAAAAGGAATACAATATACATGTTATATACATACGGTATATAAAATGCAGCTGTGCCTGTAATAAGTATTTCAGCAATTAAAAGTGTTAATCAAGAGAGAAAGGGATTTCAAGAAATAACTTACACATTCTAAAGGGGCAATTTGGAGCTGTTGGACTGCCATCCAGTACAATGAGTGCTCCCTGTTCTTTGTAGAAGGGAGATCCTCATAAACAAGTTGTGTATCCACAGGAACCAACATGAGGTTCTCCAGGCGATTGTCCACTGTCACCCCATTCTTGTGTACCACCTTCCATCCAGATGCTATACCTCCTCGATGTCTTTCCCTGAAAATATCAGAAATTTAAAAATTCTGTATTCTTCTTTCCATTATTTATACATGTACTAATGAATAAATATATGTAACTATACTGGAAGATGGAAGCTCTCACTAAACATCTTTTAAATAAAGTACATTTAAAGCTCAATATTGTCATCCCTTTGCGTAACTTGTGTAATACATGTAATCTTGATTTATAATTTAATTTTTAGTGCCTTACAGATCAGTCTGAATTATCACTTTCTTAGAAAGGTGCAAGTTAAACCAGTCTTGTCAATGTAGGTCATTAATTAATATTCAATAATATTTTTTGTTCCTTACAGATTCCTATTCATATTTGATTTCAAAATTCATTTTCTGATGAACTACCCCTGACCAATAGGAGTTTGATTTTTCATCAAGTATCAACGAGCTAGGTTGCCACATTCATATGGAAAACCATCCTCTTTAAAAGATTTTAATTAAAGATGTCACATAAACTGTTCAAATAGAACATCATAACATCCTTGTCTATGGCTGTCTAATGATGAAGAAACATTTCACAGCTTGTTAATTTACCTGGAATTTAATGAACAAGCTGAAAATTTAAAATATAAAGGTGACTCGAGATCTCTCAAAGTTCAAGGGACTTTCAAAAACATTTGAGAGATAGAGGTTTTAGAGATTAAAAGGGGGGGGGGGGAAAAATCAGTAATTTCAGTTCAAATCATTATGGTTTTATTGTAATGGGTATGTTTACCAGAATTATTCATGTTGAAAACTCATTCATATTTTACTGATGATTCACTTGCTTTCAAACAACAAAAATAGTATCTTGACTAAATTAGAAAAAAAATAATCTTTCAGTTTCAGTATTTATTTGTAGTATGCTCAGATAGTATTTGGACCTTCCCCTAGTTCACTGGGTCCTACAACTGATTGCTTTGGTACCTCTGTTCAGTTATTGAGTTGGAATTTTGTACAATGGTTGCCTAATTACTGTGATTGTAGAAATACAAAAAATGTTCATAACTTATGAGATATATTATGACATGCCTCTAAATTAAATTCTCAAAATCATCATCTTGTTATCCATGCAAGTCCTAGGTCTTGGGTCAAGAGATCAGGAGTAAATTTGCTTTGTTATTATACTGAAGAAAAAATGGGACCTGAATCTAGGAACTATATATTCTAGTAAAATAATACCTATTGTAGAATTAGACACAGGAGAGATAATCCATGATGAAGCACAAATTTTAGAAGAAACAAAGAAATTTTATTAGATCAAGAACTTTCAGTTGAGAGATCAGAGTTGGAGCCATGTATATAATAATAAATAAATTATAAATAATGTACTTTAGAAATGTTCACTAGGGTTTGAACTTAACATTCCACCAGGTATATGCAGGCATATTTTTCATGTTTAATGATTTTTAAAATGATCATTTCTGTAATCAAAATCTGATGTTACACCACAAAGCAATTACTTTGTAGCATGTCTACTGATCATTTTCTTCCATGTTTTTACAGCAACTGAAAATTTAACTACTGAACCACCACTCACAAGTAAACAGCAGTTTAATTAACAATCTCTCAAGCCTGGGCCATTATCTCGATTGATCTATGACAATCCACTCTAACACACAGAGGAAGAGAAGGCTAAATGCTTATTGATTCTACACAGGAGTGTCTCCAATAATCTTAATTGATTAAAACAAAGTGTTTTCTGTATACAGCTTATGAACAAACTGCTGCACAAACACCCCTAGATGAACCAGTCTCATCGTTTAAGACTGTTATTATATTTTTTTTTTTAGATACAATGAAACAGTATCAGATTATGGGAAGTAAAACAATCTTTCCTAAATAAGCTATTTCTTGTGCACATACAAATTAGGATGTGTTTACACGAGTCAATTTGTAATTCTCAACTAAAAAGCTGCCAATTCAGTCTATACACACTTCTAATAACCAGCTAGATACATGTTTAAAGAAGTGCTAGTCATATTGTTCAAATTCCTTTCCATGAGATTAAGCATTTTCCCCCCTTCTAAATGTATCAGATTTAAGTGACTGTTTTGTCATTTAGTTTATCTGCTGTCTTGTTTATCTCTTCTTCAGTATGTATATACATGTACATGTATATATATATGAACTTTAATTCTTAACATGATGCTGGTATGACTGTAAAATTTCATTGGGGCTCTTTCTTGCAAACAAAATTTCCTGGATTATAGTTTCTATTATCTGCAAGGCATAGAACATCCTATATATGTACACTGACAGTCATTGTATACAAAGAAGATTATATCAAGGAAGAAGGAACTTGTGCTACTGATGTAATACACATGTATACTGACTGATCCATTTCATTTAGAGACACTGTTATCTTGCAGTGTCCAATACCTCATCACATCCATATATAACAGTATTTACTAACACTGATTCATTTTGTGTTGTGTAAATTTTTAGCCCTGTCACCACTAACCTACTGATATTTAATGTACATATGTTCATGTATATATGCTTAATTAAGAGGCCCAAGGCCCTTGACAGTCACCTGAATATCACCTTTTTTACAGGACCTTTTTTCCTTCTTGTTTTACAATTATTCCCAATGGCAAATCTTAAATTGCCTTTTTTCCTTGTCGCCATTGAAAAACTTCACAATTTAAAACAGAGAGCAAAGCATGGTGGAAAACTCAATTAAAGCTATATTAAGAAAACAAATCAAAATAATACCAGAGTTTTTGTTTGTGATGAGCTATGTTTGTAAAATACAGCGGCATTATGATTTTATTTTAACAGTGATCCACCAATTAGCATTCTATTTGAAATACATTCACAATGTTAAGATAAATTTTCCAATACCATAGCTAATGCACCATCTTCCATAATTGGCAATGTAACTTTTTTTAAATCAAAAAATATGTTTAACTGTGGTAACACTGTGCCACAATAATGCCCTGTTCACATGGAGAGTTTAATTCGCAGTAAATTAATGCGAAGTAAACTAATGCGAATGAAACTAATGCGAATTAAATTGCGTTCACACGACAGCTAATGTGAAGTAAACTAATGCGAATTAAATTTTTATTTCTACAATAAGGCTATTCAGTAAGGCTATTATGACGTCATTTTGCGAATCACGTCACATTGTGCCGAGCAGATACATTTGACCACTGATTTGACATAATGTCATAGTGTCTGTACACATTTTAGTGATTATCATAATTTTCCTTGTTTTCCACTCAAAAATAGCACAAGTACCTATATCTGACCATCGACATGTGGCCTGTGACTTAATGCTGCCCTTACGCATGCGTCAAAATTTAATTCGAATTAGCTTCGCTTAGCGTTCACACGGAGCTAATGCGAAGTAATTTAATGCGCAGTAAATTAATTCGAATTAAACTAATTCGCATTAAATTCTCCGTGTGAACGCGATTCAAATTTAATTCGCAGTAACTTACGTTTAATTCGAATTAAACTCTCCGTGTGAACAGGGCATTAAATTTGAAATGATGGAGAACCCTGTTATCACATCTCAACTTCTATTGTACATCATTCAAAGCAACCATTTAATATTATACATGTACTAATAAATATTACCATAGGAAATCATGTAGAAATCGCCCCGATTCCTTCCCTTTCAATAAATTGTATGTGTAAGCAAAGATATTGGCACCATTTCCATCTGGATCAACTTCAACTCTGGCCTGAAAAAAAGAAAGAAATTTTTAAATACTGTAATTATAAACATCCTATCTTTTTTTACTAGCATGTACAAGTTTGTGAATTAAATAAATCTGGCTCATAGCTGAAAGGTTTTCACAAACTAAATATCATTTAATTTTATTGTGGCCCATTCTACCCAATGCATCATGATTTGAATATATTTTGAATACACTACGTAATGAAGCTTTCCTACAAGTTTAAACCTTTGAGGCCCAGTGGTTTTTGAGAAGGTGCGAATAAAATTTTCAACATTTCTTAATTATCTCCCCATGAAAGATAACATGGCCCTTCCTTTGTATAAACTTCAATCCCTTTCACTCAAGAATGCTTTCTGACAAGTTTGGTTGAAACTGGCCCAATGGTTCTGCAGAAAAAGATGAAACTGTGAAAAGTTTACTACAAAAAAACAACCGACAAGACATATTTTGATAAGAAATGCCCACTTGAGCCTCAAGTGAGCTAAAAAAGACTATTTTGAATTTGAACTGACTGTTTTAAGTCATTATTTCGAACTTGATGGGACCAAGAAAATACTTTCGATATCTGAGGGTTTGAGATATCCAGGTTAAAATACTTAAGAAATAAGAGCATGGGACTTTAAAATCACTTTGACATATCCATGGTATTCGAGATATCCATGTTTGAGATACTGAAGTTCAACTGTATATATGTTTTTGTATTACTTAGACATATCATTTCACACAGTTTTATAATGATTTGAAATAACTGTTCTGAATTTTTTTGTGAAAATGCAACTTCTCCCCGACAGACAGGAGTACAGACAATGAACACAGTGTTCCCTGTGTGTCTACCATCCTATGCAGAAGACATAAAAACATTATATAAACTATAGGTACTGAGTGAGCTTACAAAATAATACCCTCCTTCTGCAGTTTTTTTTTAAAAGTGTGCCCTTTCAAAAGGATGATGTGACATAACTGCTATCTGGGGCCCCTTTTTCTACGACGAATTATATTTAATCTACAACGAATTTGATAGTTTTCAAACATGAGTGAATAAATACAACGCCTTTTGAATAGTTGAAATAGTTCCGACACATTTTTAATTATAAAGATTACTGCATTATCTATGATTTTTCAGACCCTATGACAGCAAAATTCGGCCTGGTTTGTGACAATATGTTCTTTCATGAAAAGAGAATAGGCGGGTCTTAGTACAATAGAGGGATATGCATGTCCGAGGAATCTACCTTATATGGCTATTGTTATTATTTCGCACATAGTCGCTTACCGAGAACAATTGTCCAATCCGATGACAGAACGACAAAACATGCTGGTTTACTACATGTTTACATTTTATCACAGGCACGTGGTTTAGGTCAATTTACACATTACCTCTACTACATTTCAATTTTTTAATGGTCAGCCAAGACTAGTTATACAAAATAATACGCATGGAACCTCAGTGTTTACCGTTTTTGGTTAAGAAATGCACATTAAACTTCTATTCACTGATTCTCGGGAATACGTGTAGACCTAGCGAATTGCCCATCAAACGCTTTACAAACTTTGAACTATGTATATTTATAAATCAACTGTTTGTAATGTGAGCTGGGAAATTGTAGATCCGTGTCTAATTTCTGACTCAAATGCATAAAAAAATTGTTTATCGGAAAGCAAGTAAAAAACCACCTTTCTTCCAAGCATAAAATGTCCTTAGTATTTTTGTGGTACTCACTAGTAATGCAACTCATTTAGCTGATTGGTCAGTTAGAAAGTATCGCCAGTGCCTCGATTTGCATATGAATTTATTCTTACGTCAGAAAAAATAGTTTCTTCGATCTGGTCATAATGGGAAAGGCCAGCTAGATTTTAAAATTTTTTTAAAAACAGCATGTGAGCGCAGTTAGGTACATTTTTCTCCTTTCACATATAGGTAGATTTCAATAAAATACAGTGATCAGCCAAAGGAGAAAAATGTACCTACTTGCGCTCGTATATTTTAAGGGGTTCAAAGAGTGGGGCGGGGCCAAAATTCAATGGGAATTGGATGTAAACATGGTACTCCTACTCAGAATAAAGACATATATCTTCCAAATTATGTTTCTATTTTCGGTAAAAGTAGTATTTTATGAGGGTAAACATGTCAGTGATTAAGTGCATGCAAAAATTAGAGTAAAATTTATATATTTAAATTTTTGTCAATTTACCGGGGGCCGTATGTCACATCATCCTTTGCAAATGTAAACTTGAACTTACCAAAAACACCTTGGTTAAAAAATGACTTATCCTCTGGTCACAAGTAACCTTTTGATGATAATATGGACATCCAATATTTCTCCATTAAACAATTGGAGACCTGTCATGAATCTAACACTTTTTATACCAGTGAAACTTGTCACAATGAGCAAAGGTCAAGGTTATGACATATCCTAAGGTCATAAACAATCTCTTTACCAAACATGAGCTTCCAATGATTCTCCAATACAAAGTTATAGCCCAGACAAGAATTTTATACTTTTTCTGTCAGTGACCTTGAAAATATCAGAATGACTATGGGTCAAAGTCATGACAAATAAACAATCTCTGTACCAAATATGAGCTCACAAAGATTCTCAATTACAAAGTTTTAGCCCGAACAGAATTGCAGACAGACAAAGTGATTCCTATAAATCCCCCTAAACTTGTTTGCGGGGGCTATAAAAACGTTATCACTCCAAATCATCCCTACTATAAAATTTCCAACCTTTGCATATGAACAGATTCTATTAATTTTGCCAAGACTGAAGTATGAACAATTTCCTAGCTGATTCAAGAATTGCATTGATTGGATCCTAGTAACAAACACTGCTATTTATTCTGGATTTAAAACCTTGATAAAAAAAAAAAAACACCAACCAATCTATCTGTTCGAACAGGGGCTTTAAGATTTACTGTACAATATCTTAAGCTTATTCTATTATGAAAAAGAAAATTGCCACCACCCCCCCTTAAAAGTGAAAAAGTGGTATTTGATATAATATCTCTTACCTCAAATGCATACTGGTTGATGAGACCTATATCTCTTTCATCAAGAAGTGCAAATTTTACCTGTATGTATAAAAAAAAAACATTAAAAAAAACATACTCAGTAGATAGGAAATTAAATCACTGCCTTGCAAGTAATGTCAGGAAATGTTATTTGATTAATTAATATTCAAATGATATTTCTGCTATTTTCTGTCAACTTTGCTTTGCACCTCATAACCTTAATAAACTGAAAACCTAAATGGAATAATTTTTAAAGATCGAAAGTAAACATAATTCCTTTACAAACTTTTACTTCCCATTTTCTCTTTCTAATGATGAATGTTACAGTACATGTATATACCAACAGTGTATATACAAAATGTATGTCTAATGTAGGTTTATGAACATTTATCAACAATGAAGTACAATCATCAGTGCTTACAACCCCTAATTTATCTTCAAGTATTAACAACCTTTTATGTCTTGTTAACAGTTTATCATGTAGTTCATGCATAATAGTGACAGCATCATTAGCACCATCAAAAACACATCATGTAGGAGTTAATAAATCATGCCTCCTACAATCAAGGAAAGTGGGACATGTATAGGTATAGGTATACTTCATTAAAATACTACAAGTATGCAGGCTTTTCAAAATCTGCTGGTACCTAGAACTTTTACCCGGCTGAAATCATGACTGTACTGGTCAAAATATTCCTTGGAGAAAAATGTGATAATATATATTTAATTAAAATCACTTCTACATGGTACCTCCTATTTTTGTAAAAGTACCACCTGCTTCTAATCTTTTTGAAAGCCCTAGTGGTTATATATTGTATTTACTGATATCATCTTCATAATTAACATGATTAAGGTTATACTAAGATTAACCTCCTGAACACACTGAGGGTAATAAAAACTCTTCTGTACATATACATGATATAGGTATATCTCAAATGAGCACATCAGACTGACTCTTTAATCATTATTCACTGCGACCTTATAATTTTATAAGACTAACACTTCATGTTCTATACACAAGTGTATTGAAACTGCAACATGTGAGGTTTAAATCAATTTTAAGTTTATCACTGTAAAAAAAAAAAAAAAATCAAAAACCAATTTAAACCACCTGAATATAATCATTAATAATTATTTTTTCGTTCTTATTTTATTTAACTTTGTCTGGAGGGTAACAACACATGAACCATACACGTTATCTATGAATGTCTGCGAGGTTGTCCTACACCTGTTGGACAATATCAATAATTCACCATCTTTATCAGGAAATGGGGTTTTAGATAAATTAACAATGGACACAGATTAAGTCTCATGTTATATCATCTGACCCACCATTAATAAGCTTGCTTTAGATAAGATGTAATCCCCACATAGTGTTATTAAACACAATCAACAGTACTTGTACTTGGGCTTATTTTGTACATTCTAGTGATACATGCTCTTTTTCCAAGTTTATTTATCAAATAAATTTCTTATCAGCCCTGTCTGATACACTGTTTAAAAAAATTCACAAGATCAGAATTTGATTGTCACTGAGATGCATACAACTATATCCTCTTTCGAAAGTGCTCTAAGATTTAACTGTAAAAATAAAAATAAAATAAATCAAAGCATACTACTTCTTTCAAATGTTTAAGCCTGATCATCTCAATTTGACAATTTGAACATTTTACATTGTCACAGCAGTGTGTGCAAGCAAGAACATATTTTCTGGAGAAAATTGTCACCTAACAAAAGCGATTGTTTGGTGTATAGAAAGTCCTCCCTTGTTTAATGGGCTGGTAGATTTTTGTTGGCAATATCATTTAATCTGTCGATATATTGTATCTGAAGTGCAGTGAACAGATCCAAGTTAGACTTTTAAAACAAGCAGAATTTAACACTGCCCTGTAGAATACAATAGAAACTCCATTACGGTGTAATAAGTGCCCTAGGAAAGTAAATACTCTCTAGAGATCAAATTTATTTTCACATTGTTAAATTTTTAAATTGTTCCTTTCATTTTTGTAAACATTTAAATTTGGCAGATTTTTAATCAATATTTTCATTACTATCTACAATTTTGCATTTCTTAGTAATTTAGTTTGAGATCCACAGAAAATAAACTATTAATATTTTTAATGAAAAATTCTGAAAATGAATGTTGCTATGAAATTCAAAAATGCTGGTTCCCTATTCCCACTTATTTATCAATCCAATGCAGACATTTTACAAATTGCTCTAACATTAAATGTAATTATGCCCTTATGTGAAAAGTGGCAGATGTTTTTCCCTAGGTTTCAGTATACTGTTAAGCCCCTATACACCACAGTCCATTATGTTGCATTATGTGAGCTGTAGATGTAAACAGGGGCAGCTGTCACCATATGCCAACTGCTAAATAACAGAAAGGCCATTTTTTTCAATTTTGTCGATCAGCTGTTACAAATAAGGCCATTTGTGCTAAAAGACTTAAGCCATTATGAACAAAGTAATATCCATGTTTAGATACCATTTGAACTTTCAATCCTCCCCCTTCCATTTCCCCAATTTTTCTGTAATTTAAGGGAAAAAGAGAAAATTCAAATGATACAACTAAATTTTAGGTTTAACTACATATGCTTCAAACTAAGTTTTGTTTTTTTCTTGAAATTTAATTAAACTGCAATAAATATCTATATTGAGGCTTCATTTGTGTCTGAAACAAAGTGTATGACTGAAAATATTTCAAAAGAATTCAGACACTCTCATACAGACTTTAAATCTACTGAAATATGATTTTTAAAACTTTGCAAAATAATTAAGTTTAAATGGCACCTGCAATTCAGCAATTTGTGATTTTCTTAAGTTAGTCAAAGCCAGTCAATCTAATTTCAGTAAGCCTACTTTTGCGAATGACTTTATGCTTTTAACTTCAACAAAATGTTTTTATGACAGTAAATTCTGTTGCTGAGATGGCACAACAATTAATTATGCAAATGTTTCTCTTCTTCATCTGGCCAGGCCGATGTGACAATACTGAATCAAACACCAACATCTGCCATAAAATAACACTTTGTTTCCATTCATATCAAAGGACTGTTTAAAAGAAACAGTGAGTAAAATGATCTCTGGAAGGGAATCAATTACTCAATATAAATTTCGATGTATTGACTAAATGAAATGCATGCGCCATGTTGTTTACTTTCACCACAGGCGCTCTTCACAATCTGTAGTAAATTTCTCACCTTTCCCGCGGCTTTTCCTAAACTAACGATTCCTAACTTTTGACCAGACATTGTTAGGTTAATCCTCTGTTGCCGAGAATCTCCCTGGTCCTGATCTTTCTGCCGTGTGCAGAACAACGTGCGTCTGTCACACCGACTCCATTCTCCCTTTCAGCTATTGTTATCGTCGATGTACCACGTGCAAACAAAACGCATTTTCCCTCCAATGAGAGGTCCGCGATTTACCGTTCCAGTCGAGGTCAGAGGTTATGTTTACATTCTACACGTGACAAATGGGTCGCGTAAGTTTGTCTCGCAGAAAAAACCAAAATCACTAATAGGAATTTCCGCAAAGACGTTATTTAATGTTCATGTTTATAATCTTTGAGTCTTAGAAATAAAGAGGGGAAATGTAGAACGTGTAAAATATTTGCAGAAATTGTACAAACATAAAAACAATCTCAAGTTGTTTCATCATTTTTATTAATCCATGTGTTAAAGTCATTCCTAAACACATTTTTTGTTAAAATATAAATGGCAAGTAAAAATATAGTTTATTCAAACCATTGTCATCATGCAGCGTCCTACATAAGTAGGTCGACAGATCCCTGGTGACATAATTATATTAAACAACAATCACACGAGGGTAAAGTTATTTATAATAGGTTTTATCTCCCAATCCTCATTGAATTTCTTTAATAAAATATATTTTAATTGTATATATATACTGTAGTATACATATGTTGATATTCACAATGTTTCCAGCATTTTCCCAAGCAAATTTAATAGATATGAATCCATCAATCTTATTAAGTTCCCTCACAGTGACCCAGAATTTGGGAGATATGTAAGAAAATGTTGTATGTAAAAGAACATTATATACAAATAATATCACACAATATATCACGAATGAATGAATTACCTAACATGCAGCACTAATTAACAGTTTATTTACCCGGCCAACAGAAATAGTTTAAGCATTGCTCTTACTATAGTTCTTAAGGATAACACATAAACATGTATCTTCCATATAAACTATTATTGCCACTTATTAAATTCAAAATAAACAGAACATCATGAAGAACTTTCTTGAACTCTTTTAAATGTACTACCGTATAACGGGTATTTTCTGCGGTTGGAAATTTTTGCGATTTAACCCCTAAAAGATAGCAAATTAATTTCTGCGTTTTCAATTTCTGCGGTTGCATTATACCGCAAAAAATTATTTACTGGGTATGATCACCAAACTTTAAGAATTATCTGATAGCTGCCATGTTTACGTTTCATAAATTCATTGAGACAAATTGATCAAAGGTGCATGAGAACTGGTATTAAGCTATTAAGCTTAATTAAACTACTATCTTTTAGTTAGTCTTTGTAAAGTTATGTCGAGTCCCCATTGAAATGAATTATTACAGTATCAGTCCACCCAAACAACAATAAAAATCTTTATTCTACATTGTAACAAACATTTTATGTGATCTATTAAAATATTTAAATATATAGATAATTAATGCATCCAAGCCATATTCTAAAAATACACTTATAGTTAATTGCCATCAAAATTAACCTGGTATTTATATTTTAAGCTCAAACAAACAGTTGCATAATCAAGTAACCTAAAGTTGACCGTATACAATCACAGGTGCCATGTGCAATGAGGCGTAACTAATCCTGTCAGTCGTCTGCATTGAGTGAAATTCACGAGACAATCAAGCCACATTGTGTATAAAGCAGTAATTATGGTCTCAAGATAAAACACAAGATTGAAAAAAAGTGTTAAAGAAAGAAAGAAAAGCTAATATGTGTTGTTTGCACCTATCGGAGTTTGGACTAATAATTGCAAAACTCTTTTAGTCATTTACTTGTACATGTTTATCCGTATAAAATAAAGAAATAGGTACAAGAAAAGATGTTTTTGTATAAAATTATTAAATTGATATTATTTACAGGAACGTTTTGATTCAATATGTTTTGGACAAATCCTGACATCTAAAATCTTCGAATTTCGATGACACCCGAATTTTCTCGCTAACGAGGACTTGTCCACTCATGAGTCTGCGGACGCATCGTTTTTAAGAAGGTTGCGTCCCAAATAATTTCGCTGCGTCCAGTACGCAGGTTCTTGCGTTAATGAGAATCCTGTGACATACGCACAACTTATCATACTTGCATGTATAAATATATATCTGAAGAAATATTGAAAAATATTTTGCGATTGTAATTTTTGCGGATTTGTCCTATCCGCAAAATTCCGCAAAAATTGGACAACCGCAGAAAATACCCGTTATACGGTATGTACTAATATAGACTTAAAAGTCAAGAAATTGACTTTAAAAAAGAGAACAATTAAATTTACGCGTATTTTTATTTTTATGCCCCCGGATCGGAAGATCCCGGGGGTATATTGTTTTTGTCCTGTCTGTCTGTTTGTCTGTTGTCAACATTAACCTTGCCCATAACTTTTGATTGGTTGGAGCTATGACTTTCATATTTCACATGTGTATTCCTTGTGACAAGACCTTTCTTTGGGTACCATCATATTTGACCTTTTGACCTTGACCTTGGAGTTTGACCCATTTTTGCAAAATTTTATGAGACTTTAACCTTGGCCATAACTTCTGAACCGTTGGTGCTTGGGGTTTCAAACTTCACATGTGTATTCTTTGTGACAAGGCCTTCCTTTGGATACCAACAACTTTAACCTTTTGACCTTGACCTTGGAGTTTGACCTACTTTTAAAAAACTTTAACCTTGGCCATAACTTTTGAACAGTTGGTGCTTAGGGTTTCAAACTTCACATGTGTATTCCTTGTGACAAGACCTTCCTCTGGATATCAACCACTTTGACCCTTTGACCTTGACCTAGGAGTTTGACCTACTTTTGAAAAACTTTAACCTTGGCCATAACTTTTGAATGGTTGGAGCTAGGGCTTTCATACCTCACATATGTAATCCTTGCGACAAGACCTTCCTTTGGATACCAACCACCACTCTGACCTTTTGACCTTGACCTAGGAGTTTGACCTACTTTTGAAAAACTTTAACCTTGGCCATAACGTTTGAATGGTTGAAGCTAGGGCTTTCATACTTCACATATGTTATCCTTGTGACAAGACCTTCCTTTGGATACCAACCACTTTGACCCTTTGACCTTGACCTAGGAGTTTGACCTACTTTTGAAAAACTTTAACCTTGGCCATAACTTTTGAATGGTTGGTGCTAGGGCTTTCATACTTCACATATGTAATCCTTGTGACAAGATCTTCCTTTGGATACCAACCACTTTGACCTTGACCTTGACGTTCGACTTTTATTTAAAAAACTTTAACCTCCATAACTTTTGAACAGTTGTATCTAGGTCTTTCAAATTTTACAGGTGTATTCCTCGAGACAAGACCTTTCTTTGGGTATCAACATTTTTTATCTTTTGGCCTGGATTTTGACTTGCATTTGAAGAAACTTTAACCTTCGCCATAAGCTGCCATACGGGGGCATCAGTGTTCACAAACACATCTTGTTTTTTTCCTACTACAGGTAACCAATTACAGATTTTCTAACCCATTACCATCGTTCCGACTGAGTAACCAGTTAATCTGTTACAAATTGCCATCCCTAATATATACATATATATAAACCCATTACTCAAGAAAATGTTGCGATTACAGAAATTGAATTTGTTGAAACTACAAAACACAATTGTGTTTGGAATTTTTAAACTAAATCAATGTATATTGATGAAGTACTAAGCTGTAGCTCTCTGGGAAATGAATTTTGACAGACATACCATGTACAGAGCTAAAGATTCATTCTTTCAAAAATCCTTCAGTTTCTGCAATACTTTTGTAGCAAGCTTTATATGCTTAGTCTAGTAAATATTATTTTTCACATTATATGCATTCCCTAGCCTAGCTAAAGCATGGTTCCTGAGATAAATTAAACTCACATTTTTTTTTATTTCTACCCTAAGCTTGTTATTACTTCATTTACTTTTCAACAGTTCCAAATGTAAATAGTTGTGAAAGTATAAAAATGTGAAACGTGAGTTAGACAGTGATGTAGCTAGGCAAAAATAATGTGTATGCTTTCTGGCTGCAAGGGATCTGGGGCTGCATTAACAACGCATCCCCCTCCCCACCCCACCAGCAGGTCTAAGGGGACTGAGAAGCCCCAGGTAGCATCCACAGAAATTGACAATATTTAGGAGTGCAAGTTTGAGTCTCAGAATGTGCAGTACGTCTGGAAATAATATAAAACAAAGTATCTTTGAATAATAAAAAAATTTATCGAAACAATTTCTTTCTTCAAAGAATTTTGTATTAATTTATTTATTATTTAAAAAAAAACATGGATGCTTTGGCATATAGGTGTATATGGTAGCTATGCCACTGTTAGAAAAATGTTCCTTTATATCAGTGGAACGGATGTGTCATTATAAATCCAGAGGGCCAATTGAACAGTTGAAAAGGAAATAAAGTAACAAAACAGTTGTGTCGTAAATAGGTTTTATTTTTGAATGGGTGGATCTGTAGGTCTAGCTGACTGGTATGTCTATCTGATTTTATTGCCCAGAGAGCTATACAGTTTTTCAGCAGTGTGACTTCTGTGCTAAAAATCAAAACCTCATCAGACCAAAGTTCTAGTGCTGATAAAAACTCACACAAAATACTACAAAATTCAACACCAATCAGCTAGGCCAAAATAATCTCAGATTGTCCTCTGTACGTATCAAAGTAATGATGATGTATTTTACAATGAATATCACAACAGTATAAAATACAATCACACAAACACACAAAAATAAATCATCACCTTTGAGGTTACATTAATACTATAAAATCATAATATTTGTCATTCAGGTAATATGTTAGATGGATGTTCAATACATTTAAACTGAATACAAAGAGAAGAAAAGGAAACACTCCATCTGAAAATGAATTCCAGTCAGCATAAACCCCTAAGAGAGGTCATGAAGAGCAGTAACATGTAACACTTAATGAAACAAGAACACCACATATACCCAGTACATGCATCCTTGAACCTTTAAATTACATGTATATGAACTCAAAAAGAGAATTATGGCAATTCATGATATGAAAACATTTAGTCAGATCCATTTTGTTTAAGATATTACTCTATTACAGTCAAGCCTTGTTAATACTTGGGTTCTGAAGCAAATTGTTCAGATTAATGAAGTGTCTGGATTTATTAAATGTTCCTTTTCATAATTGGTTGATATAAATGTAAATTCTGTTCCCCACAAATTTCATGCAGAATGTGAAGTGACTAGGATTACAAAGGCTTGACTGTATAAAGGATTTGACTGGTAAAACTATATTTTGAAGATTTAAACTCTATAAATCTATGAGTTTTGGCATTAAAACTGTCCTGTCTGGTGCAGAGAAAAATCGTCAGGAGACAGCTGGAGCGAGATAATGCCTGAATTAAAGCTGGATACACATAAACTGAAAACAAAAAAGTTTATATCGTTACATACCAAAAAAAAAAAAAAAATTTATATTATCTCATAAATGCCTACAAATTGTATGAATTTACAATAAGTTAAGGTTGACAGTTTGATAGTGACTGTACCTGAGATCATCATAACAGATAATGGACGTAAGCGGTCCAGATCCAGCAACAGGGAAACAGGTCAGGCACTCTGTAAGGACCAGAATAAACATAAACATTACAAAAATTGTCACTCTGTAAGGACCAGAATAAAGATAAACATTACAAAACTTTTACTCTGTAGGACCAGAATAAACATAAACATTACAAAAATTGTCACTCTGTAAGGACCAGAATAAAGATAAACATTACAAAACTTTTACTCTGTAGGACCAGAATAAACATAAACATTACAAAAATTGTCACTCTGTAAGGACCAGAATAAAGATAAACATTACAAAACTTTTACTCTGAAGGACCAGAATAAACATAAACATTACAAAACTTGTTACTCTGTAAGGACCAGAATAAACATAAACATTACAAAATATTTCACTCTGTGGGACCAGAATAAAGATAAACATTACAAAATATTTCACTCTGTGGGACCAGAATAATCAACATTAAAAAACCTGTCACTCTGAAGGACCAGAATAAACATAAAAATTACAAAACTTTCACTCTGTAGGACCAGAATAAAGATAAACATTACAAAACTTTCACTCTGTAGGTCAGCATAAACATTATAAAACTTTCACTCTGTAGGACCAGAATAAATATAAACAGAAAAGAAAAACATAAACATTACACAACTTTCACTCTGAAGGACCAGAATAAACATAAACATTATGAATCATGTCATTCTGTAGGACCAGAATAAACATTACAAAACATGTCACTCTGTAGGACCAAAATAAACATAAACATTTCAAAATATGTCATTCTGTAGGACCAGAATAAACATTACAAAACATGTCATTTTGTAGGACCACAATAAACATAAGCATTACAGAACTTGTCAGTAATACTCTGTAGGACCAGAATACTGTAAAATCCTGTATTTATGTGGGGTGAAATTTTAAAAGTTTGAGGAAAACATATTGGTTTTTGAGGATTTGATTTTGTGGTTGAAGAAGTGTTGAGTTGTTAAGCATTTGAAATATTCCATTTCGTAGAGGACATAAATTCATGGGCCTTTCCATACTTTGAAAACAAAGATTAAACTCCCTCAAAAATTAGTGATTTCACAGTAAACATAAACATTACAAAACTTATCATTCTGTTGGACCAGAATAAACATTAACATATTACAAAACTTGTCACCCTGTGGAACCAGAATAAACAAAAACACTTCAAAACTTGCCACTGACTGTTGGACCAGAATAAAGATAAACATTACAGAACTTGTCACTCTGTAAGGACCAGATAAACAAAAACAAAAAAACAAAAAAAAACATAGGGAAACTTGTCACTCTGTAGGGACCAGAATACACAAAAACATTGGGAAAGTTGTCAGTGAGATAGAAACTGACTCAACCTTATCTATTTTACTTCACTCACACCTCTATTAATTAACAGTTTAAGGTTTTAGTATTGGAATCATAACTTTGAATCACAATGGCAGATAAGTAACAGTTTCAGGTTTATATCAGTATACAATTTGTTTTATAGAAATATATGTTCAAAGTATCATTATTATATTAAGATATCATGGAATGAAAAGTTAAACTGATGTTTATGTTTGTCATAGTTTCCACATAAATTCTTTATTACATTTATATATACATATGGATGAATATATTGAGATACATATACGATGTTAATAAATCAAAATCATTTTCCTTATGAATGAACTAAAAAAAGTCATGCAGATATATTGAAATGACTTTTTTACAGCATTCTTATTACTTTCCAATTATTTGACATGTGTGTACATTATCTTTTTCTCTACCTAATGTACAAACCTTTGGTGTTCATATCCCACAGTCTAATGGTGGTGTCCCGTGAGGTGGTAGCTATGATCTTTTTTTCATCAATGGATGGCAAGAATATGCAAGACTCCACAGCTTCACCGTGGTCCCTATATTCATGAACTATACTCCTCCCTCGTATATCCCATAACTAAAAAACAAATATACTGTACTTCAACTGTAACTGGCAAGAAGAAAAATGCAACAGACCAGACCAGGATTCAAACCAGGGCACCCCTGAATCACTAGTCAGGGGCACAACCAACTGAACCATCTGGCCTTCTGTGATTGAACCTGCTAGACTGCCATATTTCTCCCTCCGTAAAGGTCTTCGGCCCCAAAGACACCAAACCATGATTTTCCATGGCAGCGAAGTATTTCACCTATCATTCCAGGGCATGGCAAGGCATGAAATGTAACCAGCAAGGAGATAAATGCACTAGACTAAACCAAGATTTAAACCCAGGCCCCCTGCTCAGCTGAAAGAGTCAGGTGCTCTATCAACTGAGCTATCTGGCCACAGGCAATCAAACCTGTTTGACCACCATACAACAAATGGACCGGATTTCAAGATGAATACCATTAGTTTATTATATGCTTAAATGTATTGTGAAGCAAAGAATTGTCACCATCCTTGTGGGATTAATATGCAACAGTCTTGAGCATTAAATTGTAAATGTTATCATTCTGGATGAACTTTGACCTTACCGTGGCCTCACAACCTTTGCCACCAAAACCATTGCTACATGTGACACAGTACAATCCATCTGGACTGACATCACATGCCATCTGAATATAATGCTTTCTGGGAAAACTGTGGACAACCTGCAAGGTTCTTGTGTCAAATAACCTATCAAAAGAAAAAGCATGCATTCCTGCAGTAGTTTTTTTTTGTGCATATACCATTATAAAAAAATTATCTGTATGCTTACAGTGTTTTTCTGACCCAAAATTACAACCAAATAGATGCAGTTTTCCCACTGAAATGTGGTCAATATTTCAATGTAAAATTCTTCCCAAAATAGACAATAGGAGGACCATGGGCCACATCGCTCACCTGTGCCCATTAGCTAGGAAAAAGCACATATCAGTTCAATATTGAAAAGTTTACGGGGGGGGGGGGGGGGGGGGGGGGCTTGAATTTTAAACTGAGGATGCTTCCATATCAATATAACAAATGGCTTCGATGTTCTTGAGCAGAAGATTTTAAAAGATTTTTTCCTATATATTCCTTTATAAAGATTTAATCCCCCATTGTGGCCCCTCTCTACCCCCAGGGGTCATGATTTGAACAAACTTGAATCTGAGGATGCTTCCATATCAGTATGACTATGCATGTCTTTCTGTTCTCAAGAAGAAAATTTTTTCCTATATATATTCCTTTGTAAATATTTAATCCCCCATTGTGGCCCCTCCCTACCCCAGGGAATCATCATTTGAACAAACTTGAATCTACATACCTGAGAATGCTTCAATATCAATACATGTATTACTTAACATGGCTTTGCTGTTCTTGAGAAGAAGATTTTTTAAAGATTTTTTTTCTATATATTCCTATATAAAACTTTGATCCCCCATTGTGGCCCCTCCCTACCCCCAGGGATCATCATTTGAACAAGCTTGAATATACACTACCTGAGAATGTTTCCATATCAATATGACTAAACAAGCCTTTGCTGTTCCTGAGAAAAAGATTTTTTTCTTTATATTCCTATATAAAACTTTGATCCCCTATTGTGACCCCAACCTACCCCGGAGGTCATGATTTGAACAAAGTTGAATCTACACTACCTGAGGATGCTTCCATATCAATATGACTTATCATGGCTTTGCTGTTCCTGTGAAGAAGATTTTTAAAGATTTTTTCTATCTATTCCTATGTAAAACTTTGATCCCTCATTGTGGCCCAACCCTACCCCCGGGGGTCATGATTTGAACAAATTTGAATCTACATTACCTGAGGATGCTTTCGTATCAATAAGACTAATCATGGCTTTGCTGTTCTTGATAAAAAGATTTTACAAGTTTTTTCCCTATATACTCTTATGTAAAATCTTGATCCCCCATTGTGGGCCTACCCTACCCCCATGCATTATCATTTGAACAAAATTAAATCTACACTATGTAAAGATGGTTTCCTAAAAGTTTCAACTTTTTTGACCCAGTGGTTCTTCAGAAGAAGATTTTTAAAACATGCCACCAAATTTCACTATTTCTGAATTATCTCCCCTTGAATGAGGGGATGGCCCTTTATTTGAACAAACTTGAATCCCCTTCACCCAAGGATACTTTGTGGCAAGTTTGGTTGAAATTTGCCCAGTGGTTCTGGAGAAGAAGTCGAAAATGTGAAAAGTTTACAGACGGACAGACAGACAGACAGACGGACTACATACAAAATGTGATCAGAAAAGCTCAATTGAGCTCTCAGCTCAGGTTGCTTTTAAAATATTGATGAAATTTTTGAACATGTTGATTAAGATATTTTGATAATTCTTTTGATAAGGCATCATTGAAATTTTAAGTTGGTTACAGACAGTATCATTCCTCTGAGTTTACCTGACTTCTTTGTCTTCCCCAGTCTGAACCAGTAAATGTGTCCCTGGCACAAACTTCACATCTGTCACCTATTTAACAAGCATTTTGATTTTAGTACAATGCATTTTATGTGAAATTCAAAAGCTCTGAAAATCTCTTCAAATCTAAAATAAGAAATAAAACATTTGAAGGACCATTAATTTTCAGACAGATCCTTTAACACCATGAAAAATTGAGATTGGAATGTAAAAAAGAAATACAGGTGACTCTCGATGGCTCGAACTCCGATCTCTCGAAGTGAACCTCCGGTCCCGTTTTTCCCCTCTATATAACTAAGCAAATTTACTTCTGATCTCTCGAACTTCCGATCTCTCGAAGTTCTCTATCTCTCGAACCAAGACCTGGGTCCCGTTACACACATTTCATTGTTTTTTACTCTCTATCTCTCGAAGTTTTGATTGCGCGTGTACACACGCCAATCAAGCGTAAAATTAATGCAGCTTGGGCTTACCTGGATAACAGTGAACGCCTGGGGCTGGCATGGATGTGTTAATTGGGTGTTTACATAGATGACACTATACCAGTGAGCATTTGAGTGTTGATTTAATTAATTGGTTGCAATTGGTAAATTATAAATGAATTGCTTCACAACTTTTTTGACTTGATAGCGAGACGATAATTTTTAGAAAATAATTTAAGAGACGTGTCAATAATTTTCCATAGATTATGAAATTTTATTAGAATCTACATAATCCTAGTATGATAAACATTGCACAAGAAATCCTATCTCAACAATTGAATACCGATTTAACACGAGAAATCTGCATGGTGAAGGACCCGATCAAGCCCGGGGGATAGCCACACCGACGATTGCTATTCAGGTTTAATGTAATCATGAAATGAGAACAAATAAAAATAAAAATATTGAAACTTAAAGAGATCGTTTTATTTATTCAAAATACGATCATTGTTGTTGAAATCAAGCGAATTACCTGTAAAATACGAATGAAAACGTGCAATGACATTATCAACATATACTTCCGGTATTTATAATAGTATAACAATGATGATCGGAACTGAAAATTCCGGATTTTATACACTTTCTATCTCTCGAACCCCTTGATCTCTCGAACTTTTCTTGCGGTCCCTTGAACTTCGAGAGATCGAGAGTCACCTGTATATTAAATACTTAGCATGACTTTTAATATACTAACTAACATAATGTTTGTGACAAACAATTTCACAAATTAATTAGCATGTGTTTAATGACACATATTGCAGTTTTTGTTCTCACTAAGTTCCTATGGATATCGTGGGAGAGAGAAATAATGCTTAATATTTACATTTGCTATGTTTTTCTACTAAGCCAACTGTGAAATTGATTTGAATGCCATTTTCGTGTATATTCATGTGTAGAAATATGTACGGAGAAACTCGCACTAAAGTGACGTCACAATGAGCTACAGAGATGTTAATAACAATGTAACGTTATAGGGCAGTCAATAATTCAGACATTGAGTATATTTTTGGTGCTTTTGAACAAGTAAAATGTAAATATAAAGAATGTTTTTAAGTTTAGTGTCAATTATTGGTGTGTAAATCACACAGACTTGCATATAGGCATATTTTTCATGAAGCGCTAGCACGCTTCATGAAATATGCCTACATGACAAGTCCGTGTGATTTACACACCAATAACTCACACAAAACTTAAAAACATTCCTTAAATAATACGCGACACTAATGTTCATCTTAAACTACTCAATTTGTTTATAATACACATTCTCTAAACCATAATACACATTCTCTAAACCATGTACAACTGATATTTCTGTGTAGTGTTAATGTTCCATATTTTTGTTCTTACTAAGTTTCAGTGAATATTAATGTGTAGTGTTAATGTCACAGATTTCTGTTTTTACTAAGCTCCTATGAATATTATTGTGTAGTGTTAATGTCCCAGAGTTTTGTCCTTACTAAGTTCCGGTGGATATTACTCTGTAAGAGACACTGAGCAGTGTTTACATCCCATATTTTCACATGATTGTCTCTAGATCCACTGCACAACCAGGAATCATCTAAAAAAGGAATTGTTTTTAATTACTGTTCTTGGAAACAATCTTATTACAAAGTAATAAACAGACATTGAAAACATCACATTTAAAATAGGGTCTATCTGAAGGGAATGAGGGTGAGATGGGGGTCATCATCATTTATAATGCCTTTTTTATTTCATTATACTCTTGAGATATACTTGATTGTAATTAAATTATAATCTGACACTACAATGATTATACTTAATCAAAATCATGAATTTTCTATTCCCATCTAGCCAAAATAGTGATTTTCACACCTACGTATAATCTGTTTTAGGCTCTCTTTTATAAATACAGGTAAACTTCGATATCTCGAACTTGGCGGGACTGAGGAAAAACTTCGAGATATCCGAGTGTTCGACATATCCAAGTTGATGAATTTGGATCCAATATTGCAATGTTACATGTTCTATTAACAGGACCCCCCCCCCCCCCCCACGTGCATAATTTAAGCGATAAAGGTTTCAGTTCATACTTAGTAATTATCTTTTTAAATACATTTGCATATACACTTATAATGCATATACATGTATTATTTTATTTAATACTGCAACACTTACATTTTACAAATTTCGATCGCTTTCATAGCCATAATCATGCTGGTTTTAGAATTTCTGATACCCGGATATGTGTTACGCTTTGTAAATGATCACTGTAATAAGGATTAAGACAGGGACAGGAATTATCGTTCTACAATAATTTATCAAAATTGCCAATAAGCATAAACAAAAGCACTACAATTTATAATATTTATCAGATAAAAGCGTGTTTATAATTTTGTACCTTTTTCAACTTCTGTAATAGCCTGAAACTTTGTTTCGATTGTATGAACTTTAGGTTTTCTTTTTACACCACGGTCAGATGATCTAACTATTTCCCCGGGTTGGCTACCAGGTTCTTCGTTAGATTGCTTATCAGATATGATGTGTACTGAAGATTTAGATTTTTGGTACTGACTTTTATACTCAAAATAATGTCTTTAATTGTTTAATTTCTTGAGTTCAATATCACTTTGATGTGTTAAGTGTTTACTTTGATATATGTAATAATGTGTATAAGCGTGTATTTTCAATAAATTTAAATTCCTATTACAGTAATTGTCCCCAAGCCGCTGTTTCATTATCGTGTCATTCTATGTCTGAGTGTGCAGTTTATTAACACCTCCAAATCACCTGGCCTGCATACCGTATATACTCGCCTATAAGTTGGTCCGCCTATAAGTCGGTTGTATTTTTTGAGGTTATTTTGGAGGGATTTGCCATTGACTCGCTTATAAGTCGGTACAACTTTTGCCAGAATCAGTTAACAATTTCAAATCAATGCTTTGATGTTTAACCTGGTTTCAATTAATATTTTTAGAAATACTTAATTTTAAATCATTAAGAAAAATATATAATGCACACTTAAGATAAAAATAAAGTTATTAAAATATGTAATTACTTTTACTTTATGTGTAATTTTAGAATACATAAATGATTTAATATATCTAGACTTTGTTAATGATAATCGGCGGAATGTGAATAAAATACTACACTTCGCCCTCCAGAAAAAATACTAATCTTTTTATGACTCGCCTATAAGTCGGACATAGAGTTTTGGACCAAAATTTAACTCCCAAAAAACCGACTTATAGGCAAGTATATACGGTAATTGAATTTTACTAACAAAAACAACAGCTTGGGGCTAATAAGGCGTGATTATCAGCAATGGTTCCATGAAGCCTTTGCTAGACCTAACGGAAACGATCAACAGACCATAAAATTAACATAATGGGATCATTGTGTACTAAGGTGTGAATTCAGCGGAGCGAGAAATTATTAATAATTGGACTTCGAGATGACGCATGTGTTTATAGCACTTGGGACCGTAAATCTATTTCGAGATAAGCGAGGTATTCAAGATTTCTGTGTTCCAGATACCTGGGTTTTTTAAAATCATAAATATAGTAAAAACGGTCGGGACCATTGACTCACTTCGAGATAAGTGTGGTATTCAACATATCGGTGTTCGAGATACCGAAGTTTACCTGTATGTACACTGTACAGATTTTGCTTACAGTGGTTTGAATCAATGGCACTTACCGTGGTTTAAATCAATGGCAGTTACTACAAGCTCATGGCCATTAAATTCTTGTAAACAATTTGGATTCCCACTCTTCCACATTTTAATAGACTTGTCTCTTGATGCACTGAATATGTTGTTGCTTGTTTTACCATTCCGAATCTTTGTAAATATTTACATAAAGCTATTAAGATACAACCATCCTTAATATGGCAAGAACAAGTCTAACTCTTTGTTTTACAAAATTTTTACCTACATAAAATTTGTAAATATTACATATACAAGCATCTTATACAAATTATCTACCTTCGTTAGTTCTCTTTCGTGACCTGTCCATCTGTCTATTAAATTGTGGTTTTCATAATCATACAGGGCTACCGTCTGGGAAAAAAAATTAAAGGCTATCAACCATGACTATGTTATACTATTTCAGAAAGTAGTTACACCATTGTAATACCCGTCTTACCTTATCTTTACTGCATGATAAACAGAGGCCTGGTTGTACAGGTGAAAGATGAACCACGGCATCGTCATGCACCGGGGTTTTGGCAATCCGGCAGGGCAAAAGTCTACGGTCTGATTCGAAACTGTCGTCATTCTCTGAAGAATCTGTCGTACTTTTTCGCCTATCAAATTGAAAAAAAAAAACAATCATTTTCCACATCGGAATATAACATTGAACAATGTACCCAACACTATAGTGTGACAATGGAAAGAAGGAAATTCGAACTTGAAGTTTTAGCGATAGTTCCTATTTATTACCCCTTTTTACTCGAGCGCTTCCTTCCAAACAATTTTCCAAATGACTTAAACATTTGAGCAATGTTGTCACTAATAACACATCACGTTAAAACCAGTATTTTTATATCATTTATATATTTGTCTTCTTTTTGTTTACATTCGCTTTGTTCGTGTCAAGTTAACTTGATCAAGGTTGGGATACTTTTAAAAAAAGGATAATGCGCTCAAGATTTATTCGCTTTTCATAATTGACCAAGATTTTAAATATTTGCCAAACTGTCTTATAAAATCTTCTAAAAATGAATGAATATTCTTTTAAATTTGTAGAATTAAAGCAAACTTTATTTTTGGTTATTTCAAGCATTATCACTGATCCCATTTTACGAAATTACATAACGTTAAACTTTAAATTTATCTTGTTATAAATAGTTACTTGATCAGTATCTCACTGAACAGTGCTGATGACCAGACAGAGCAACCTAAAATATGTAAATTGACCCAATAATTAAAAGAAAAACAATGGTCCGGTATGTAAGGAAAGATAAACATTAAGGGAGGAAATCTGCTTTATTATTTCCAATCCTCCATAAATTATCAAAAATAATATAAATGATGAACAGCATTAAAAACTTAATTCAAAGAAATCTCTATTTTTAGTAACCATGGCAATGCTCTTTGTTGAAATAAAAACAAACAGAATAAATTCTAACTATGTATAGTCAGTTACTAATAATGCAAACTAATATTTCTACTATATGTGCTACTTGTATACTTTAAAGATACTGAACCAAAGCTGTTAGAGGAGTTAAGAAATTTCACATAATTGCACAAAAATGTCAATTTATAGAGGCAATTCCATTTTTCTATACATGTATATAAAACAGATATTACACAGAATGATGTAGCTATCTTTAAATATTCTAATAAAGTACCATGTTATCTTTGACCACTAGAGCTACAAGTGTACAGTCTTCTGAGAAGTCACCTTGAGAAATTATGATAAATCATGTTTTTTCTGCTATTTTTAAATTAATTAGCAAATATAAACATATCAGATATTTATTGCATCAAAATATGTGGTTGAATAAAAATGAAATATATATTACATACAATGAAATTAATCTACAAAATTGAAAAGAAAGTGGTAATTAAAATGTAAACTATAAGGACTAGGATTTAAAGGTTAATTAAAATGTAAACTATAATGACTAAGATTTAAAGGTTAATTATACTCTTACACAGATTATACAGAGTTAAGGACTGCAGAATTCAGAATTCATAACTGTCTCTGCAGTCTATACTCATTGCTAAACTTTTTAAATTAGCTTATTTCCATTAATATGATGGCCTTGATTCAAGCTGAATAACCAACAACTAAATTACTCTACATGTATAATAATTTTTTTTTATTAAACCCATGAAAAGGTTTAATCTAAAAAATTGAAGGTCAGCTAAAATCTTACAGACTAATTAAAAGATATAATTCAACCACATTTCTCACATCATTGGCATGCAATATATGAAGAAGCATCAGGACCAAGGGTCTAGCATTGTTCTTCTGATAAATTGTACAACTTAACACTTCTATTTTTAGCTTCTTAGTATCTATATACATGTATTTAGATAAAGCCTTGACATTCCAAAAGTAGGTCATCATGACCTACATTTTGGTTAACACACTATGAGAACCCAAGATGCATTAACTGACAAAGATTGTTGGTTCTAACTCTCTTATTAGTACAAATATCATTTCTGCTTGAACTTTCAGTAAGGCATGACAATCTCAGCAATACATAATTAGCGTCTCTCAAATGGTGACCTTGATTCTCATTGGTTAAGAAATTCATAACATTAGCAACTTTAGATTGTTGTTAACAAACAATGAGATGACATAAGCCACACCTCTTTACTGTAAGAAACGATGTAATTGGTTCCTTGCATCACTCGTTGACGTCTGAATCATTTTTATTCCATGTGTATTTCACCCATGAATAAAAAGCTGTGTAAATTTCAGTATTGATGAGCTAATCTGGCAACCAATGAGAATCTAGGTCACTATTTGAGAGACGCTAATTATGTATAGCCAAGAATATCATGCCTTACTGAAAGTTCAAGCAGAATTGATATTTGTACTATCTTAACTACACAGATATAGCCATGAAATCCCAAAAGTATGTCACTGTGATCTACTTTTTGGTAAACATGAAATTTCAAAATTTGGTCACTGTCACCTAATCTTTAGTTGACACATTCTGAGGACCCAAGGTGCATCAAATGACAAAGTTTGATGATTCTAAGCCAATTGGTATCTAAGCCATTTCAATATAGCCATGAAATTCCAAAAGTAGGTCACAGTGACCTACTTTTTGATTGACACACTCCAAGGACCCAAAATGCACCAACTGACATGGTTTGACGATTTTAAGCCTCTTATTATCATATATATTTAATTATAGCTGTGAAATTTCAAAATAAGATCACCTGTGACCTACTTTTGGTTAACATATTCCATCAACTGACGAAGTTTGATGATTCTAAGCCTCTTATTATTTGAAATATGTAGATATTGCCTTAATACTGAAAAAGTACGTCTCATGACATACTTTTTAGTCGTCATATTCCGAGAACCCAAGATGCATCAACTGACAAAGTTTGATGATTCTAAGCTAATAAGTATCTGAAATATTTATATGTAGCCATAAAATTTCAAAAGTAGGTCACTGTAACCTACTTTTTTGGTTGAAATACTTCAAAGCCCTAGGATGCATCAACTGACAAGGTTTGATGAACATAGGCTTCACAGTGTCCAAAATATGCCTCTAAAATCCACAAATGCTCCATATTACTAGAAAGAGGAAAAAGAACGAGTTGTGAGAAAATTTCCTCTCAAAGATAATGGCATCTTTTTGCTTATTATACATGTTGCACATGTGGTTCTGTAATGCATGCATTGAGCTAAAAATATTCCTGTGACAGATGTGTCACATACAAACACAAACAAGCAATAAAAAAAGCAGTTTATGAATAATTTATTAAAGGGTTACTTAATAGATGTAACAGTATAAGCATCGGTTTCATCTGATTTCAAATTGCCAAACTGTATTCTGGGAATTCTCCCCCATTATGATGCCAAAACTCATGAAGTACAGAAATAGGCACTGCTGTAACTGTAGAACATCTTAATTTATACCAAGCAATCTACAACTTTTATAGAATAATGCTGTTAAACAATTCGATACTGCTTACAAGACAGAAAATAAGGAACATATCTTTAAATATGAACACACTAAAACAATATCTAACAGTTTAATATATTTCATTGATTTTAGGAATAGAACTTACAATGTTATTATATTACTTTACATATTTTTCACTGCCTGGGAAATCTTTAGGTATATAAATGTTGAAAAAGAACATACAAATATGACAAAAGAAAATATACATATACTGTATGTGGATGGTTTTAACCCTCCTATGAAATAATGTTTTGTGAAAAAGAGTCAATGTAAATACTAGTAACATTAATTTTTGATAAGATGAAAACAACAGAAAAGAATGAAGTAATTTTTATACATCATACATGTTAACTTAAGAAGTTTAAAATTTGACAATTATGTTATTTTTTTTCAGCCATTATGTAACAATTACTGTAGATCACCTAATATTTGCGAGATAGTCATTGACTCTTTATTAACGAAACAAAATTTTCAAGAATTTTGGTTATTGCTCTATTTAATCTTAGGAATACTAATACACGCGAGAATGAAATTTTTGCGAGCACACTGTCTCACGTAATTATGCAAAAATAAGTTCTCGCAAATAAACAGTGATTTACAGTACTTAACTACATGTATATGAAACAATATATATGCAAATAAAGTACATGTACCCAGTACATGTATTGTAAAGGATATCTCTAAATCATTGAAAACCTGTTGTTATCCCTGTTACAAAATGAGTATGGATTCTAGGTTAGGGATACATAAAGGTCACAAGATAAGACAATTTTCTCATTTTATGCAAATTTTCATCATTTAAGAATATATAGAGCACAAGCTTGCCTATCTATGTTTCCTGAAGTGAAAAGTATGTCAGATTTGACGAAATTACATCAGAATTCAGAAAATTCGGTAACATCTCCTACTTTAGCACTGTTTTGTGGACTCCATGTATGTGTTGAATCAAAATTAGTGGTGGCTATAAAACAAGCATTGTTTCAAGTTCTTAACTACGAAATATCACAATTTAACTGTGTTTTCATTTTTATATATCAAGTAAGGAGCCAAATTTAGCTGTTACCATATCTTGTCCTTTGTCTTTTTAAATTTCTCCAGATTTTTATGGATTTTATAATACAATTTTAAATATATAAATTTGTGGTATTTCTCTAAACATGCAGAGAGCAAAAAACTTCATACCTAAATGTAAATGAAGTTTTCCAAAGGTCATGGGTCATTATGTGACCTAATCAAACGCGATGCAATAACATCTATATACAGTAAAACACGGTTATAACGAAGTCACTGGGACCTATGAAATTACTTCACTATATCTGTAATTCGTTATATCTGTATATAATAAGGAATTCGTTAAATTTATATAGCTGGGATCCAAGATAACTTCGCTATATCCGTGAATTCACAATATCTGTGTTTGTACTAAACGAGTTTTACTGTATACCACATATATAAAATGACTTTTCATGTACAAAAAAAGTACAAAATAGGCAAGTAAAATAATGATTGTCTTATTAAAAAGTATATAAGTAATGAATTCTGTCCTTTGTTGATTTTATCTTGAGAATAAACAACTAGGCCTATGTGTGACAAAGTTTTATGTCACTTGCATAGTCTCAATGTTTTTAGCTCACCTGAGCCGAAGGCTCAAGTGAGCTTTTCTGATCACTTTTTGTCCGTCGTCCGTCTGTCCGTCTGTCCGTCTGTAAACTTTTCACATTTTCGACTTCTTCTCAAGAACCACTGGGTCAAATTCAACCAAACTTGCCACAAAGTATCCTTGGGTGAAGGGGATTCAAGTTTGTTCAAATGAAGGGCCACGCCCCCTTTCAAGGGGAGATAATTAGGAATTAGTGAAAAAATAATGGCATCATTTAAAAATCTTCTTCTCAAGAACCACTGGGCCAGGAAAGATGAAACTTATGTGGAAACATCCTCAGGTAGTGTAGATTCAAGTTTGTTCAAATCATGACCCCCGGGGGTAGGGTGGGGCCACAATGGGGGATCAAAGTTTTACGTAGAAATATATAGGAAAATATCTTTAAAAATCTTCTTCTTAAGAACAGCAAAGCCATGAATGGTCATAATTATATGGAAGCATCCTCAGGTAGTGCAGATTCAAGTTTGTTCAAATCATGACTCCCGGGGGTAGGGTGGGGCCACAATGGGGGATCAAAGTTTTACATAGAAATATATAGGAAAATATTTTTAAAAATCTTCTTCTTAAGAACAGCAAAGCCATGATTGGTCATTTTTATATGGAAGCATCCTCAGGTAGTGCAGATTCAAGTTTGTTCAAATCATGACTCCCGGGGGTAGGGTGGGGCCACAATGGGGGATCAAAGTTTTACATAGAAATATATAGGAAAATATCTTTAAAAATCTTCTTCTTTAGAACAGCAAAGCCATGATTGGTCATATTTATGTGGAAGCATCCTCAGGTAGTGCAGATTCAAGTTTGTTCAAATCATGACCCCTGGGGGTAGGGTGGGGCCACACTGGGGGATCAAAGTTTTACATAGAAATATATAGGAAAATATCTTTAAAAATCTTCTTCTTAAGAACAGCAAAGCCATGATTGGTCATATTTATATGGAGGCATCCTCAGGTAGTTTAGGTTCAAGTTTGTTCAAATCATGACCCCCGGGGGTACGGTTGGGCCACAATGGGGGATCAAATTTTTACATAGAAATATATAGGAAAATATTTTAAAAAATCTTCTTCATAAGAACAGCAAAGCCATGATTGGTCATATTTATATGGAAGGATCCTCAGGTAGTGCAGATTCAAGTTTGTTCAAATCATGACCCCCGGGGGTACGGTGGGGCCACAATGGGGGATCAAATTTTTACATAGAAATATATAGGAAAATAATTTTTAAAAATCTTCTCCTTAAGAACAGCAAAGCCATGATTGGTCATATTTATATGGAAGCATCCTCAGGTAGTGCAGATTCAAGTTTGTTTAAATCATGACCCCCGGGGGTAGGGTGGGGCCACAATGGGGGATCAAAGTTTTACATAGAAATATATAGGAAAATATCTTTAAAAATCTTCTTCTTTAGAACAGCAAAGCCATGATTGGTCATATTTATATGGAAGCATCCTCAGGTAGTGCAGATTCAAGTTTGTTCAAATCATGACCCCTGGGGGTAGGGTGGGGCCACAATGGGGGATCAAAGTTTTACATAGAAATATATAAGAAAATATTTTTAAAAAATCTTCTTAAGAACAGAAAAGCCATGATTGGTCATATTTATATGGAAGCATCCTCAGGTAGTTTAGGTTCAAGTTTGTTCAAATCATGACCCCCGGGGGTACGGTTGGGCCACAATGGGGGATCAAAGTTTTACATAGAAATATATAGGAAAATATTTTAAAAAATCTTCTTCTTAAGAACAGCAAAGCCATGATTGGTCATACTTATATGGAAGGATCCTCAGGTAGTGCAGATTCAAGTTTGTTTAAATCATGACCCCCGGGGGTAGGGTGGGCCCACAATGGGGGATCAAAGTTTTACATAGAAATATATAGGAAAATATCTTTAAAAATCTTCTTCTTTAGAACAGCAAAGCCATGATTGGTCATATTTATATGGAAGCATCCTCAGGTAGTGCAGATTCAAGTTTGTTCAAATCATGACCCCTGGGGGTAGGGTGGGGCCACAATGGGGGATCAAAGTTTTACATAGAAATATATAAGAAAATATTTTAAAAAATCTTCTTAAGAACAGAAAAGCCATGATTGGTCATATTTATATGGAAGCATCCTCAGGTAGTTTAGGTTCAAGTTTGTTCAAATCATGACCCCCGGGGGTAGGGTTGGGCCACAATGGGGGATCAAAGTTTTACATAGAAATATATAGGAAAATATTTTAAAAAATCTTCTTCTTAAGAACAGCAAAGCCATGATTGGTCATATTTATATGGAAGGATCCTCAGGTAGTGCAGATTCAAGTTTGTTTAAATCATGACCCCCGGGGGTAGGGTGGGGCCACAATGGGGGATCAAATTTTTACATAGAAATATATAGGAAAATAATTTTTAAAAATCTTCTTCTTTAGAACAGCAAAGCCATGATTGGTCATATTTATATGGAAGCATCCTCAGGTAGTGCAGATTCAAGTTTGTTCAAATCATGACCCCTTGGGAGTGTGGGGCCACAATGGGGGATCAAAGTTTTACATAGAAATATATAAGAAAATATTTTAAAAAATCTTCTTAAGAACAGAAAAGCCATGATTGGTCATATTTATATGGAAGCATCCTCAGGTAGTGCAGATTCAAGTTTGTTTAAATCATGACCCCTGGGGGTAGGGTTGGGCCACAATGGGGGATCAAAGTTTTACATAGAAATATACAGGAAAAAATCTTTTTCTCAAGAACAGAAAAGCCATGATTAATAAAATTGATATGGAGGCATCCTTGGGTAGTGTAGAATGAAATTTGTTCAAATGAGAGACCCCGGGGGTAGGGTGGGGCCACAATGGGGGATCAAATTTTTACAAATGAATATATGGGAAAAAATCTTCTGCTCAGGAACAGCAATGCCATTTGTTATATTGATATGAAAGCATCATCAGGTAGTTTAAAATTCAAATCCCTCCCCCCTCCCCCCATTAACTTTTCAATTCTAAACTGATTTTTGCTTTTTTTTTTCCCCTAGCCAATGTGCTCAGGTGAGCGATGTGGCCCATGGGCCTCTTGTTTTCTTTATTTTCCCATAGACCTTTATAGTTAAATCTTCATCCTAAACTTCGGCCTTCACAGGATTTGATCCACTTGATTTCCCAGTGAAGTTTTTAAACTTCTTATTTATTTCTTAAATATTAATTATTATATTATATATAATAAATTATATTATTTGTAGCCCCATCAATCCCCTTAACATGGAATGTTGACAACTTGTATATTTATTATTTTTGGTTAATCAGTCTTTTTAAGGGGGGAAGGGACTAAATCAACCCTATTTCATAATATTTCCCATCAAAAGGAGGGCATACACTTGTATTTTTTGGTGCAAGTCTGAATCTCCATCACAAAAAGTTGCTTCAAGACAACATGGGAACAAAATATAGATGACATTATGCAGTCTTTTGATAGCAGCATGTTTGAAAAAGACGTGTTTTGTTTATGACTAAAACACATGTATCTGGTCTCTATGGAAAGAAACCATCTCATCATCCAATGTTAGAAGAACCTGAAACAAAAAAATACTGCTATTATTAATTTTAATTAAAATGAAAGCAGAAAAATTATTTCTGCATTTTAAGCATTTTTTTTTCATCCATGATAATGTTTTTCCTATCATCTCAATACTAGAGGCCCATGCGCCACATCGCTCACCTGAGAACTTTGGTTAGGAAAATCAGAATTGAAAAGTTGAACAAACTTTAATCAATACTAACTGAGGATGCTTCCATATTTCTTTCACTATTCATGGCTTAAGAAGATTTTTATTTTGATCTTTTATTGTACTCCCCCCGGGAGGGGGGTGTGAATAGGGTCATGACTTGAACAATCTTGAATCTAAGCAACCTGAGGAGCTTCTATATTAATCAATGCTTTGCTTGTTCTTGAGAAGAAGATTTTTAATGTTTTTTTTCTTTTATAATCCTATGCATAACTTTAACACCCCTGTTGTGGCCCCTCCCTAAACCCTGGGGGTAATGACTTCAACAAATTTGAATCTATGCTATGTGAGGATGCTTCTATATTTAAAATATGATTGATCCTGACTTTACTGTTCTTGAGAAAAATATTTTTAAAGATTTTTCCTATACATTGCACTGAATAACTTTAAATCCCCAGTTGTGTCCCAACCCTACCACCAGGGGTCATGTTTTGGAAAAAAAAATTCAAGCTTCACTACCTGAGGATGCTTCTATATTAATATAACAAATTATGGCTTAGCTGTTCTTGGGAAGACGATTTTTAAAGATATTTCCTATTTATTCCAATGCTTAACTTTGATCCCCTGTTGTAGTCCCATCCTATCTCAGGGGGTCATGATTTGAACAAATTTCAATCTATACTATCTTAGGATGCTTCCATATTAATATGACTAAGAACTGCGAACGATAGTATTGTTCTCCCGCTTACCTTCAAGTCAATTTTCAAAAGATAATATATTTGAATGATTTTTCATATTTATATAGATATTTACATGAATTTTCATTAAACATGACTTATTTGGGAAAACGAAGAGAGATAACTCTATAAAATTGGTAAAACTTGTGTTTTTCACTACAGAAATCAATGGAAAACGGAAAATATTTTTTGAACATCTTTCCCCCCCCGTGAAACAAAATTTCCTTTTTACAGGTAATATGGATTGTTATTTCACAAATTCATACCTAAGCTTTTTGTGTTTCAAGGGGGGGAACATATGTTTACAGACAAAAAACGACAAAAATGCTCATTTTTTCACCAATTTCGAAGGCGTTTACAACTTAAACGTTGTATTTTATCAATTACATATGTTTAATTTTATATGCGTAAATCATAAGGAAAGATTTAAAGAACATTTATCCATATCCAAGAATATTTTAAAATATGCTGATGCTTTCAAGCCTGATTTCAATGGAAAACAACGTCTACCCCCCTTATGAAAAGAGCTGGAATTAAGAGTAATTTACTATTTAACACTGGTATTAAAATTATTAATCAATTACCATTGAACTCTTCTTTGCATTCAACAAAGATTTTTTGGACAAATTACCATTAGTATTGAATTAAATGGGTGTAAAATGTAGGAGGGAATCGGGAGTTAGCGTGCGTAGTTCTTTATGGCTTTGCTGTTCTCAAGAAGAAAGTTTGAAAAGATTTTTCCTATGTATTCCTTTGTAAAACTTTGTTAGCCCATTGTGGCCTTACCCTACCCTGGGGGGTCAAGATTTGAACAGGCGTAAATCTACAATACCTGAGAATGCTTTCATATAGATATGACCAATCATAGCTTTCCTATTCTGGAGAAGAAGATGTTTAAAAATATTTCCTATATATTCTTATGAAAAACTTTGGTTTGTCCATTGTAAAGTAAAACTTTGATCACCCATTGTGGCCCCACCCTATAGCTACCATAGGGAATCATGATTTGAACAAACTTAAATCTACACTACCTGATGATACTTCCATATAGATATGACCAATCATGGTTTTGCTGTTCTTTTGATGATTTTTCCTAAGTATGTATTCCTATGTTAAGCTTTGTTTGCCCATTGTGCCCCCACCCTACCCCTGTGGGGTCATGATTTGAATAAACTTAAATCTACACAATCTGAGGATGTTCCCACATGAGTTTCATTTCTTCTGGACCAGTGGTTTTTCAAGATTTTTTAAAAATACCATTAATTTTTTACTAATTTTTTATCTTCCCTTAGAAGAAGGTGTGGTTCTTCATTTGAACAAATTTCAATCCCTTTTATCCAAGGACACTTTGTGTCAAGTTTGGTTGAAATTGGCCCAGTGGTTCTTGAGAAGAAGTTGAAAATATGAAAAGTTTACGCACAGATGGACACCGGGCAAAATGTGATCAGAAAAGCTCACTCGAGCCTTCAGTTCAGGTGAGCAAAAAAATGAATTGATACAAATGACAAATATATCACAAATTACACAAGGACACTTTAAAAAAAAGAGGCCCATGGGCCACAATGCTTACCTGAGTCAATACGGCCCTGCTGTTCTTCATCAGCAAAATTTTTCCATTATATATTATTATATTTATTTTTATCCCTACTGTGATCCCACCCTACTCCCGGGTGTCATGATTTGAACAAACTTGAATCTACATTACCTCAAGATGCTTCCATATCAATATACGAGGGGTGATCAAAAAGTTTGCGAACTAATTGAATTACTTCCTTAAAAGAAATAAAATGAGGTTTCAGTGTTCATTATTTTTTAAAGTAGTCCTCTCCGATTTTAATGAACATCTGCCATTGTTCTGCCCATGCGCAAATCAAGTGATCCAGGTGGTCACATGACATGCTCTGCAGCGGTCTGTTCATAGAAGTTAAGAGATTTTTCCTAGTCTTATATTTCTTACCATGCAAGTTATTTTTTATGACAAAAACAGTTCATTTGTCAGAAATGGCCAAATCTCGGCAATAGAATGACTGGAAAAGGATAGCCCTTCCTAGAATTAGCATGGTGACCATCACAATCCGAGTCTTCTGTCTCGGGAGCGTCTTTTATCCAATATGGAAAAAAGTATGGGCGCCTTCTTTATATCATATCTGATATGTTTAAAGTCTAGAGTAAACGATATTTTAAGGATTTAATAATTATATTATTGTTAAGATATTCAACTATTTTTCTAACTGTAACTTGGCGATCTTTCATAACAAATTGCTCAACTAAGGGCACATCTCTTCCCCAGCTTGCTTTCGCTGGGCAATAGTACAAACATCATTTTTAATCATCTCCCTTCCTTCACTAAAACAATCAATCCAATTAATGATTGAACTTATGGTAAGTCTTTTGTCTTCATAAACCTTGTACAAATTATCATATTCTATTGCAAAGAAATTTCCGAGATATATGTTAAACTTTACAGCCGTTCGTTACTTAAGTACGACTGAGTCAACCATTTTTTGTCACAAGTCACCTACATATTGACGTCATTTTCACATTGTGATGTCACAAACACGGAGCAAAACATTATATGACAACTGCTATTTATAGAACATGAGTAGGACTATATTTGTGCCAAATTTCATTCTGATTTGAATTGTGGTTTTGTAGAGATAGTTCGCGAACTTTTTGATCACCCCTCGTATTTACATCCACTGAATATTTTCTATTTCTATTTGATTGAACAAATTTTGTGATTCTGTAGAATTATGAGCCCGCAGAAAAAAGTATGTTAACAGGTATGTTTAGTGTATTAAACTTGATATTAATATTGCAATACATTATAAAAATTTTCATGTGCTTTAATTCAATCTTTATCACACATTCTATATCAATCAGATGTGTATAGAGCTTTACATGTATGTTTCTGCTGTCAGCTGCATCCATATATCTAGAATTTGATGCAAACAATGCCTTCTAATATACTTGTTTATTAAAAATATGATAATAATTGATAATTGAATCTGTAATATGCTTGAAAAGGAAATTATTTAAAGATATCAAGGATTATTTACCAAAAAGGAAAAAAACAAAGCAATGGAGGAAAGGAAGTGCCAAATGTCATGAGCATCATAGAACTCCAGCAACATGCAGTCTTTGTTTCCTTCTCTTGATCTCGAAGGTGTTTTCTATAATAAAAGTACAACCAAAGCAGTTCAATATATAAAAAAAATTCAACATTTTCAATAAATTAAAAATCTATTTTTCAGTTATTTCTGTAATTTTGCATTATTGCCTTTTTCCACTTGATCCATTGGGTTCCATAACTTGTTTCCAGTTAGTTACAGATTTTTCTCTGATTTTGAAAATTGTCTAAAGAGTGACATAAACCTGTCAACATATAAAGTGGTGATGGGAGAACATTTCATAACCAGTGCATTCATGCACCAGTAATTCATTAGTGAATATTTAAGTTTTGTAATAAAATGGCTATGAAAATATGGATGACTGTGTCAAGTGATTTTCAAATGCAAAATCAGGAAACCCTCCAGATTTTCACATGCCAAGTAAAACATCAATTTCATTTGTCTCAGTCAATCAAACAACAATCATCTGTTCTTGCAAATGCAGATCTGTAGTTAATTATGAAAACAATATTCTAATTTTAACTTCAGTTACTTCCACTTACCTGCCAGGATGTCAGGTTAGAGAAAAAGAAATATAGAGCAAAGCCCCACACAACTACAGCACCACCAATAATAAAGCCAGCAAGGTAATGGATTCTCTCACCATACCTCAACTGCAGATAACAGAAAAACATAGGTAATCAAAGATTATAAAGCTCACCTCAACGAATGTTATCTGTAAGTAAAGGCAAATCTCGCATCATATTTTTTTTTCTACTTACTGTACATCCCCAGATCAATATCCATTCAAGTTTGGTTTAATTAGGACTTAAATTATAGTTACTTGGAAATAGACCTGCTCAAAAAACTTTTAACCTATGTACTAATCAAGAAAATTTTGGTCAGTTCCAACATCCAAAGCAAGTCTGAAAGTTTTCATCAGATAACAGAGAATATTACATACTAAAATCTGTACCATATATCAGCCTGAGTGGCCCCATATCAGCACCAGAGCAGAGGGTCTGAGGACTGATATGGGGCCCAAGGGCTGATATGACATATGATATGGAATTTAGTACATGTATGTAGTATTCTATTTATCATGCATTAATTTTAAAATATCTAATATATCAGTTCACAAAAAGTCATCTTTAAAATGTTTTGTTAATGTGTATACCCTTTTTTCCCCTTTGAAATTAAATATAGCCAACTTTAATTAAGTCAGACTCAACAAATTTTTGTACATGGATTTTATCACAAGTACGAGTATATTTCAATAAAATTGAGTTAACTTTTAAACTTTAATAAAATGTTACTTCCTGTTTGATATGAATTTTAGCACACTGGTCTGACACAATGATATGGGTTTTTGGACCAGTTGTTATGGGGTATTGTAACGTCATCCATATCACACAGTGCAGAATCAGTGTATTTACTTCTAAGTATGTGATAAAACAAAATTAACTGATAGATCAAGATATGTTGCCCAAAAGCAAGACCATTTAATGTATAAAGATAAATTATTTTGAGTCATTTTTATTTATCTGTTATTTACAAGTCTACCTGACCATTAAAAGACAATGAAAGTACTTTTTATGTTATACATTAAAAATTCTTGTGTAATTCATTCATTAAATTCATGCATCTATCAATTACAATATTTGCAGTGATGAATAGCAAATTGGAATAAATTTAATTCTCTCAGTTGAGTACAAATTTCCCTACAAAATCAACAGAGCCCTACCCAGCACCAGAGGACTTGACTCAGTGATCCAGAATTTCACAAATCTGGTAAAAATATCCTTGCTCATTACAACTTTGTACTCTGTTTGCCGCCTAGATGTCTAGGCCTAGGAGCATAGAAGATTTTAAAGCATTATTGTATTTTCACTGTATGATCAATAGAGTGTCTGCCCTAACACCATATTGTTAGGGGCCATCAATTTTGGAAGAAGTGCCCTTACTCATAATAAATACCAAGTACGCACTTAGTTTAAATTAAACGAAATTAAATATAACTGTTTATTGATAAAAATATGATAGATCCTGAAGAAGAGAAGCAAATAAAATATATTCTTAGATATCTACAAAGCTTCACATTAAAAAATAGGGTTTATTATGCAGATTTTGTGTGATTAAGCCAAATAGCATTACTCATTCGGACAAGGAATTTTGAATCAAAGTTATGTATGCATATGATTATCATTACATTCAAATAATGGTTCATTTTAATTGGACAAAGAGTTTCTGGTGAAGAGAATCAGATCATTATTTCATTGATTTAATGTGTGTCATTGATATTTATGAGAACGAGTGAATTTTGCAGCAGTCAGCCAAGGATTTGTGGAAATAGAATGGACAGTCAAAAAACCTGTGGCTTGTGACAATGAGCCTAACGCTGGAGTTTAAACCACAGGTCAGGGGTTCATGGATTTCACAATTCTGTTAGAGGGCAAAGAGTTTATTATGATCTTGGAAACAGTTTGCTATTTAATGTTCATGAGTACAGAAAAAGATTTTCAAGATGTAATGCATTTTCAATATATGACCAACTTAGCCTCACCCTGTAGCCTAAACAAAAGGGCCCTGGATTTCAAAATTTTGGTAAAAGGCTCATTGCTTATTGTAATTATGCCTGACAGTTTGATTGCTTGATATCCAGGAATAGAGATGAAGATTTTTAAAGATTAAGTGCATTAATTTTGATTGTTTTGGCCCCACCCCTCAGACTACAGGATAGAACAGTACCACTACTCCAAAGAAATTTTTGTTTCCCTTTATCTATTGAAGCAATATACTAAAATTGGTTGAAACTAGTTCAATCATTCATGAAAAGAGACTGAAAATGTGCAAAAGTGTAAGGCTGATGTATGACCAAGGATGACAGCAAATAGCGATCTAAGGTGAACTTGTAACAGACATACCTTCATTATAATATAGAAAGTACAGTAGATCATGAGATTTCCAATGAAGATACCCAAAAGATAAGTGGCAAAGTCTGGAGAATGGTACACAGCTCCATAAACTGCACTGCAAAGTAGACAAAAAATAACCTTTAAATTCCAAGACTGGAGGACTCTGAGTTCCTATTATTATTCATGTTGAAAGCACTTTTTACTTGTTCTATTATTAATCTATAATTATACATAACACTGAATTAAAGAATAACTGTCTAGTTTTTTTTTGGTTTTATGATGTGATCAAGCAGTTTGCTCATGTGAGAATTGCATAAAATTACTGTGAATTCCTTATTTTGTGCAAGTACTTACATGTAATATCATTAAATGAACCTTAAATGTCAAATATACCGGTAACCATTTTTAAGTTATGGCCAAAGTAAATATTTTTCAAAAGTAGGTCAAACTTCAAGGTCAGAGGTCAAAAATGGTGGTACCAAAAGGAATATCTTACCACAAGGAGTACACATATGAAATATGAAAGCCCTATCTCCAACTGTTCAGAAGTTGTAGCCAAGTTTAAAGCTTTTTTCAAAAATATGTCAAACTCCAAGGTCAGGAAGTCAAAAATGTTGGTACTACTAGAAAGGTTATGTCACAAGGAATAAACAAGTGAAATATGAAAGCCCTAACACCAACTGTTCAAGAGTTATAACCAAGGTTAAAGTTATTAAAAGTATATCAAACTGCAAGATCAAGATCAAAAGGTAAAAAAAAAAAAAAGGTTCCAAAAGAAGATGTCACAAGGAACACATAATTTATATGTACGTGAAATATGACAGCCCTATAGTCCCAGACATTCAAAAGTTATGGCTAAGGTTAAAGTTTTTGTGGACAAACAGACAGAGGGATCCAAATTCTATATGTACCCAAAATCTTTGATTATGGGGGAACAAAAATGTAATTATTTTTAGTATTAAGCATCAATCTCTTTTAACCATTATACACTAGATCAAAAATAAAAACACATTTACAAGAGATTCATAAGCACAATGCTCACCAGAGCCATGCTCCTCAACCAGTCAAATAAATATGTAGTTAAATAAAACCTCTCATTGATACCATCAATTTATTGGGGTCCACAATTTCAAAAATTTTAGTTTACAATTTTAAAACTAGTCTTGATCACAAGTTTACTTTCAGCAGTAAAAGTCTGAGCCCCACTACATTCCATCCTGTCCTGTAGTACAATCTGAATATTAAGGAGAATCCTCATAAGGAATGCCTCCATTTCTTAAGGACTAGTTGTGGCTCTGTCATCCTTGAGAGGTATTTTTCTAGAGATTTTTCTAGTATATTCCCATGTTCCCATGTATACTTTCACCCTCCCCCTTCTCACTACTGTGGTCCCAGCTTAGTTCAAGAGAACATGAATTGAACAAATAGGAAGATAAACTACTGTGTAATCATTAGATTTTGTGGTGGCTCAATTTTTGTGGAATTGGTGGATAACACTCACCCACGAATTAACATCCTCCACGAATTAATAAATTAGGGTTATAAAGACTATTTCTCTTTGTAGGCATAAAAGAAAACAAGAATTTGCGTCCCCACGGACTTTTAAAATTTCAGCAATCCATGAAAATTGGCCCCCACAAATTTTAATAATTCCAAAGTACACGGCTTCCTTACTGTTTTGCTGATCACAGCTCTGTAGTTCAGAATTTTAAAAAAATATCTAAATTTATATGTTGAACTTTGACCTCTTCTTGTGGCCCCCATAACTCTGGTAACAAAATGGAACATAAGACTGTGGAACATTAACTGACAAGATTGGAAATATGCAGCTTACTTCATTTACATAAGTTATAGCCAAAATATTTGATGACAGAAAATGAAATGGGTGGGTACAATTCAGTGTGGACGTCTGAGAAAACACTGGATTGAAATTCTATTTCGAAGTTGATTTTCAATCCATCAAAGCTATTTTTATACACAAGGTGCTAATGTTTGATCCAAAAGATAAATAATTTCAATTTCAGAATTGTCTTAAATTTATATAAATCTGAGATTTCTGACCAATTTTTTAAAAAAGACATAAAGAGGAGACTTCATTTGATTCCTGTGTGGGAGCTTGCAGATGTTAGAAATAAATAAAAATGTATTTTGAGTTTCGAAAGTCCCCTGTCCTCCAAGTTTTAACTTTTAACTTCCTAGAAATAAATGTACAATGTATTCTTTTATGTGAAGGCATGAACATAAATAATCTGACTGGATAAAATTTACCAGCCCACCTTTTTTAGAATCAAATGGTTGTCCCCTGAAAGAATATACCTATTCTTCTATATATATATGTTTTGCATGTCTTTAAAAATATTGCATAGAAAATTCCAGATCTATATTAATTTCAAAATATATTTGGGAATATAAATTGTCTTTTGGATCAAACATTAACACTTAATTTGCATATAAAAATAGCTTATGTGGATTTAAAATCAACTTCAAACTAAAATTTCAACCCAATTTTTCTCAGATGTTCATGTCGAATTGTACCCGTCCATTTCATTGTTTATAGTCAAATATTTGGACTGCAACAGACGTAAATAACATATATTTCCAATCTTGCCCGTTAATGTTCTGTGATCTTACTTGAATCTATAATATACATCTATAATATACAATGTACTATATGTGGTTAATGGTTCTGGAGAAGATTTTTAAATGAAAATGAAGGTGAAAGTTTACAGATGACACAACAACAGAAGAACAGACAATTAGACATACAGGTGGATGCCAGACACTGGTCAATCAGAAAAGCATTTATAGCCAGGTTATATACCATATAAGCAGAAATTTTAGCAGGGATTCAATTATGGCATTTTTAGCAAGGGTGTTGACATCGCTAAAATTGAATATCGCTAACAATTTATTCCCACATTGAAGGTTACTGTAATCTTTCTATCACAAAATCGCTAAAAGTACTTCTCGTTAAAAATTAAATACTAATTTTTTTTAAGGAGATATCGCTAAATTTGCGCCTCGTTAAAACTTCCACTTACACATTACTTAAACCTAATTATATACTTAAAATACCTACATTACCCAGTTGATGATATTTCCAAACACCAATAAAACCATTCTATCCTAAAAATATTAAGTCAGTGCTGATAAACAAATCAAAATTTAAACAGTCAGGCAATCTTGTTAAAAAAGATGCATAAATTATATACATGTTCATGGGTATTTATGCATTGTATATTCTGTATAAGTATTGAGTTGATATATACTCACAGGATACATTGGTCTTCTACATCTCAACATGTCATATCTACACATCATAAACATTCTTCTAAAAATCCCTTTATCTGAAAAGTTAATAGTTAACACAGTGACAGTTTTTTTGTGCTACAAAGTACATTTGAATGAACACAAAAACATTTACTTAATTGTATTACACAGAAGAAGAAAGAACCAGAAGTCTCTGATGAGACATTAGCTCTACTGGTTCATACTTAGCAAAAGTAGAGAAAGGAAACATTTGGACTTGAAACTATGGCAACAGCAATAAATTAAATAATGATTCTTGTTTTAGTCTCTTTCTGTGTAAAGTTTAATTGCAATTGGACCAAAATTGTAGTAGGTGTAAAATTTTGAAAGAATTTCACAGAAATTTCTATTCTTAGTAACCATGGTAACATTGTTAATCCAAATCAAAATCCAATAAACAGAATTATGTATCTTAGTGAAGTCTACTCGTGTACCAAGATATAATGAAATCAGACTGAAACTAATTTTTATAACCATTGCAATACCCTTCACTGAAATCAAAACCAATTTACAGAATTATGTATCTTAGTGTAGTTTACTTGTGTACCAAGTTATAATTGAAAATTGGATTAAAACTGTAGGAGGAGTAACATTTTGAAAGAATTTCACAGAAATATCGAATTTTAGTTACCATGGCAACACCATTCGTTGAAATCAAAATCTGATAAAGAGAAATTAAATTATGTATCTTAGTGAAGTCTACTTGTGTACCAAGTTATATTGAATTCAGATTGAATCTGTAGGAGGAGTAGCATTTTAAAAGAATTTCAAGAAACATTCTATTCTTTGTAACCATGGCAAAATTGCTCATAGAAATCAAAAACCAATAGGCCCTAAAAGAATTATGTATCTTAGTGTAGTCTACCTGTGTACCAAGTTATACTGAAATCGAACTAAAACTGTAGGAGGAGTGGCAATTTGAAAGAAATTCTCAGAATTTTCTATTTTTAGTAACAATGGCAACATCGCTCATCAAAATCAAAAACTAATAAAAAAGAATTGTATCTTAGTGTAGTCTTCTTGTGTAGCAAGTTATAATTGAAATCAGACTGAAACTGTAGGAGGAGTAGCATTTTGAAAGAAATTCACAGAAATTTCTAATTTTATTAACTATTGCAACATCCTTCATCAAAATCAAAAACTGATAATTAGAATTATGTATCTTAGTGTAGTCTACTTGTGTACCAAGTAATATTGAAATAGGATAGAAACTGTAGGAGGAGTAGCATTTTGAAAAAAATTGTTTACAGACAAACAGATGGACAGGCAGATTGATGGATGATGGACACCTTACTATCACATAAGCTCTTCTAGTCTCTGACCAGTAGAGCTAAAAACTCACCTATTTTCCATCTTCCCATAAAGTAGATGTGAACACTAAGAACTAAGTAGAATAACATGTATACACAGGCAAAAAAAATCCAAAATATATTGGTCCCATATATCTGAAACAGATTTAACAAATCCATTTGACAATTACAACATAGCCAATTTACATAAACAATTATTTAATGGTAATTAAAAAAAAATGGCAATTCAAAATTTGATTTTTGTAGCCCCATGGTACAACTAGCATTGAGACAAAATTTGAATAAACACTTACAACTCCAATCACAGCTATGAATATGACAAATGCCATGACAAGATAGGAGGTGTGGGCTTTGGCACTGACATCTGGGTGTCTTGTCTGGTAAATCTTAAGCATGCACAAGCAGGCAATGATGTACATAAATGAGGTATCTGCAATAGAAATCACTGATTAGAATTTCAGTGAAATTAACAATTCTAAGCTAAATGAAAAATGCATAGCAGAGAAAACAAGAAGTCTGTGAGCCAATGCTCACTAGTAATAGCCCCGCTCTGATGTGAATATACACTCTAAGCACGGATAAACAGGAAGTTGACATGCAAAAATGAATCCCACCATATGACATGCCTAAACAAAGAGTGTGTTAAAATTTCAAGCATCTGCGATGAGTAGTTACTTAGAAAACTGCGACAAAAATTTGTTATGTATGGTACGGACAGACGCATGGATAAACAGGAAGTTGACCACGGATTCATACAAAAATGAATCCCATCATATGGCATGCCTAAACAAAGAATGTGGTAAAATTTCAAGCATCTGCGATGAGTAGTTGCTTAGAAAACTGCGACAAAAATTTGTGATGTATGGTAAGGACAGACGCACGGACAAACAGGAAGTTGACCACAGATTCATACAAAAATGAATCCCACCATATGGCATGCCTAAACAAAGAGTGTTTTAAAATTTCAAGCATCTGCGATGAGTAGTTGCTGAGAAAACTGCAACAAAAATTTGTTATGTATGGTATGGACAGACGCACGGATAAACAGGAAGTTAACCATGGATTCATACAAAAATGAATCCCACCATATGGCATGCCTAATCAAAGAGTGTGTTAAAATTTCAAACATCTGCAATGAGTAGTTGCTGAGAAAACTGTGAAGAAAATTTGTAATGTATGGTACGGACAGACACACGGATAAACAGGAAGTTGACCACGGATTCGTACAAGAATGAATCCCACTACATGGCATGCCTAAACAAAGAGTGTGGTAAAATTTCAAGCATCTGCAATGAGTAGGTGCTGAGAAAACTGCAGTGAAAAATTTGTTACGGACAGACAGACAGACACACACACAAACAGACACACAAGGGTAAAACAGTATACCCCCCTCTCCTTCAGAGCGGGGGTATAATTAAGTGCTCAGTTTCCTACAAGTAGCTAGAATGTGTGACTGAATAAGGAAAAGTAAGTGTCTTACCAAACTGAAAGTTGGAGTAATTGGGACAGACATGGTAGCAGGCACTCATAACACCCTCCATGATGAGGGCTAAACCCATGGCAAAGAAGAGACCAAAATGTTGGGGGATCCCTAGCTCTTTTTTCATAGATTTATCCTGTTGTACTGCCAGGGCATATATCAGCTTTCTACCAAAAAAAAATTATGAAAATGAAATATTTGTAATTGTGTTATATTCATATGTATGCCATATTTCCATAATCAATGTACATGTAAATAAGACGTATTGTTGCTTTTTAAACAAGAGGACCAAGGGTCACCTGAGTATAATACAACAATTTAGAGGATCCATAAGAATATAAAATAAACTGAAAGGTGAAGCTTTGTTGCCAAAAAGCAAGAAAAATAGGGTGATCAGGATCAACACACTAATTAGTCTAGTATTCATTAACTGTTCATAAATTAAGTTCTAATCTGTTCCCCATTTATCAATATCACCATACAGTATATTAACAGACTATCAGTTCTTCGGTACTATTTTAATACCTTGTTGAAATCTCTTACATTTGCCTCTCTTGGTCTTTGATGAACATATAATAAGACAAGTTATTTTGTTCTCATTTTTATTTATCTATTACTTACAAGTCTACCTTATCATTAAAACTAAGACAGTACTTTTTGTATTATACAATAAATTTTTTTGCATGATTCTCTTATTATATTAACCTTTCAAGTACATTATTTACAATGATTAATAATCAAAAGTAAACGGCAAAGGGGAATAACTCCTCTCAGTACAATACAAATTAATAGAGCCCTGGCCAGGACCAGAACACTTGACCAAATGGTCCAGATGTTCAAAAATCTGGTAAAAATACCCTTCCTTATTAAAACTTTTACTCTTTTTTGCCTCTGATATGCCCAGGTGCAGAGAAGATTTTTAAAGAAAAAATGCATTTTTACTACAGATTCACTATATTATCAATATAGACCCCTCCACCCGCCTCCCCCCTCCCTACCGAGAAACACCAGAGCCTCTCACCCTGGGACTAGAAGTTTGCTCATCATAAGTAATCACTTTGTTAGTCTGCTTAACACTAAGGAGCAGACAGGATTATTTAATAGAATTAATGCATTTTCACTATATTATCAAGAGCCCCACCCTTACACCAGCACATCTGACCATGCAATTCGCTACTCTGGAAGAAGCACTCTTGCTCATCATAACTATATACTTAGCTTCTTTGCTTTTTAACCCGAAGCAGAATAGAATATTTTCAATGAAATTTTGCTTTTTCAATACATAATCAATAGAGCCCCCCCCCCCCTCCCCCTTTTCACCAGAACCCTTGACCCTGGGGCCATGAAATTCACAGTTTTGGAAGAGGCATCCTTGTGTATCATAACAATGTACTTAGTTTGTTTAAATAATACCCAGGGGCAGAGAAGAAGATTTTCAAAGAAATAATTCACCTTCACTATAGGATCTATATAGCCCCGCTCTAGCACCAGAACCCCTGTCCCTGGGGCTATGAATTTCACAATTTTGGAAGAGGCATCCTTGCTTATCATAACAATGTATTTAGTTTAAATAATACCCAGGAGCAGAGAAGAAGATTTTTATAGCATTAATGCATTTTCACTACATAATAAATAGAGCCCCACCCTAACACCAGAACCCCTGATCCAGGGGCCATGAAATTCAAAATTTTGGAAGAGGCATCCTTGCTTATCATAATTATGTATTTAATATGTTTAAATAATACCCAGGAGTAGAGAAGAAGATTTTCAAAGAGATAATGCACTTTCACTATATGATCTATATAGCCCCACCTTAGCACCAGAATCCCTGACCCTGGGGCCATGAAGTTCACAATTTTGGTAGAGTCACCCTTGCTTATCATAACTATGTATTCAGTTTGTTTCAATAATACCCAGGAGTAGAGAAGAAGATTTTCAAAGAAATATTGCACTTTCACCATATGATCTATATAGCCCCACCCAAGCACCAGAACCCCTGACCCTGGGGCCATGAATTTCACAATTTTGGTGGAGGGCTCAATGCTTATTACAATCATGCCAACAGTTTGACTGCTTGATGTCCAGGAGTAAAGAAGAAGATTTTTAAAGATTGCATTAATTTTGGTGGTTTTAGCCCCACCCCTCAGGCCCCAGGGAGGTAGGGACCATGAAATTCATAAATTTTGTTCCCCTTCACACATAAATGCCATATGCTAAAATTGGCTGAAATTGGTTCAGCGGTTTCAGAGAAGAAGCTGAAAATGTTCAAATGCTAACACACGACGGATGACGACGGACGAAAACAGATAGCAATAGGTCACCTGAGTGACTCAGGTGACCTAAAAAGGTAGAACTTGTATAGAACTGCTTACTGTTTAACTTTGCACTTTATATTTGTATTCTTGCATGGTTTTTTTTTTTTCAATCATATACCTTCTGTACACGAGAAACAAAAAGAGGATGCCTAGAGACACATATCCAATATTGCTGAAGATGTTGTTGAATGAACTGACAAGACCCCATGGGTGAGCACAATTAAAATTGTAGTAGCAGATGTCTAAATTCCCAGTCACATTCAATACCTACAAAAAACATGGGTAATCAAAAATTACATAGCTCACATCAATCACACTTAACAAATATTCTGGTAGGTAATTTTCCTTAGATGCAACATTTACACATTCAAGTTCGGTCTGTGTAGGAGTTTTAGGTTCTTGGGAAAGGAATTGCCTAAAACATTTTCCATTCAATCATCTGAAAAAAGTAAGTAGGATCCAGCATCTGAATCATATCTGATAGTGTGAATCCCTAGATGCATCATCTATGCAAAATTGGTCACTGTACATAGAGCTACAATTACTTTGGAATGGACCTGCTTGAAAAACTTTAACTGGTCACTCATTCAGAAAATGTAGGTCAGATATATTCAGCAGCTGAAGCATGTCTGGTACATCTTATAGTTACATTGTAACAAATCTGACCCAAAAACTTTCTGTTCACTCATTTGGAAAATGTAGGTTAGATCCAGCATCTGAAGCAATTCTGATAGTGTACATCCCTAAATGCATCATAAATGCAATTTTAGTCAACAAAGTACATTTAGTTCTGAAAACTTCAACCTGTTCACTTACACAGAAACAGATCCACCATCTGAAGCATGTTTGGTAGTGTGCATCCAAAGATTAAATCTTTCATGCAAATTTAATCACCATAGGGCTTAAAGTTACTTAAGAATGAGATCTGCTCCACAAAACCTGGTCACTCTTCTGGAAAATGTAGGTCAGATCCAGCATTTAAAGCAAATTTGGTAATGTGCATCCTTAGATGCATCACCCATGCAAGATTAGTTACCAAAAGGCCAATAGTTTCTTGGGAATGATCCTGCTCTAAAAACTTAAACCTGGTCACTCATCCAAACAAAAGGCCCAAGGGCCTTAACAGCTACCTGAGTAAAATACAACTCTGTAAATGATCCATGAAATGGTGGAAATAATCATAAAACAAGAGAAAAAGGGTGATCAGGGATCAAAGATTTATTTAGTCTGGTAATCAGCAACATCCTCAGAAACTTGCATGTATTTACCAATGCAATCTGCACTCTATCATAATAAAGTGCTTTATTGTAGAACACAAATAACCAGCTTTTTTTTATGCCCCCGGATCGAAAGATCCCAGGGGTATTTTGTTTTTGTCCTGTCTGTCTGTTTGTCTGTTTATCTGTTTGTCTGTCTGTCTATTGTCAACTTAAACCTTGCCCATATCTTTTGATTGGTTGGATCTATGACTTTCATATTTCACATGTGTATTCCTTGTGACAAGACCTTTCTTTGGGTACCATCATATTTGACCTTTTGACCTTGACCTTGGAGTTTGACCCACTTTTGCAAAATTTTATGAGACTTTAACCTTGGCCATAACTTCTGAACAGTTGGTGCTTGGGGTTTCAAACTTCACATGTGTATCCTTTGTGACAAGGCCTTCCTTTGGATACCAATAACTTTGACCTTTGGACCTTGACCTAGGAGTTTGACCTACTTTTGAAAAACTTTAACCTTGGCCATAATTTTTGAACAGTTAGAGCTAGGGCTTTCGTACTTCACATATGTAATCCTTGTGACAAGACCTTCCTTTGGATACCAACCACTTTGACCTTTTGACCTTGACCTAGGAGTTTGACCTACTTTTGAAAAACTTTAACCTTGGCTATAACTTTTGAATGGTTGGTGCTAGGGCTTTCATACTTTACATATGTAATCCTTGTGACAAAACCTTCCTTTGGATACCAACAACTTTGACCTTGATGTTTTACTTACTTTTAAAAAACTTTAACCTTCGCCATAACTTTTGAACAGTTGCAGCTAGGGCTTTCAAATTTAACATTTTTTATCTTTTGGCCTGGATTTTGACTTGCATTTGAGAAACTTTAATCTTTGCCATAAGCTGCCATACGGGGGCATCAGTGTTTCACAAACACATCTTGTTTAATCTTAAAATAACATTTAATGTACAAATATAAGGTAAATGTACTTTTGTCTCATTTACATTCATCTATTATTTAAATGTGAACATGACTATTAAAACCACACAAGTACTTTTAATATCATATATTACAAATTTTTGTATAATTCTTTTATTCAATTTACTTATGAATTACATTATTTACCTTGATAAATTATCATTAATGAATAACAAAGGGGACTAACTTAAATAATCCCATACATGATCACAATAGAATCCCAACCTAACTCTAGAGCCCCTGTCTCAGGGGCCATAAATTTCACAATTTTGGAAGAAGCACTCTTGTTCATAATAACCACCCACTTAGTTTATCTGAAAAATACCCTCGAGTAGGGTAGAAAATTTTCCAAGAATTAATGCATGTTCACTATATGATCAATTGAGCCCTGTCCTTGCTTCAGATTCCATGACCCAGGGGCCATGAATTTCAGAATTTTGTCAGAAACACCCTTGCTTATCATTACTATGCACTTAGATTACATGCTAAATACCCAGCAACAGAAAAGAAGATTTTCAAAGAATTAATGCATTTTCACTATATGACCAATAAAGCCCAGAAGCCATGAATTACACATTTTTGGAAGAAGTACTGTATGTGTACTTAAAAAAAGCGGGCTTCATATTTTAGCGACTTTGGCGTGGACAAAGCTGCGCTAATTCATGAATACCGCTAAGAAGTCATATAAAAATACAATATATGGTGCGAAAGTGTGTAGCACTAATTCTTGAATATGCCAATAACTCCATACCCAATGATTGCGCTAAATTTTGAATATGCAAATTTATGTACACTTACAGTACTCAATAACATCATAACCATACACTTAGTTTGTCTGCTAAAAACCCAGGAGCAGAGAAGATTTTCAAAGAATAAAAGCATTTTCACTATATGACTAATAAAGCCCTACTCTTACATCAGAACCCCTGAACCAGGGGCCACAAATTTCAAAATTTTAGAAAAGGCATCTTGTTCATTATACCTTTGAACTTAGTCTGCTAAACATACAGGGGGAGAGAAGATTTTGAAGATTTTATGCATCATCACTACCAGGGTATATGATCATTAGAGCCCCATTCTAACAACAGAACCTCTGACCCTGGGGCCATGAATTTCAAAATTTTTAAAGAGGGCTCAATGCTCATTACAATCATCCAAACAGTTTGACTGCTTGATGACCAGGAGTAAAGAAGATTTTGAAAGATTTCACTAATTTTGATGGTTTTGGCCCCATCCCTCAGGCCCTATGGGACAGGAACCACGAAATTCCATTTTTAGGTCACCTGAGTCACTCAGGTGACCTAATTGCTATCTGTTTTTGTCCGTCGTCGTACGTCGTTCGTAATCTTTTGAACATTTTTAGCTTCTTCTCTGGAACCACTGAACCAATTTCAACCAAATTTGGCATATAGCATCTATGGGTGAAGGGGAGTAAAAATTATGAAATTCATGGCCCCTGCCCCCCTGGGGCCTGAGGGGTGGGGCTAAAAGCATCAAAATTAATGCAATCATTAAAAAATCTTCTTCTTTACTCCTGGACATCAAGCAGTCAAACTGCTGGCATGATTGTAATAAGCATTGAGCCCTCTACCAAAATTGTGAAATTCATGGCCCCAGAGTCAGGGGTTCTGGCACTATGGTGGGGCTCTAATGTTTATATAGTGAAAATGCATTAATTCTTTAAAAATCTTCTCCTCTGCTCCTGGGTATTTAGCCAATGAACTAAGTACATAGTTATGATGAGGAAGAATGCCTCTTCCAAAATTGTGAATTTCATGGCCCCTGGGTCAGGGGTTCTGGTGTTAGGACGGGGCTCTAATGATTAAATAGTGAAAATACATTAATTCTTTGAAAATCTTCTTCTCTGCTCCTGGGTATTATTTAATCAAACTAAGTGCATGGTTATGATAAGCAATGATGCCTCTTCCAAAATTATGAAATTCATGGCCCCTGGGTCAGGGGTTCTGGTGTTAGGGCAGGGCTCTATTGATTATATAGTGAAAATGCATGAATTCTTTGAAAATCTTCTCCTCTGCTCCTGGGTATTATTTAAACAAACTAAGTGCATGGTTATGATAAGTAATGATGCCTCTTCCAAAATTATGAAATTCATGGCTCCTGGGTCAGGGCTTCTGGTGTAGGGGGGTGGGTGGGTGGGTATTGATTATATAGTGAAAATACATTTAATTCTTTGAAAATCTTCTTCTCTACTCCTGGGTATTATTGAAACAAACTGAATACATAGTTATGATAAGCAAGGGTGACTCTACCAAAATTGTGAAATTCATGGCCCCAGGGTCAGGGGTTCTGGTGTTAGGGTGGGGCTCTATTGATTATATAGTGAAAATGCATTAATTCCTTGAAAATCTTCTCTTTTGCTCCTGGGTAATATATAAACTAACTAAGTATATAGTTATGATGAGCAAGAGTGTCTCCTCCAAAATTGTGAATTTCATGGCCCCTGGCTCAGGGGTTCTGGTATTAGGGTGGGGCTCTTTAATTATGTAGTGAAAATGCATTTATTCTGTTAAATAATTCTGTCTAAACCTTAACGTTGAGCAGATAATAAAGTGCATAGTGCTTCTTACAAAATTTTTAAAACTTTGTGGTCCCAAGGTGAAGGGCTTTTGTGTTAATTCTTTGAAAATCTTCAACTAAGTGCAGAGTTATGATGATGAGGGTACCTCTTCCAAATTTGTGAAATTCATGACCCTGGGTCATGGGTTTTGGTGTTAGGGTAGGGCTGTGTTGAATCTGTAGTCATGGTACATGTAGTGAAAATGCATTATTTCTTTGAAAATTTTCTCTGCTCCTTGTCATATCAAAGGCAAACAAAGTAAAAGTTTTAATAAAAGGATATTTTTACCAGATTTTTAAACATCTGGACCATTTGGTCAAGTGTTCTGGTCCTGGCCAGGGCTCTATTAATTTGTATTCTCTTGAGAGAAGTTATTCCCCTTTGCAATTCACTTTTGATAGTTAATCACTGCAAATAATGTATTTGAAAAGTTAATAGAATAAGAGAATTGTGCAAGAAATTTTATAGTATAATACAAAAACTACTTTCATAACTTTAATGATCAGAAAGATTTGTAAATAATAGAATAATAAAACTGAGACAAAAATAACTTATTAAAATGTTCTTCAAAGACCAAGAGAGGCCAATGTGAGAGATTACAAGTTGGGGTTAAAAATAGTACAGAATTACCAATAGTTTGTTAACAGTCTGGATGGTGATAGTGATAAATTGGGGACAGATTAGAATTTAATTTTAATAAGAGTTGTTACTAAATATTAGACTAATTAATTCATTGATGCTGATCATCCAATTTCTCTTACTTTTTGGCAACAAAGTTTCATCTACTAGTTTATTTTATATTCTATGGATCCTCTAAGTTGTTGTATTATACTCAGGTGACCGTTAAGGCCCTTGGGCCTCTTGTTGTTCCTCTTAACCCATAGATGCTATAAACAAAAACTGCTTGAAATTGGTTCCAGAGGAGAAGCTAAAATGTTTAAATGTAAATGCACAACTCACATGACAAAAACAGATAGCGATACATCACCTGAGTGACTGAAAAATGAAGGTCAGATCCAGCATCTGAATTAAGCCTGGTAGTGTGCATCCCTAAATGCATCATCCATGCAAGTTTGGTCAACAGACTTTTAAAAATTTATCGATATTTGCAATATAAACAGAACAGCACTAGACAGATTAAATTATAATATTTATTGCTATAAAAACTTCTAAAGTATCTAAGAGAAATGATAAGCCTTAACTTTAAATAGGACAGTATTTATTTTCTGTAAAAAAAAAAAAATAAATAAAATAGAATAAAATAAAACAAAATTTACTGGAAAAAAGATCAGGTAGAGGCAATTTTGACAGATCAGTCAGAGTATATCAAACAAATCATTCTTTATTGTTGGCCTGGTCACTCACTTTCTTCAAAATATTGCATCCTGAGTTCATACAACTAAGTCTGAAGTTAAATTTGATAGTTGTAATCCATTAAAAAGGTAAATAAATATCATTTACTAAATCAAATATTAAGGTTAGTGCAAACAGCGATAATTTAATCTAATGCCTATTAACTTTTTCAAATAACAAGGTAATATTTCAAATGGATCACTAATTATAAAGGAAAGTACATTTACCAACTTATAAACTTCTAAATTAAAGCTTAACATAAGAGTTAAGCATATACCAGTTAGATGAACATCATTGTCTAAATTTTGCTTCTCATTCTGCTCAAAATTTCACAACCAATATTTTTAACCTTTTAGCAATTAAAAAAAAATTGTTAAAGGCTTTTAAAAACCTGTAAGTTCAGTTGTGTTCTGTGCTTACTAAATGTAGTATGTGTTACAATATGTACCATTTCAATGCCTACCTTTTGGTAAGTGAATACTAACTGCAGTACAGGAAGTCCATAGAATATAGATATTGCAACCAAGTTTCTGACCAAATAGGAGGAAAAAATAAACATATTACTTCATCATGATAAAACAAAATTACTGCACAATACATTTAAATAGCTTGTACAATGTTGCATTTCTACAAAAAAAATATTTATATACTAGGACACCAAAAGCCTATTTACCTCCAATATATAGCATAATTTCTTGCTTGTTTTTTGTATTTCTTTCTTGACAAGTCGCAAACAAATAACTCAGTCTGAAAAAGAAGAACAAAGTGCAGCTGTACTTGGGTAACTCAAACAATGATTATAACAATACATGTAAGTTAATCTGAAGGGAAAGTTATTTAGGGTGTTATCACAAATGATTTGTAACGTCACAAATGACCTCCAAAATTATATTACTACATGGAACAGAAAACAATTAGCAATGTAATTTAAATAGTTTCTATTGTTAATTGGAACTTCAAATTTAAAAAGCTTTTGTTTGAAGAAATTAGTCATTTATTGTGAAAGAGGCACCGCTTTATCTCCTCAAAGTAATGCTCAGTCTAGGCTTGAAGGAAAATCAATGACATTTCAATGTCATAATACACACAAAGATATAGTGTAGATCAAACTCAAAAAACTGACTTTCTTATTTCCTATCTGATACAGTATACACATTGGAAAACTATTCATTACAGCATGGCTGGTATACCGCGAAAAAACATGTCCAGATCAATGTCTGTAGGAAATGTTAATTTTTCCACCGAGGCTGGAAGGAATAAACAATTTGTTCCAAAGAAGGGCATGACTTTTAGAAAAGGAAAAGAAATAGGAAAATCTAATACTGGAGGAGTTGAAAATCTAGTGAGACAAATCTATCAACTTGTAGCTGGACAGGAGACTTCTCAATTAACACCAATATCTTGTGCTAAAGAAACTATTCTGACTTTACAAGAAGCCATTGGAGAAATGAAGAAAATAGCTACAGACAATGGAGAAACCGCTTCATTTTGTAAGTTAGTTGCTGATGTCCTAAAAGAGCACACTCACCTTAGAAGTCAACTGGAGGCAAAAGAAGCAGATTATAGCACAATGAAAGAATTCTATAGCCAAAATTTAAAAGATGCCAAAAATGAAGTACAAATTAAAATCCTTGACTTGGAATCAGAAAAGCAAGAGAATGACAAACTGAAAAGACGAAGTGAAAACCTTCAACAAAAAGTTACAGATTATGAAAGCAGAATACACAAATGTCAGCAAGATTTAAGACTGCTTGAGGAAGAGAAACAAGAATTGAGTGATGAAAAATTTGGACTACAGAAAAAGATGAAGAAGCTAGATGAGATTAATTCAGATCAAAAGAATGAAATAGCCACACTTGAAGCTGAAATCCAAAAATTAAGGGAAAGATTCAATGAAAATACAAGCCAGACTAGAAAACAGGACAGGTTAAAGACAACTAATACATATCAAGAGGAATGGGTACAACACTGGGTCATGTCCCATCCTCCTGAAGATTCTGGTCATCACAACATGGATATAGAGAGTAACAAACCAAGGTCAGCTGCCACTGAAAGAGCACTCACTTCTCTCTCACGTTCAGCATCCGAGTATTCACACAGACCCATAAGCAGTCAAAGTCTGGGGTTTAGTTGTGCCAATAGTAGGACCTCTACAATCAAACATTCACTGAGACCTGTTAGTTGTGAGAGTTCCAAATTCAGTTGTGCTAATAGTTCTGCCTCCACAGTTAAAAATACAGAGAGACCCATGAGTACTGCAGGAACAGATATCAGTTGTGCAAACAGTGGAACTTCGACATTTACTGATTTTAAAAAATCATTTTAAAAAAATAGAAAGTAAAATCTGTGGCAATCTGTGCTTATCTTTGCAGACAGATTGCTAACTAGAGTTGTCTTAATGGGTGAAATACTACCTTGGGGCACAATAAAAGCCATCATCTTTGTTTTGGATATCCTCTGAGATGAGGCAGAGAGTGATCTAAATATTGAGCTTAATCTAAGGTCTACAGGCATTACAGAGAGAAAAAAATAGTAATTCCAGTATACCCCAATTTCTTTTCTGAAAGGCAAGGGTAATATTTGTGAGCGGGTTTAAAATTTGAGCAAGATGCATACACAAGGTCACATGACTCAACTGATTATGTCATAACATTTGTATATTTGTCTAGATGGATTCAAAACTTTATTTAAACAATAGCACTGCCAAGTAAAGCAACCCTTGTGACAGCAAATATTTTCAGAATATGAGATATGCGGTGATTACTGCCAAATGAGACAAAACTCTTCTGTCTGTAATTAAAAAAAAAAATTTAAAAATATGAAATTGTTGAAAATTTTAGATAGTCTTGATAATGACTAGTCAATGATGCTTTAATATAAATGTCACTTTTGCCTTCAAGATGTATACTGGCACATCAAATTTTGAGTTTTAATGACCCGGCCAGACATGTTATGTAAAATGATATCAGATTATTCTGAATACTCAAGCTCACTAACTCTTGACACTTTCACTTTCAAAATTACCAATTAATGCCTCAAATTTTATAAAAGTATTTTAACATACATTTATGTTAATTTGGCAACAGGAATGCAGAAATTTAGTACACATTTCACCTCAACAATAATGCACATACACAAGAAAGCAATACTAATAAAATTGTTCCTTCCTTACTCTGTATTCTTACTGGTAATTTGCACATAAAATTTGAGTTGAAATTCCACAATATCAGAGAAATACTTCACTAATAACCTTTACAAAATAAACAGGGTTTGGCCTATTACAATGCAAAAGAATTTATGCGAAGTTTGCTGATCCCAGATACTTGTTCTAGGGTTTTCTTTTATCTTGCCAATAGGGTTGTACATGGACACACCAACACACACACAATGAACTACAATTTTACTTTGAGTTGTATAAATAAGGAGGAGAGACCTCAGCCGTAAATGATTTTTTTCTTGTATATCAATGAAATCTTGTTTTTTGCCAAAAGCAATATGAAAATGGATTTCCACAAAAATTAATGAATCAGAGTATGCAAGAAATGAAACTTTACTGTAGCCCCAACCTGCCCTAAAAGCCATTCCTGAACTTTGAATCTACATGGCATTGGAGTGAATAAATATCAATTTCTCTCAATTTTGAAATTTCAGGGATCTAACATGTCAAATATCTTCTTGTAAAAAAAATTGCACAGGAACTGGCTAATTTAAAGAGTTATTGACGAGATACATGTGGAATACTGAACTTTCAGTTTCAAATTTTCTACATGGCAGGCAAGTTACCGGGGTACATGTCCATTCATTAGAGGGTCAAAAGCTTAAAATTACCACAAGTTTATGAATTTTCTTTTAATGAAAGCTGAAAACACATCAAGACATTAGCTAATGTATATACATGTAAATATCAATCCCCCCCTACCGTGGGATTAAGGATATTTATCATTTACTTACTTTTCTATTAACTTACAGAGTAAAGAAAACAAGCATCAAAATTACTCACTTTTGTTCTGAATACATCTTTTTCTGAGTCAGCGTCTTTGAGAAAATCAATGTCGTCTGAATCAAGAGAACTGATGGACATATTGTCTGATGCATTTGTACTATTCCTGGTGGTCGAAAGGGCTGATGATGTAGCAGTTTTGATTGTGGTGCTCAGCAAGTCATTGTGTTCATCATCAGCATCTACAATGTAGTTTAGATGTTCATCCATTTTACTATATTTACATGCACAATAAAAATTTTATTTATTTTTTATGCCCTGCCATGAATATGGCATATAGTGTTTGTCATGTCTGTTTTTCATCCTTCAGTCCTTAGTCTATCCATCTGTCACACTTTGCATTTAGCTCAGTTTCTAAGAAACTGTTCAAGATATGTTACCAAAATTCATACAATGATACATATTGGTGAGAGCTATTCAGTTGTGGCATAATTTTCTGACCTTGACCTTGTTTTCCCTATTTTGTATTTAGCTCACTTTCAAAGAAGCTATTCAAGATATTTTTATACAAACACATACTTGGATATGTGTTGGTGAGAACTTTAAATTGTGTGACCATGTCATTATTTTTTGACCTTGACCTTCCCTGTGACCTTACCTTACTTACCTAGTTGGTGTTAAGCTAAATTTCAAAGCAATTATTAAGGACATTTTTACAAAATCTCTTACACTGACACCTATTAGTCCTTGACCTCACTATTTCCTATTGTGTGTTAAGCTCAGTTTTAAAGCAATTCTTGGAGATATTTTATCAAAACTCTTTACACTGATACATATTAGTAGGAGCTATTCAAGTGTCTCCTAATTTTTTCATCTTAACCTTCCTTATGACCTTGACCCCACTTTACCTTTTTAGCTCACCTGAGCTGAAGGCTCAAGTAAGCTTTTCTGATCACATTTTGTCTGTCGTCTGTCTGTCCGTCCATCTAGCTGTCTGTCTGTAAACTTTTCACATTTTCGACTTCTTCTCAAGAACCACTGGGCCAAATTCAACCAAACTTGCCACAAAGTATCCTTGGTTGAAGGGGATTCAAATTTGTTCAAATGAAGGGCCACACCCTCTTTCAAGGGGAGATAATTAGGAATTAGTGAAAAAATAATGGCATCGTTTAAAAATCTTCTTCTCAAGAATCACTGGGCCAGGAAAGATAAAACTTAAGTGGAGACATCCTTAGGTAGTGTAGATTCAAGTTTGTTCAAATCATGACCCCCAGGGGTAGGGTGGGGCCACAATGGGGGATCAAAGTTTTACATAGAAATATATAGGAAAATATCTTTAAAAATCTTCTTCTTAAGAACAGGAAAGCCATGATTGGTCATATTTATATGGAAGCATCCTCAGGTAGTGTAGATTCAAGTTTGTTCAAGTCATGACCCCCAGGGATAGGATGGGGCCACAATGGAGGATCAAAGTTTTTCATAAGAGTATATAGAAAAAACTTTAAAAATCTTCTTCTTAAGATCAGCAAAGCCATGATTGGTCATATTTATATTGAAGCATCCTTAGAAGTGTAGTGTAGATTCAAGTTTGTTCAAATCATGACCCCCGGAGGTAGAGTGAGGCCACAATGGGTGATCAAAGTTTACAGAGGAATATATAGGAAAGAAATTTTTTTCTCAAGGACAGAAAAAGCCATGATTAGCAAAATTGATATGGAGGCATCCTTGGGTAGTGTAGAATGAAATTTGTTCAAATGAGGGCCCCCTGGGGTAGGGTGGGGCCACAATGGGGGATCAAATTTTTACAAATGAATATATGGGGAAAAATCTGCTCAAGAACAGCAAAGCCATTTGTTATATTCATATGAAAGCATCATCAGGTAGTTAAAAATTCAACCCCCCCCCCCCCCCCCCCCCCCGGTAAACTTTTCAATACTGAACTGATTTTTGCTTTTTTTTCCCTAGCCAATGTGCTCAGGTGAGCAATGTGGCCCATGGGCCTCTTGTTTTAGCATTTATGTTTCAAAGTAACTGTTCCTGGTGTTTCTTCAAACTTCATGGATACAAACTGTAAAGAACTATTCAATTGTGTCAAAATTTTCTGACCTTGACCTTCCATATGGCCTTCACTATTGATTGTTTTCATTTAACACATTGAAGAAAAAACTGTTCAATACGTTTTCATCAAACCTCATACACACAATACAATTGGTGAAAAATTTTCAACTGTGTCTTAATTTTCTGACCTTGGGGTCTTTTCTATGACCTCAACCTCTTTTTAAAGATATTTTATTAAAACTGTATGCTAAGTTACATATTGGCCTTTCCAATAACCTTGAGTCCACTGTTCATTCGTTTTGAAATTACCTAGTTCTGTATATGATACAAATTATAAAAATTATTCCTACTTTCTTTATTTATATTTATACCTTATCATTTCCTATTTTCATCATATTTTAGTACTATCTCTGACTAAAGAAGGAAGGTACATTTCTTTTCATTTTGCAGTTCAAATGTACCTTGGATGGAGTATTCATGTCCTGTGAAAAAAATTCCAGTTTTTTTAAGCAATGATTTAAGCTTAATCTTCTCATGAATTACAGACAATGATAAGATATAAAATTTAAATTGTTGATACCAAGTTTTTACCAAAAAGAACTTCTCAAAAATAAATATGCATTGTTGTATTACAGTATACTAATAATATGTGTTTCTTACTTGAAGTTACTGCAGAAATTAGAATTATCTGTCAAATAACTAATACAGTAAAACATCTTTATAGCAAGTGCTATGATAACTAGGATGAATAAATTTAGATTTGTTATAAACATAATTTGTTACATCAGATAAGTTCATAATACATTTTAACAAGAGGCCCAAGGGCCTTGATTCGCTCTTCTGATAAACTGTACAACATGTCACTTCTATTTGAAGCCTCTAAGCATCCTGTATATTTAGATAAAGCCTTGAAATTCCAAAGGTAGGTCATCATGACCTACATTTTAGATGAAACACTCTGAGAACCCAAGATTATTCTAAGCCAATTAGTACCTAAGAGTAGGTCATGGAGACCTACTTATCACTTGTCATTCTCTGAGGACCCAAGATGCATCAACTAAGTTTGATGATTCTAGGCCAATTAATACCTAAAATATTTTTAAAATTATAACCATAAAATTTCAAAAGTAGGTCAAAGTGACCTACTTTTCAGATGACATACTTTGAGGACCCAAGATGCATCAACTGACAAAGTTTGATGATTCTAAGCCAATAATTACCTGATATATTTAAATAAACCCATAAAATTTCAAAAAAGGTCACAGTGACCTCCTTTTCAGTTGACTAACTCTGTGGCCCCAAGATGCTACAACTGACAAAGTTTGGTGATTCTAAGCCAATTAATACCTAAAACTATTTAAAAAAAACAATAAAATTTCAAAAGTAGGTCACAGAGATCTACATTTCAGTCAACCTACTATGAGGACCCAAGATGCATCAACTGACAAACTTTGATGATTCTAAGCTAATTAGTACCTGAAAAATATTTCATTATAGCCATATAAATTGAAAAGTATGTCACAGTGACCTACTTTTCAGTTGTTGTACTCTGAGGACCCAAGATGCATCAACTGACAAAGTTTGATGATTCTAAGTCAATTAGTACCTGAAATATTTAATTAAAGCCATAAATTTTTAAAAGTAGGTCATGGTGACCTACATCTCAGTCGACCTACTCTGAAGACCCAAGATACATCAACTTACAAAGTTTGGTGATTCTAAGCCAATTAGTACCTGAAATATTTAATTATAGTCATTAAATTAAAATTGAAAAGTAGGTCACGGTGACCTCCTTTTCAGTCGACCTACTCTGAGGACCCAAGATACATCAACTGACAGATTTTGATGATTCTAAGCCAAATAGTACCTGAAAGTAATAAATACAGCTATAAAATTTCAAAAGTAGGTCAAGGTGAGCTACTTTTCAGTTGTTGTACTCCAAGGACCCAAGATGCATCAACTGACAAAGTTTGATGATTCTAAGTCAAAAAGTACCTGAAACATTTAATTAAAGCCATAAATTTTCAAAAGTAGGTCACCGTGACCTACTTTTGAGTCGACTTACTCTGAGGACCCAAGATGCATCAACTGACAAAGTTTGATGATTCTAAGCCAATTAGTACCTGAAATATTTAATTATAGTCATTAAATTAAAATTGAAAAGTAGGTCACGGTGACCTCCTTTTCAGTCGACCTACTCTGAGGACCCAAGATACATCAACTGACAGATTTTGATGATTCTAAGCCAAATAGTACCTGAAAGTAATAAATACAGCTATAAAATTTCAAAAGTAGGTCAAGGTGAGCTACTTTTCAGTTGTTGTACTCCAAGGACCCAAGATGCATCAACTGACAAAGTTTGATGATTCTAAGTCAAAAAGTACCTGAAACATTTAATTAAAGCCATAAATTTTCAAAAGTAGGTCACCGTGACCTACTTTTGAGTCGACTTACTCTGAGGACCCAAGATGCATCAACTGACAAAGTTTGATGATTCTAAGCCAATTAGTACCCAAAATATTTAATTATAGTCATATAAATTGAAAAGTGGGACACTGTGACCTACTTTTCAGTCGACCTACTCAGAGGACCAAAGATACATCAACTGACAAATTTTGATGATTCTAAGCCAAATAGTACCCTAAATATTTAAATATAGCCATAAAATTCCAAATTAGATCACGATGACCTACTTTTCAATGGACGTTTTTTTGAACACCCAAGATGCATCAACTTACAAAGTTTTATGATCATAGGCCTTAAAATGTCCAAATTATGCCTCTAAAACGCTTTGAAATCGAATGCCTGCAAAATTCAAAAAGTAGGTCACTGTGACCTACTTTTTAATAAATATGTTTTATGGCCCCAAGATGCATCATCTTACAAGATTTAAGGATTCTAAACCTCTCAGTATTTGAATTAATGACCTTAATTGTTTTGAAAAAGATTTGCCATAAAATTCAAAAAGTAGGTCAAGGTGACCTACATTCTAGTTGATGTACTCAGAGGACACAAGATACATCAACTGACAAAGTTTGATGATCATAGGCCTTAAATTATTCAAAATATGCCTCTATATCATTTTGAAAAAGAATGGCCGCAAAATTTAAAAAGTAGGTCACTGTGACCTACTTTTTAGTCAACATGATATGAGGTCCTTAGATGCATCAACTGACAAGATTTGATGATCCTAGTCCTTAAAGTAAGCAAAATATCAACATTTTAATAAAATGTAATTTTTGGTCAACTTTGAAGTGACCTTGAGACCACGCCCTTTGCCCCAGGTAGATTCCCTGTGAATTTTAATCTACAACATATCCTCATCCTTTTGTGTAAGTTTGGTGATAATCTGCCCAGTGGTTCTTGAAAAGAAGATTTTTTAGCAACCAGTACTTTTGGTTTTATATACCTAATTATCTCCCCTTGTTTAAGGATCACAACCCTAGTTTTAGTACAAACGAGAGCCCTTGGGTCAAGGATATCCTGTGACAAATTTGACAATAATTGGCCAAGGGGTTCTTGAGTTATGGCCCATATTCTAAAAGTGCGCACACCGCACAAATGGCCATAGCATTAGCTCTTTGAGCCTTTGGCTCAGAAGAGCTAAAAATACAAGGGGATGAAACTCACTTTGCTGTAAGCCTGATTTTATCATAATCAAGTTTCTGTAACGGTACTTTACTTTAATGTTCAAAGAACATGTCAGATGCACTTTGTTGTACATACAATACGATGTGATATCATTTTGAAAAAAACAAAGTGTGACTTCTCTCTGACAAAAGGCTGGACAAGCAAAGGACTGGTAATGCACAAATACTGTTATTTCAATTTTTTATGAAAAAAAAGAGAAATCTTTGATAAATAACACACACTGTTGTATTACAGTATACTACACCTTGGTTATGAATGGACCCATATGTTGAAGCACCAGTCCTTGTATTTAGAGGTCTAGCTGGATTGTCCATACTCTCTGTAAAATCATAAAAGAATATACATCTGTACATATAATTACAATGACTCTTCTTGCAACTCATAAATTTCTTAATCCAATTTTAAATCCACTCTTTATTCTTTCTCACTAAAAGTGCATATATATGACTCTCTAGAGAACATTTTGTATTCAATATTTATTATAGACCTGTTTTTAGCCAAACATCAATTCCATTAAAGAAATGTTTTCATATTCTGACCTGAATTTTGGTCTTGAGATTCAGGAATCATCCATATACCTCTGTGTTTTGAACTAAAGAAAAACAAAAAAAAATTGTATAAAGGATTACATCAATTAAGATTCTCGAGTCAAGTTTATGAAGCATTCTGAGAATTGATAATCATGCATATTTAAATCAAAATATAATGCAGAGATGCATGTACTCATAAATTTGTTCATACAGATAATGCAAAAGATCTATGTACCATCCATGATAAAAACATCCGATACAGAAAGCTATCAAGTAAAAGGATCCAAAAAGAGCTATAGCAAACAACATTCCCCAGTAGTATTTGTCACCTGAAAAAAAAATCACAACAATCCATTAGTGCGGTGAAATCATCACATTTCTTTAGGAGTTAATTTTTGTGGCTTTTGTGGGTGCCTTACAAATTTACAACAGTTTATCTCAACATATATTGGTATACAAGTACATGTCAGTTTGTCCACAAAAATTATACAAGCCCACAAACTTGAACATCTTTTGCTATCTGAAACCCAACACAAATTAAAATGATTTAAGGTATACTAAAATCTGTGAATAAAGAGAATTTTTAGCCATTAATAACTTAATCACTTTAATATCTTAATTGAAAAGACCTTCAGATAAAAAATAAAATGAATTCATCTTTATGGTGGTATATATAAGACAAATTCATAAAATAAAGTAATAATGAACATGATGAATGAAAGTTGGTTTAATGTTTTACTGTATGATTAAAGATTTAAGGAAGATTTAAGATCTCAGCTGATGATCATACCACTTATAGTTGTCTTGATTTCCAGAGTTATATTCTTCTCTCGTTTGAATCCCGCTGGTAAAATTGTTTCTAGTTCAGAGGAACAGACTTTGTCCAATGGTTTCAGAACAAAAATTACATAGAAAGAATCTCCAGGATAATCGCCTCTCTGCAATTTATAAATATTCTTACATGAGTACCTCTAGCACTAGTCAAAAAATCTAAATTTTTCTCTTTGTAAATTTGATAGAAAAGTTTCTTTTACTTAAAAGCTCTTTAACATTCTATAGAAAATCAATACCTAATTTAATATAGGATACTAAATATGAACTAATTATTAATACAATCTACAAATTTTTTCCAATAAAAGAAAATGTACCTCTATCTGAATAGCAGCCTGTTTGGTCATAGTTTGGTACTTTCCTTCAAATTCCACATTAACATTGAGATCATAAACAGGACACTGAAATGCAAGTGGATTTTTCATAAGTTTGGGTGAAAATACTGCACATAGTTCTCAAACAATCTTCTGTTGAAAAATATTCATGGAGACAGACAATGGACACCATAACCCCAATAAAACTTCTTATTTGCCCCTGGCAGGACTTTCACCTGCAAGTCCAGGGGTGGTCAACAACACCAAATCTGTAACAGGAAAGGAGAAAATGTATGGCTGGACCAAGAATCGAACCTGAGACCCCTGCATCAATAGTCAGGTGCTCTACCGACTGAGCTACCCACAGCCCAAACCATTACATGACTTTACTATTTCTATGTTCTTCACTCTGTGTAATCGGACAACCTGTCTATTCCAACACAAAATTTGTGTTCCAGTGCATGTTGGATTAGGCAGGTTTCACTTTATCAGGATAATAGGCTCTTAGATATGAACAATCAAACCTTCATATAGGTATTATATAGATATTCAAGGGACTAATCCTTGTTTAGTAAAATCTTTTTGTTTCCAGGCAGGACAGTTAGATCTGCCTATAGCTCATGTGAAACCTGTTCAAAACTGTCATGGAATCACATTCCACACTTCAAGGAAGACACAACAACTGATCCAGTGTCGAAACTGTTCATAACAAAATGCAAAAAAAAAATCAGCATTTGGTCAAGACAAACCCTTGCCCACAAAACATAGACAGTCTTGAGTAATATTCTCCATGCTACTATAGTAACAAGCTAGCAAATTAAACAAGAAGTCTGTGAGCCAATGCTCACTAGTAACACCCCCGCTTTGATGTGAATATACATGTACACTCTGATGTGAATGTACACAAGTTCAATTATGGACAGACACAAGGATGAACAAAAAGTTGACATCAGATTCGTACAAAAATGAATCCCACCATATTGCAGACCTAAACAGTGTGCTAAAATTTCAAGCAACTGCAATCAGTAGTTGCAGAGAAAACTGCAACCGAAATTTGTTAGGTATGGTACGGACAGAAGCACGGATAAACAGGAAGTTGACATTGGATTCGTACAAACATAGGTAATCAAAGATTACGAAGCTCACCTCGACGAATGTTATATTTAAGTAAGGCAAGTTCACATCACATTTTTTTTTATTTAGTGTACATCCCAACATCAATGTCCATGCAAGTTTGGTTTAAGTACGACTTATAGTTACTTGGAAATAGACCTGTTCAAAAAAAGTTTATCCTGTTTACTAATCAAGAAAATTTTGGTCAGTTCCAACATCCAAAATAAGTCTGGAAGTTTTCATCCTTGGATGCACCATCTATGCAAGTTTAATCATAACAGGCCATACTGTTATATAGCTACTCCAAAAAAATTATCCTGGTCACTCATCTGGAAAATGTAAGTCAAATTCAGAATCCAAAGCAAGTCTGGAAGTTACCATGCCTAGCTACATCATCCATGGTATCTGGTTAAAATATGGCTAAGATTCACTCATGTGGAAAATCTAGGTCGAATCCAGCATCCGAAGCAAGTGTGGTAGTGTACATCCCTAGATGCATCATCCATGTAAGTTTGTTCAAGGTAGAGCTTATAGTTACATGGGAATGTACCTGTTCCAAAAACTTTAACCTGGTCACTCATCTGGAAAATCTAGGTCAGATCCAGCATCCGAAGCAAGTGTGGTAGTGTCCATTCCTAGATTCATCATCCATGCAAGTTTGGTCCAGGTAGGGCTTATAGTTACTTGGGAATGGACCTGCTCCAAAAACTTTAACCTGGTCACTCTCTGGAAAATCTAGGTCAGATCCAGCATCCGAAGCAAGTGTGGTAGTGCCCATCCCTAGATGCATCATCCATATAAGTTTGGTCCAGGTAGGGCTTATAGTTACTTAGGAATGGACATGCTCCAAAAACTTTAACCTGGTCACTCAACTGGAAAATCTAGGTCAGATCCAGCATTCGAAACAAGTGTGGTAGTGTCCATCCCTAGATGCATCATCCATGCAAGTTTGGTCCAGGTAGGGCTTATAGTTACTTGGGAATGGACTTGCTCCTAAAACTTTAACCGGGAAGCCGACGCTAACGCCGACGCCGGGGGTATAGCATAAGCTCATCTCGACTTTGTCGAGGTGAACTAAAAATGAATCCCACCATATGGCTATGCCTAAACAAAGGGTGTGCTAAAATTTCAAGCATCTGTGATGAGTAGTTGCTGAGAAAACTGTGACGAAAAATTTGTTACGGACAGACAGGCAGACGGGCACACACACAGACAGACAGACACACAAGGGTCAAACAATATACCCCCTCTCCTTCAGAGCGGGGGTATAAAAACATGCTATAGTCTAGCCACAATTGATGCTTATGGAAGACATATGCATTCTTAAATTGTGCAACAATTGTGAAATTATAGTGTTTTTAGATGAAGGTATTCTAAAGTGCATTTTTTGAAGGCAATATTTCTGTTCTGACCATGCCCATATTCTAAGATTTGAAAAAAATATGTCACAACATACTGTAAACCAATTATTATTCACAACATCTTTTATTTGCGATGCGTCATTTTGAAATCAATCCACAACGATTAATTTTTGCAACTTAGGAAACATTCTCTACAATAAAGTGCCCCGCCACAGCATGATACACCCGTCAAATATTGTTCAATTGTCATAAACAGTTTTAGAGTGCAAGAAAATCATGTCAACCTTGATACAAGGATTTCAATGATTTTTCCATTCCTTATAATATTTCGTTATACATCTCCTATGGTGTAAGCATTAATTATAACAAATATTACATTATAGATCCTCAACTGGTTGTGTTAGAGCTTGACAAATGCCCATCTGCAGCAGCCCCCCCCCCCCCCAGCTTTCAGGTTTGTGAGACATGATGCTCTGAATTAGTTGATATTTTCAAAAAATTAAATAGAAATATCATATTAAACAATATCAATTTAGTCTTAACAACTTAATCTATATCAAATTAATTTTAAAAATAAAAGGCTGGCCATCAAATGACATATGCTATAAACTGACAAGCAGTTCTTCTGTCTAATACCCAAAGGATACAGATATTAAGAGCTGCTTAATCAGAGCCCCTCTGAAAGAAATGATTGAGACAGCTAGCCTTCCTACACTCAGTTAATTAATCTTTAACTGGATGTGTCCACTCATTACTCCCAACGGATGAATGGATCTATAAATACTATCTGCTTTGTAGTGCAGTAAAAATGCATATTTATGTCATTCTGAAATTAAATTTGAAAACAAAGATTTTTTTAAAATTTGTTACAAAGATTTATAAAAAGAAAAAAAAAACTTGTGTAATCTTGATGCAACAATTTTAATAAGGTTCCTGCATTACTCTTAGATTTGTAGGGACTAGCTACCATAATTAAAACATTTATTTTTAAATACTTGATTTTTTTTAATTTTAATGTCAGACTGGTTTTAAGCTGCAATTCATTCCAATATCAACCCCCCCCCCCCCCAATTATAATTAGTTTTAATTATATTATACAATATCAAATTAGTTTATTATACAATATCAAATAAGTTTTAATTACTTCTTCACCAATTTCATTTTAAAAGTTAGGCTTTTTAATACAACTATTTAATACAACACGGCTGATTCTTTTTGCCCAGTTCCCAAGAGATATAGATAACACCTGCTTGATCAGAGATGCTCTACCAGTTAGCTCCTCACACTAAACTCATTAATTTCTCTCTAATTTGAGGTCCAATTTTCTGTTATCAAATTCTCCTTGACCATATAGTATATAATGAAAAGTATATAATGAAAAAAATAAGTATTTTCTTGATTTAACATTTTTTTTATCAGGATACTGCAACACTCTTGCATTTTTTGGGATTGTGTAATCTAATAGTAAAAGACAGTTTTTTTTTTTAATTTCACTTAAACAAAAGGTCACAGTGACCTTGAAATAGGTCGCGACACACCTTCTACCTAAGATGCATAAACTGGCCAAGTTTGATGATTCTAAGTCCAATAGTTTTCTAGTTATGAGCCGGACAGGATTTTTCCATATTTGGCCATAGCATCTTAATTAAAGGTCAGAGTGACCTACTTTTAGTGCGCGACACACCTTCTACCCAAGAAGTATCAGCTGACAAAGTTTGATAATCCTAGGCCTGATAGTATTAAAGTTATGAGCCGGACACGAGAAAAGCTAACAGACAGACAGTTGGACAGACGGACGGACATGAATGCCATAACATAATACGTCCCGTCTAAAGATGGGCGTATAAAAACAAAGCAAAATAAATGGTTCGCGGCAACTAATATTCGTGAGTTAAAGTAAGTCACGAAACTCATGGATTTTTCTCACACACGAATAAAAGTTTGTTTACAGTATCACAGTATCTCCAGCAAGGCGAAATGCAGTATCTCTAGATCATAGGTGCATCATCCATTCAAGTTTGGTCAATAAAGGTATGACTGTGGTTACTAAATGGGACTTCAATTTGGCCTCTTTAACAATAAAATATACAATCAAGTAGATCAGTTGTAACATCTTAAGCAAGTAGGTTGATGTCTTCAGCTAAATGCATCTATCAATATCTTGGTAGTTACTGAGGAAGAAACCTGCTTCAAAATCACATACAGAATCTAGCAAATACACATGTATGTCTAGCTGCAATAATGTAGCCCTCTCCCTTTTTTTTTTTTTTTTTTTTTTTTTTGGGAGAGGATGTATGTCCGACGCAGCATCCAAAGTAAGTCAGGTAGTGTACATCCCTATATATATCCCTGTATATCCCTACAGTGTCCATCATCTATGCAAGTTTGGACCAGATAGGACCTACAGTTTTTACTTGGGAATGGCCCTGCTCCAAAAACTTTAACACAGAATAAGCTCATCTTGACTTCAATGAGTTGAGCTAAATATTATAACTATTATATTGTATATATTATATATTTAGAATAGGAAATTTTTGACTTTCAAATGACTAAGTATATAATTGAAATCCATTTACATAGCTTTATGAAACAATTTGCAATTAACTGGAAGACATCCTATGTTTGAAAATAATATGGCAATTAATTGTGAATTGGGACTGGATTCTTCTTACAATACCCATTAGCAAAGGATTTTAATCCCTGTCAGCTAAACTTACATTTTTTGGAATTTTTTATTTCCTCCTTCTTATTAATGTAAATGTAGATATAATTTATACTCTGTCTATAGACATTTACCTGTATAGATTGTATGGACATCACAGCACATCTCTCATCTTCTGATGTAGCATGAACCATTACTGAGTCAATGCCTCTTGGGAAGGTATACATATAGTACTGAGGCTCTGATGGGGTAATATAGATCTCCTTTGGGGTTCCAGTGCTTAATATTAGACAAAAACATTTTATAAATAATACGAAGTATAAGAAAAACTTCTTCACCAAATGTTAAAATAGTTTCAAATTGGTATTAAGTACATACTGTTAATTACATCATATAAAAATGATTTTATTATTTTTTTTTTTGGAGAAAATAAAGTATACAGGTCATTTGCTAGACATCATTTCCTGCATGAAAAAATAATCTAATGCATCTAGATGATTTCAACATATTTATCCCTTAATCAAGTTCTTTAAGACTTGGTAAAAATCTTCACAAGAAATACTTTTATCCAGGTTGAAAACTGAACCTTTAATTGTCAAAAAGCACTTATAAAAACTTAACATAATCATGTTTGCAAATACAAAGTATTGATGCCTATAATATTCGTAAAATAGTGTGCATTGTTTTAATTTTAAGATATTTACTTAATCATGGTCTATTTTAAAATATTATCATACATGTTTGCCAGTGCGTTCATTATTAAGAAAATTATAGATGTAGCTTTTGTCCACAAACTTTATGGACAACTCTCATATGCACAATAATATACCTGACTTGAAAATCTGCGATTTTTGTGGCCATTAGGGTAAAATTTAATGGCGTTTGACTAAATGTTGACACATCTACAAAGAAACTCTGGTCTTCTGGTTTATCTGGCCGATGGTTAATATCCAGAGGACACAGTATACGACTGACAGTCTCAAATGGAGTTGCATTCTCACTGAAACAAATTGGACACAGTGATTATGATGAATAGGCACCTGCTTATCTTTTTCTGCTGTTGCATGTCTTAACAGTTGAATGATCTATGCACAGTTGAACTTTGATATCTTGAACATTAATATAAAGAATACCATGGATGTATCAAAATGAGTTGGAAGTTCCGACTACTTTTTCTCTATGTATTTTAACCTTGACATCATGAATCCTTTGATATCTCAAAGTCTTGAATAGAGGTTTGACTGTGATTGCATTGTTTTAGCTGACAAGCATTTTTTATTTCATAAACACTGCAAATAGAATAATTTCAATATATTTAGCTTTTTTGTATCAGGTTATTTTAATACAAAATTCATTTTTTATACTTATATTCCAGATAAAGTGGCATTGTCCATGACATGGTTTGGCGCTGTTGTCGAATCACAACAATGACAGGGAATTCCTTCTTGTAGTCAGACAAAAGGGCAGTGGTAACTCTCACAGCAGTTGTCTGTTTAAGACATTCAGAGTAATAAAGTCATAAATATATTTTTTTTCTGTATCTATTATAAAATATTTTTGTCATATGAGAGTTTTATTCAACATGTTTAAGAATGAAACATCATTTTCAAATAAACAAGAAGTCTGTGAGCCACTGCTCACTAGTAATACACCTGCTCTGATGTGAATACAAGTATATGCTCTCATGAATCCCACCATATGGCATGCCTAAACAAAGAGTGTGCTAAAATTTCAAGCACCTGCCTTGAGTAGTTGCTGAGAAAACTGTGACAGAAATTTGGTACAGACAGACTCATGGATAAACAGGAAGTTGACATCAGATCTGTAAAAAATGAATCCCACCAAATGACATGCCTAAACAAAGAGTGTGCTAAAATTTCAAGCACCTGCAATGAGTAGTTGCTGAGAAAAATGCAACGAAAATTTGGTACCGACAGAAGCAAAGAAAAACAGGAAGGTGTCATCAGATTTGTACAAAAAAAGATTTCCACTATATGGCATGCCTAAACAAAGAGTGTGTTAAAATTTCAAGCACCTGCAATGAGTAGTTGCTGAGAAAACTGCAACAAAAATTTGGTACGGACAGACGTATGGACAAACAGAAATTTGACATTGGATTTTTACAAAAGTAAATCCCACCATATGGTATGCCTAGACAAAGAGTGTGCTAAAATTTCAAGCATCAGCAATGAGTGCATGCTGAGAAAACTGTGACAAAAATTTGTTATGGACAGACACACAGACAGCTAGAAAGACACACAAGGGTAAAACAGTATACCTCTGTCTCCTTCAGAGCGGGGGTATAAAAAAAATCAAATCTTTATTTCTTTCTTTGTTCTAATTTGACCAGTCTCAACCAATCATACATTATGTACATGTACAATGTATATCCTCATTTAAAAATCAAAACAAAACAGCAATATTATTGGTAGCAGCATCAAGACCCACACATTTAATCGATGATACTGCTCAACATATAATAAAATGATTTTTGACATTCTTCTTAACATTCACATATATTATATTATGTAACAACCCAGGAAAGGTGGGTTGGGGTGTGGGTGTGGGGTGGGGGTATTGTGACTGAAATGTGCAGTCTTGAGCTTGAATTACCAAAAATAAAGGACATTTTACATTATATACCTGTAGTCATTACAAGTATTTCTACTCATTCATGTAAAAAGAAAAAAAGTGTTTGAAAAGGAAATTAAGATTTCTTATTCATATTTTAGATTTTCTCAAATTTTAATAAATACATGTATATGGATAGATATGAGTTGAGCCAACAGTGCTTTATGGTAGATTTAATCACATCCCAACCTGTATGTATCAGTATATCCTGATAGATGTTAAATAAATGCTTTGCTAGACCATAAAAAGGGACAATTTCTTAAAAGGACCTCACCCTTGAGTAAAACAGAAGACTGATGAGATATAACATACATGTATGTTATTCCTGAAGGAAGCTTCTAGTTACACTCTTAATTAACAAGATATCAGTCTTTGATTGAGAAAGCTTACAATGTACCTACCTTATTTTTCATCTCACTATAAGAGAATTCATAGATGGCTTCAGATGTGGTATTGATGATAGCTGAATAAGTTTTGTTAAAATCAGCTTTGTTAGGAACTCCTTCATTGGCAGCAGATACTGGTAAAACTGCAAAAACTGCAAAACAAACATAATATAGTTACTGATACTTCGGTCTAATGACCATGGGACAAGGTCAAGAAACACACTTGGGTCATAAGCAATCTCTGTTCCAAGTATGAGCTTCCACTGATTCTCCATTACAAAGTTATAGCCCGGACAAGATTGCATGGACAGATGGACTGACAGAAGAACAAGGTGATTCCCATAAACCCCAAAACTTTGTTTGCAGTGGGTATAAAAACTGGTGTTGTCAAGGAGTACCCGGTTAACCGTTGAATGGTATGGGTTAGTAAAACTGCTATTAGGTTACTCGGATAAAAATACATTTTACATAGTAAATACGTACAAAATAAATGTTACATTGTTTATAATTTCCTAAACATTTCCCTAAAATTATATACCGTTAGACTTGATCTACTTGCTCACAAACAGGATTTATTAGTTTTGATTAGTTTTCACAGTTTATATAATTGATAGCTTTGATTGCCACGGGTATAAAAGTTTTGAAGACCTGAGTTATAATTACCTCTTTTACACCTGTGCTAGTCAAAGGAACATAATTTGATAAGATTCTGCCACAGACATACTAGTATAAAGCATGGAAGTGTTTTAAAAGAACATCTGTAAAATGAAAATTATGTGAATCAGAGTTATTGTATATGAAAGGGACTACAAATATGTTAAATCACCTAAGATTAAAACATTATTTGGAAACTAGTGATTTACTGGACTCTACAAATCAACCAGTTACGGGTATTTTAATTCTCCTTTATCGCGACATATATTGGGGGCTGAAAAGGAAAACCTAACGAGAGCCATTGTAAAAATGGTGATTGACGACTATATATTTGTCTTCTTCGTGTGTGGATAAAATTATTTTCTTAAACAAAACAAAAAGTCCGTTTCGAGTGACATGTAAAATCAAAAATTCTTTGAAGATATTGTGTGTATGTTTGAGTTTGTAATTGTAAATATAGTTCGTATATACAGTACATTTGTTTTAATTCTACTGATAGGTAAAGGATGAGATAAGTAATAGATATGGTAGCTAAAACAAAAAATCATCCGAGTAACCTGGTACTTGATCGGAAAAGTAAGCGAGTAACCGGTTACTAAAAATCGTCCGATTTGACAACACTAATAAAAACATTTTTCATTGTAAGTTGTACAAAGGGTATTAAACTTTTTTTTTGCAAACTGAGCTGATGGATAATGGGGAAATTAGGGTCAAGGTCAGGTTGAAGGCAAAGGTCAGAAATTTGACACAGTTATACTGTCATCAATATGGATGACTGTATGAAGTTTGATTAAAAAATCTTGTACATCTTCTTTAAAAAGCAGATGTGATCATGTTTTGTTTTTGATTTTTTTGAAGATCAAAATATTTTATAAAATTTAATATGAAGTCAGCAGCCATAATTATGCACATATAATATTAAATAAATAATTTCTTTTTGAAATTCAATGCATATATCAGTATAAATATGCTAGGCTTTTTCTACTCTGTACCCCATTCTTTTTTGGCATTTGGCTTTTCAAAATGGGGAAACATAAACTATAAAGGAGTTTTACTGTAGAGAACATTAAGCTCAAGCAGGTTTCTCACACTAGATGGGTTGAGCATACTAGAAGTGTTCAGGCAGTAGTAAAAAATTTTCAGAGTATGCAGTCATGTTAGAGGAAATTTTTGCTTATTATAAAATTACTAGCTCTTCACAGGCCTATTTCTTGTACAACTTTTTGTGTTTCACACTTCCTAGCTGATACATTGAAACCTTTAACAATGTTGTCAAAGTCAAACCACAGATCAGATATAGATTTCATTAAGGTCAATTGCCTTCAACAATCAAGGTCTTTGATGAGCTGACAGGTGGAAATTTATCTGCCTTTCTGCAGCATGCTCCTTCTGAGGCAACTCTTGATGAGTCAGGTTCTGCTCACATTTGAATTACAAGGTCACAAAGTAAGGGATAGTTCAGGTCAAAGATCAAAATATGTGAAGGCATGTAGCACTTTCATAGAGATTGTTAAGGCTAGTTTGCAATCTACGTTTACTGATAAAGATAATGCTCAGATTTTGTCAGCTTTGAGTTAATTCTTTGACCCTCAGATAAGAACTGCTCCTTCTAAGGATACAGATATCCTTCTTGGGATACAGACATCCTTCTGAAGATACAAACATCCTTCTAAGGATACAAACATCCTTCTTGGGATATAGACATCCTTTGGAGGATACAGACATCCTTCTTGGGATACACACATCTTTCTGAGGATACAGACATTCTTCTGAGGATACAGACATCCTTCTTGGGATACACACATCCTTCTGAGGATACAGACATTGTAGCTAGCCATCTTTCTATGTGCAAAGTAGCTAAGGTTAGAGAGTGTAGGGATGAGTTAAGGCATTTTGTAGGGTTCTATAGGGCTAAGCTAGAGTCAAATCCTACAGTAGTTTCAAGTTGTTAGATTTTTATCAGGTAGTTTTTAGGGCTAGGCAGGTATTTCCCATCATGACAGCAGCTGCTGACCACATGATCACTGCCCCTGTCAGCACAGCAGATTGTAAGCAGGGATTTAGTAGGACCAACCTCACCAAGACTGATGTTGGGAACTCTCTGAAGTCCACTATCCTAGAGAATCTCCTGAGGCTTTCAATATCAAGTAATAAAAAGACATGGATTCTAAGATGGCATTTATGAAATGGATCAGCACCAAAGCCAGAAGAAACACTACTGTGAACTATAAGCAATTGTGAAATTTTGTGAAATCTAGTGCTTGCAACACATTTCAAATTGACAGTTTTGTGATAATAAGGCTGAATAATCCAGTGCTTTAAACATAGAGTATATTTACTTTCATATATGTGCTGCAATTTTATGACAAAATTGAAATGCATAATACATGTACTATATATGTTATCTCTTATTCAAATCCATAATAAAATTCTTTGAACACTTAAACTTTTTATTCTTTCAAAAAGAAATTTATGTTGCTTGGATATTATATGTCAGACATGGATCCAGGATTTTTTGTTAGAGGGGGCACTTTTAAATGAAAAGGGGTCTGGGTACCACCAAGGTCCCAAATGGGTGAAGGAAATTTTTCCTGGGGCAAAGCCCCTGTAAGCTTCTGTGAATCAGCAACTTGAGTAAATCTTATTTTGACTGAAAAATGATGATAAATTAAAGAACTAAGTACGTTAGTTTATATCCAAAGGGCCGCAATTTTTCGCAAAATTAATAAACAGGTTTGCTAAATTAAAAGAGCGATATTCATGTACTAGAGGTATCCACATAATAACATTTCCCCATTACCCTACCAAGTAGTAAACAGAACGTGTAGATTCATTTTTTCCGGAATATGAAATATGAATTCGTGCTATAAATTATGTTCCATTGACTTTCTTGATGAAATTGTTTTCTCAGAAAAGTAATACCAAGATTAAATTTAATGAACAACAATATTTCCAGTTATGGAAAATTATATTAGTATTTCAAATTCAGTGAAACTTAAACTCATCTGAAATTTTTAGCATAGATCATAGAAGGAACACAGAAGAGTAAAATTTTACTGATCTTTTCAGTTCAAAATCAATACATTTTTTGCGCTGTATCGAAATCAAAACTTTGAAATCTGATAACGTCAAGTTGATGTCATAACGTCATAGTGTTATTTTCTTATGAAAACTCCATCCTATATTTAAAGAGCTCTCTTGGAGAAATGGTTCGAGCTAATTACAAAAATTTAACTGAATTAGGAAGTGCCCACTCTAGACATGTTTCTAAAACAATTTCATCAAATTTGGGGACAGGGCCAATTTTGGCTCCTAACATACTTTCTTCTTTATTACTTTAATGTACCACAGTTAAAGCTATATCTGAATTTATTTTGTGTGATTTACAGGAGGCGCACCCCTACCTGAATCCAAGCCTGTGATTTAAGACAGTTACAGGTTACATGATTTTGCACTACACAAAAGTGGCAAAAAGGAATCCAGTGGGAGCACTGCATGGTTTATCATATAATTCTGAACACAATTGTGCTTGTGGACAGATCCCCCACCTTAATATATACACTCTGGGCTAGGGATTATTTTTTATTTGATTTGTTTCATACATTGTTATTCTGTAGCATGTATAGTACATGTGTTGCTTTGGGCCATGGATATCAGATGGTGGAGCACCTGACTAGTGATGCTGGAGTACTGAGTTCCATTCCTGGTTTAGCCACACATTCTCTCCTTTGCTGTTACAAAATTTGGTGTTGTTGACCACCTCTAGACTTGAAGGGAAAGTGACCTGGTGACCTGCTAGGAGCAAAAAGAACTTGGGATTCCTGGTCCATCCATAATTTTTTTTTCTTTTCTGTTACACACTGACATACACAAATTACAATGTGTCAAAAAAAAATAATAAAGTAGAATTTGCCCCTAAACGTTATATTTAAAAAAACGTATTAAACTATTCGTGGTAAAAAATATAAAATGAGTCCATTTTATAATACCCTCTCTAAATCCGCCAGTGATAAGTGTTTTGCTAGTTTTGACCTTTGGCTTTGGAAGTAAATTCATCTGTTCGTGTAGATAAGGAGGTGCTTGCACTAACGGTAACTATTTCTGACATATTCGTACATACTCACCTATTGCACAAACAAAAGCACAATGTATGAACATTGTGGAAAAGGCAGATCTATTCGCAACTACAAGAACTACGTCCGTAATATATCGATGAACATTTCAACATACCGACTCACCATCATAGGATGAGCATGAAACTGAAAGTGAAACAATGAAGTATTAGAGGAAACCACCATCGATAAAATTGTACTTTCCGAAATAATGGAAAGTGTTTCTTGGTCGTACTCACAAATAACCAATCTATTTTACAGGTAGATGTATTTACGTGCGCGGATCTAGAGGGGGGGTGTCAGGACCCCCCTGGAATTTGCAGAGTTACTAAAAGTATATACTGAAGCAAATAAAAATGACTTCGGACCCTCCTCTCCCCCTAGAAAACGTGGACCCCACCATCACTGGTACCGCGAAATAGGTGTTTTTCACGTTTGGGAAATGGGTTTTATTTTACATTATTATTATTATTTTTTTATTATTATTATTTTTGGTTTGTCATGAAATTTTGGGGTTGGAATTTTTTTTCCCATGAAAAAAAATCCTGGATCCGCGCCTGCTATATCACTCGATCTACCCCCTCCCTCGAACAGAGGAAGTAAGACGCATAGAGGTAGTCATGAGTGGAGGAGGCTTGCAAGGGACTTAGAGCATAGGCGCTTGGTTTCAGGACGGGTATTTTGTGTTTGATGTCTTTTTCTAGGTGTGACTGAATACACTCATTAAAATAAAAAAATCTCTTAAAGTAGCACGTTTTAAAAGTATATATCATATTACTATTTTTATATACAATAACAATTTCAATTTCAATTTATTTATTGATTCACCAAACATGTTGGCATACAACCATGTTACATACAACATGAAAAATACAGTGTGTTTTCAGATATTTTTAATACGTGCTAATATTTCAGCGATTTTTGATTTTTATTTTAATGAGTGTATTCAGAAAAACCTATAAAAACACAAAAATACACCATCCTGAAACCAAGCACCTATGAATTAGAGGGGTAAAGCAAGCTCACCCCCACCCCACCCCCTAAAAAAATGGGGGGGGGGTCGGAATTAACAGTAATGTATAAATGAAGTATAATATTCAATCTCACTCGATATACTTTACAATGATTTTCATTTACAATGTTATTAATTTACATGTATATTCAATTCAATGTATATAGTGAAGGATATAAAAAATGACTTTGGACCCCCCTCCCCCTTAGGAAATGTGGACCACACCACCTTCACCACAAAGAAGATGTTTTCCATGTTTGGGAATGGACTTTTGGACCTTTTCGTGTTTTGTTTTGTTTTGTTTTTTGGTTTTGCTTGTCAAAAATTTTCTGGGTTTTAAATTTTTATTTGACCGGGGTGGAAACCCCCCACCCCCACCCCACCCCCCGGAAAAAAATCCAGGGTCCGCGCCTGTACATACATATATAACAGTAATAAACAGTTTTCAAAGCTAACATAAACGAAATTGTTATGTTTTTTTTCTGGGCTTTTATTATGGTTTTCATTATTTGCCGGTTTATACATAGTATACAGAACTTCTTAGTTTTGTAATTTTTTGGAACGTAATTTTGCTTTGTATGAAATGACATGTGTTTTGGAGTGACAAATGTCTTCGCCACTCTGCGCGTCTCCCCCTCCCATCAACTATAGTAAGCTTTAATAGTACCTATTATGCTCTATGTGTCTGGTTGTAGAATGACTTTTTGTTTGCTCTATTCTTTGTTTCAATTATACTATAATACTTCCTCTTCTTCCAACTATAGTCCAGCTGGACACATCATTACTGGTGATGTAAGAATACAGGTAGTTCAAAATGACGACCTAAAGGCTATCATTTTAAAAATTCCTAAATTTAGGGAGCCCTTGGAGATCTTTCAAAAGCTTCATTTATATTATGAATTCCGTCGAGGAGTATGCTAGACGATGGGCTTAATATGAACAGATGAAGGAGAAGACTTCGACACTTTGTCAAAATGGTAACAACATTGTCTTTGTTTGTAAGGCTCATTATTTTAATTGTATTTTAGAAGAACTGGGATTTAATTCTACAAGTGACAATCCAACTTATACCCATAGCTCCATTTCTAAGTAGAAAATTCTTCAAAATCATATGTAAGTTTTGAATATTTTTAATATTCCCAACAACCAAAATGAATTTGAATTACCATATTTATACTGGATTCCGAAACTTCACAAAAGTCCTTACAAACAAAGATACACAGCGGGTTCCAGTAAATGTTCTACCAAGCCTCTTTCTTTACACCTCACTAAAATATTAACAGCAGTGAAGGAGATACTTTAGGAGTACTGTTCAACAATATATTCGAGAAGTGGTGTACATCAGATGTGGGTACTTAAAAATTCCAAGGAATTTTTGAAAAATTTGAAATCACAAAATTTTACCAAATCAATAATATAAAAACTTACGACACTATGTATACAACCATTTCCCACGATAAATAAAGTCCAGGCTTTCTGACATCACTGACAGCTGCTTTTTCAATAAAAATGGAAAATTTACTTACCTTGACATTGGTCATTTTCAAAATTATTTTGCTAAAAAACACTCTGATTGTACACACAAGTACTCTGAAGTTGACATTAAAAAGATGCTTGAGTTCCTGATTGACAATGTCTATGTGGTTTTTGGAAACCAGGTCTTCCAACAATTTGTTGGAATTCCCATGGGTATCAATTGCACCCCGTTATTAGCAGACCTATTTTTGTATTCATATGAAGCAGAATTTATTCAAAATTTTATACATGCGAAAAAGAAATATCTTACTGTGGCCTTCAACTCGACATCTAGATATATCGACGACGTTTTTTCAACTAACAATGGCTATTTCCATTCATATGTCAACACAAAATATCCCAGTGAGCTTGAAATAAAGATACCACAGAGTCTGACACATCTGTTTCATATTTGGATATTTTACTAGAAAAAGACATTAATGGTAATCTAACAACAAAACTTTATGATAAACGTGATGACTTTAACTTTTCAACCGTCAACTTCCCTTACTTATGCAGTAATATAGCTTCATCACCTGCATATGGGGTGTATGTATCTCAGTTGATTCGATACGCAAGAGCATGCTCTACGTATGAACAATTTCTAAAACGAGGTAAGTTATTGACAATTAGGTTGATGAAACAAGAATATCAACAGTCTCGTTTAAAGTCATCATTTCGTAAGTTCTATGGTTGATACAATGACTTTGTCTCCAAATACAATCTGTCATTAAGTCATATGCTGACTGACGTTTTTCATACTAATTGTTCTAGGCCATTATTTACACACTGAATTGTTGACGGATTTTCCCGTTATTTCCCGATCATAACAAGAAGCACACAGTTGTTGTGACCGGTCGGCAGGGGATGCTCACTCCTCCATGGCACCTGATCCTACCTCTGATGTTCTTGGAGGTCCGTGTTTGCTCTGCTCCCGATTTGTATTGTTTTAATGGACTTTGAGCTTGAATACTGTTCGTTATCTCCATATTTCATATATATTTCATATATATTAAGATATATATTAATGAATTGCACTAGAAAATTAAAGGAGAGACCATGGAATTCACAGTTTTTGCTTCTCTTTGCCCATAGACATGATAGATGCTAATTATAATAAAATTAGTGAAAATTGGTTTGGCAGTTCTAGAAAAGAAGCTGAAAATTTTGAAATATTAACGGATAACTCAAGTCACACGATGATGGCCAAAAACAGATAGGAATAGGTTATCTAAGTGACCCAACAATCAAACAAATTATAAGCGGGGAAAAATCAGTATTTTTCTTTATTCACTATATGAGAAAATCTCTCAGATTAACAAAAATACTTATTGTATTGTATACTGTTATTGGTAATGCCAAGATCTTTGTACGTTTGCAAAGCACTGTCCCCGTGAGCCAGGCTGGGACAAGAACAGTAGAAAATATATGTTGCGGGAAAAACTCTTAAAGAAGTCAACTACATGTATATGCGAATCATGAAATTATGGATTATTTACATAGCATTTCATCTTAGACTTTGTAAATCTAGCTGTCCATTTTCATAATTTTGTGACAACTAATTGCAAAACGCGCAGAAAATATAATTTTCCTATTTTCGATTATTTTTCTAATACACACGTTAAAAAAAGAAATCCCCGTCCCAAAAGCCAAAACCTTTATACATGTTATATGTAATACAACCATTTAGTATCAAATGAGATATACATATGTACTTCAGTTGTAATTCGTTACTTAAGTTTTTGGCTATGATTTCAGTAGATTCACTAGACAACTACAAAATATTAAACATAAACAATAACAAGAGGCCCAGGGGCCACATCGCTCACCTGAGCACTATGGCTAGGAAAAAGCAGAAATCACTTCAATCTTGAAAGGTTGAAAAGTTTAAATATAAAAGTGGTTGGGGGGGGGGGGGTGTCAGGAATTGAACAAATTTGAATCTACATTATCTGAGGATGCTTCCATTTAAATATGACCAATCATGGCTTTGCTGTTCTTGAGTAGAAGATTTTTAAAGATTTAACCTATGTATTCCTATGTAAAACTTTGATCACCCATTGTGGCCCCACCCGACCCACAGGGGTCATGTTTGAACAAACTTGAATGTACACTATCTAAGAATGCTTCCATATAAATATGACCAATCATGGCTTTGCTATTCTTAACAAATTGTTTTTTTTTTTTTTTTTAGAATTTTTACTATGTGTTCCTATGTAAAACTTTGATCGCCCATTGTAGCCCCATCCGACCCCCGGGGGTCATGATTTGAACAAATTTGAATGTACACTATCTGAGGATGCTACCATATAAATATGACCAATCATGGTTTTGCTGCTCTTGAGAAGAAGATTTTTACTATGTGTTCCTATGTAAAACTTTGATCGCCCATTGTGGCCCCACCCGACCCCCGGGGGTCATGAGTTGAATAAATTTGAATGTACACTACCTGAGGATGCTTCCATGTAAATATGAGCAATCATGGCTTTGCTGTTCTTGAGAAGAAGATTTTTAAAGATTTTTCCTATATATTCCTATGTAAAACTTTGATCGCCCATTGTGGTCCCACCCGACCCCCGGGGGTCATGAGTTGAACAAACTTGAATATACACTACCTGAGGATGCTACCATATAAATATGACCAATGATGGCTTTGTTGTTCTTGAGAAGAAGATTTTTAAAGATTTTTCCTATATATTCCTATGCAAAACTTTGATCGCCCATTGTGGCCCCACCCGACCCCCGGGGGTCATGATTTGAACAAATTTGAATCTACACTACCTGAGGATGCTTCCATGTAAATATGACCAATTATGGCTTTGCTGTTCTTGAGAAGAAGATTTTTAAAGATTTTTCCTGTATATTCCTATGTAAAACTTTGATCGCCCATTGTGGCCCCACCCGACCCCCGGGGGTCATGAGTTGAATAAATTTGAATCTACACTACCTGAGGATGCTTCCATGTAAATATGACCAATTATGGCTTTGCTGTTCTTGAGAAGAAGATTTCTAAAGATTTTTCCTGTATATTCCTATGTAAAACTTTGATCGCCCATTGTGGCCCCACCCTACCACTGGGGGTCATGATTTGAACAAACTTGAATCTACACTACCTGAGGATGCTTCCAAGTAAATATGACCAATCATGGCTTTGCTTTTCTTGAGAAGAAGATTTTTGAAGATTTTTCCTATATATTCCTATGTAAAACTTTGATCGCCCATTGTGGCCCCACCCGACCCCCGGGGGTCATGATTTGAACAAACTTGAATGTACACTATCTGAGGATGCTACCATATAAATATGACCAAGTATGGCTTTGCTGTTCTTGAGAAGAAGATTTTTAAAGATTTTTCCTGTATATTTCCTATGTAAAACTTTGATCGCCCATTGTGGCCCCACCCTACCCCCGGGGGTCATGATTTGAACAAACTTGAATCTACACTATCTGAGGATGCTTCCACATAAGTTTCATGTTTTCAAGCACAGTGGTTCTTGAGAAGAAGATTTTTTAATGATGCCATTAATTTTTCACGAATTCTTAATTATCTCCCCTTGGAAGAGGGCGTGGCCCTTCATTTGAACAAACTTGAATCCCCTTTACCCAAGGATACTTTGTGGCAAGTTTGGTTGAAATTGGCCCAGTGGTTCTTGAGAAGAAGTCGAAAATGTGAAAAGTTTACAGACGGACAGACGGACAGACGGACAGACAGACGGACAGACGGACTACAGACAAAATGTGATCAGAAAAGCTCACTTGAGCCTTCGGCTCAGGTGAGCTAATAAAACAAGTATTATTCCTTATTATACATGACTAGTAACTGCTTAATATGATAATTTTGAAACGGTCTGTAATGTGATGAATTCCTAGAGGTAAGTGAAGTATACAAAAGAACACTTATTCGCTCTTTCTCTCTCTTAATTTTTCATAAACATTCCGCAGCTGAATTAGCAGTTTCATATTTCACTCATTTGATCAAGCAAAACAGTTTAAAGATTTAACAATTGTGATTAAATGGTATGTAAAAAATATCACATGTCACGATTTTTCCTTTAAAATTTGAAAGACAATATATTAAGTATGGTGGCTTTGTGGGGTGTATAGAATAAATGAAAGTTAAAGTACTAAGTTCTAAGTACTTTAGAACCCTAGCTGGTATCAAACTTGTTTACAATTTTAAAGTAAATGACATGTCAAGCTACATGTCATTTGTCAATGTCTCCAGTATTAGCGACTAGTAATTAGTGCTTTATAGGCTAATACAAGCTAAATATAAAAGCTATAATCCTCCAACGGTTCATAGCCACTAATCTCTCACGATTGTTGATACCCAGAGAGAGAGAGAGAGAGAGAGAGAGAGAGAGAGAGAGAGAGAGAGAGAGATGAAAAAATACTTAATATACAGTTGAACTTCGGTATCTCGACACCGCCGTGGATATGTAGAAGTGAGCTGAGGGCCACAAACACTTTTTCTTTACGTACTGGTATTTTGACCTTGGTATCTCGAAGTTTTTCTTAGTCCCATCCAGTTCGAGATAACGAGGTTTGACAGTACATGTCACCATAATCATGCGAGTTTTGGTATTTCTGTAAAATGCTAAAATACATGTACTAAGGATGGCAATTGTTATCAGGTTTGCCACAGCACGCTCCGACCGATTAAGTATCGGTTAGTCACATTCAAAAAATACGTTAATAGGTTTTATTCCTATGTACAAAAAAGAACAGTAATACTGTGTTTTAGTTTAAACATTTCATTAAATAAATTTTATTTCAATTTCATAAAAGTAAAGAAAAAATAATAATAATAAAAAATGCTTAAAGATGTATCCGAAACAAGTTCATTCTGCATTCATATTATCATCAGAACTACTTAATTCTATTGATTTATTTACAATTTTAGTTATTCGTACATGGACATGGATTCATAAAAATTTTCTACATCCGTACACAGATTCTTGAAATATACTTGTAAAGAGAGTTCAAAATAAAAATCATAGTCATAAAATATCATGGTTAACATAGCAATAAAATATCATGGTCAGCAAGTAAAGGATAAAAAGCCTGTATAAACCGAAGCAAAAAGGTGGGGTTGGTTATCCCCAAATAATTAACAGAAAACAACGATAATTAAATTTTGGGTCCCTTCAGTTTTAACGTCTGATTTAATATTTCAAAATTTTTTTTTGCTTGTCAAAGAATTTCTGTTAGTTAGTGCACAAACACAAATTGCTTCCTGCAGGCCTGAATAAGACATAAAGTGTGACGAACGGTGGCGAAATGACTAAGCCTATTTATTTGGATTTCAGGGCGACTAAAGGAGATTTATTTAAAAAGAGGTCCCTCACGGTCCTTCGTATACGTTTTTTTTCTTCGGCAAATCATTGCCAATATACATTTTGTTTTTGCCCACTAGCATTTAAAAGTAGGATTCAAAGCGATTTTTCTTCATTTCAAAATGAAGATTGTTTAAACACAGGCATTTAGATTAAAAATGGTGAGCAGGGAACCAAGCAACATCGAGCCAAATGTTGACCTCGACAGCTGTGGCATCTGCCTTGGCGACTTCAAAAAGCCCAAGATATTACCTTGCTTTCACACTTTCTGCTTGAATTGTTTGAAGACCTACGTGGACAAAACTGGTCGTAATGGAAAATTCACATGCCCTCTATGTCTCATCGAAACAGATCTACCTCCAGGAGGCGTTGAACGTTTCCAGACTAACTTTTATGTCAAAGCAGAACAGGCCAAAGCTCTGTCTTTGTTGAATGCACGATGTGACGTCTGCGACATCGACATTCCAAGCAAGGCTGAAAATCGATGCTTAGAATGTGACCAGAATCTATGCCACAACTGCAGCAGGGCCCACTTGAAAATGACGTCTTCAAAAGAGCACCATCTGATGACCGTCAATTTTCCAGAAAAGCCACTCACACCAGCAGTCACGACCAAAGTTTTTTGCGACAAACACAAGGCGGAGGAACTTTCCTTTTACTGTCAGGTTTGCGATGGTCCAATTTGCTTGCGATGTAAAGTCACCTCTCATGAAAACCATTCCACAAAGGATCTCTCCGACGTTGCCGCCGAAACTAGACAATTTCTTGGAGTAAAATTGTCCGAGGCTAAAAGTTTCCTTCCAACTGTTCATGAGCAGCTGAACGAAATTAATCGCTATGAAGACCACTTAACACAATCTAAGCAACAGATCGTTAAAAAAATTAACGAAAGGGCTACTGATCTACATTCAAGAATTGACAAAATATCCAATTCCATGTTGAACGATATCGAGGCAGAATACCGCGTGGAGATGTCAAGGGTTGACTCTCAGAGACGAGCACTGGGAAAGGCCGGAAAAGCACTGTCCTCTCAGTTCCACGCCGCTAATCAGGTTGTTTATTTTGGCTCTGATGCAGAGATCGCCAGAAATAAGCAGCTACTCTCTAAACGTCTCGAGAAGCTTACCAAGAAGTCAGATGACCGCATTATCACTAAATTGGATCTAGCCTTTTTCCCAAGCAGCAGTCTAGAGGGAAAGATAGAAGACATATTTGGAAGTTTGTCTACTGCAAGACCCCCTGTAGATGACATTAAAGTAAGAAATTGATTTGTTCATCAATGCACAGACTTTTGGTCGTGATTTTGTTTTGAAACAGTTTATGTACAAAAATATTGACGTGAATGTTTATGATTTAAATGTAAAGCGTTTGTTTTCTGTTAGGTGACAGAAGTATCTGTTTTCCAAGTAGACGACACTTTCAAGGTGGTAAGTTCTATCTGTCCAAGAGAAGAAAACGACGCATGGATAACTTCTGGTTGGAAGCCCGAAATTCATCTCTTCAATGTCCAAGGAACCAGACTTAAAACCGAGAATGCTGGGCGAAACATCGACACGATTGTTTTGAGTCACGATGGATCTATCGTCGTCTCCTGTAGCGACAAGCGTCAGATCCTGAAAGGTAGGAATGGCCTGGATTTTTCTGTAATAGCCACAGTTGCCATGTATCCTCGAGGGATCGCGATCAACAACAATGATGAAGTCTTCGTCTGCACTGGACAGTCTTTGGCCTTCCAGGATTACAAAGACGGACATAGGAACAAGGTTCTTCGTTACTCGTTGGATGGAAATCTTCTTGGCGAATTTGGTGATCCCTCCAGTGAATTCCTATACCCTCTCCGAGTTGTATGCAACATTACTGGTGATGTGGTCGTTTCCGATTGCCAAAAGCGCCGAATCACCATTCATCGTCAAGATGGTCACATCAAGTTTTCTTACACCGGAACAGAAACGGAAAACTTACGGAGTCCATTTGAGCCAAGGGGTGTCACCTGCGATTCCCGCGGTTTCATTTACGTCACTGACAATGCTAATGACGCTGTGCATCTTCTCGATCACACCGGGAAATTTGTTCGTCTTCTTTTGACAACAAAGGATGAAATTTACGGCCCATATTCCGTTGCCATGGACTCAAAAAATAACTTGTGGGTAGGATGCCGAGATGCAACTGTCAAGATTTTTCATTGTGCTCATTTTTGACATTTGAGAGTGCCTGAAACGATCTGACATTTTTTTTTCAAGGGAAGTGGGGGAGTGTTTGTTAATGAAACTCGATCTAGATATTGCTTCTGGTTGTATTGTAGTAGTTCTGTAAATGTTATATTTATTTGTGCTGTGATCTTGTATTATACAACAATAAAACCTGAATAACATTTAAGCTATAACTGCGTTCTCTACTAATCGATGGGCTGTAGCCTAAGAAATACTATTTGATCATTCACTTAGCATTTTTAAAAATCTTTTGATAAGAAATTTAGAGCGATTCCACCTCCAGATATAAAAGACAATGAGAAATTAAAGTTTGGTAAATAGCCAATATTAAACAAAGACAGTAAGTTTTCCACAGTTGGACATTTCTGCCTTCTTATTGTCTTTAACCAGGATTGCGTGCCTATGTCTGACTTATTCTGTCTTATTGAATGAATCTTTAAATACCTTAAAAGAAAGTGCAAATTTTTCTGCAACAGTTCACATTTGTGTATTGGCTCGACAACAATTAAAAAGTGAAATTTTATCTGCACACATTGTAATGATTATTTAAAATGTTTGCATTTTTTAAACATTGGCTGCAATGCATTCAAACCTTTTTAGTCTGACAAGAAGATGGCATGTTCCACTTTTGTAAAAGAAACAATGGAGCGATGTGGAATCTGCAACAAAGGTTACACCGAACCAAGAATGCTGCCATGCTTTGATAGTTTTTGTAACAAATGTTTAAAAATTTACATTGAAGAACATAAACATAATGGAATATTTCAGTGTCCACTTTGTAACGAGCGAATATCCATCCCGTCCAACGGTGAATTTGAGCCCAACTTTCATTTGACGGCGAAACAGTCAGTACTATCTGCTTTTCAGCGACCCAACTGCGACATATGTGAAGATGTCCAACCAGCCATCAACCGTTGTATTGAATGTGAACAAAATTTGTGTACGAAGTGTAGCAAAATCCATTTAAAGATAAAATCAACCCACGATCATCATTTGGCAGACATGAGCGACCCTGAAGGTAGAGTTTTTCTGACATCAAAGGCATTTTGCTTAAAACACCAAAGCGAAGAAATGAGTTTCTACTGCAATGAGTGTTACTTACCTATCTGTATTCGTTGTCGGTTGACGTCACACAATACTCACAATACATCTGATCTTGCTGATGTTGCGGTACAATCAAGAGACGAACTAAAATCCCTCTTCAAACTTGCTGAATCTGGATTAGTAGACTTAAAAGAGCAACAGAACGAGTTCTCCGTGTACAAATTAGAGGTTAAGAAGATTAAGTTTGACATCACTGAAAGAATAACAAGTCAAACACAAAGGATTCACAAACTTGTTGATCAAGTATCAAAACAATTGGCAGGATTTGTAGAAGACGAAATTTCTGAGGAAGATTCATACATTGACAAGAAGCTGACCATGCTGGACAAGGCCATCAAATCTAACAAGGCGCGCCTTAAAGTTGCCGATCAGATCATAGAATGTGGATCAGACAACGAAATTGTGCAGGCAAAGGAAGCCCTTATGACATGTCTGAAGAATATTCCATTAAAGCCCAACACAAAGTTTCGTCCAAACAAGTTAAACATTGAATATATTCCGAGTGTGCTCGCTGATGAAGATTTAGAAGGTTTATTTGGGATGTTGGCAAGCCGCGTTGGGACCCCGGGGTATATATCTTTGCTGGAGGTCAACTCCTTTCGAGTGGATGATGCAGATGATGTCATCAATTCCATATGCCCAATCCAAAACGGTGAGGCTTGGGTAACGTATGGTTGGACCTCCAATCTGTACGTTGTGAACAGGGCTGGGGAGAAAGTGAAAACCTTCTCTCTAGGGAGTGATATTGATTTCATTACTAAAGATAAGTATGAAAATATTTATATAAGCTGCAGAAATGAGAAATGCATAAGAAAGCTAAATCCAGAAATGAATATCATTGAAACTGTCTTATTAGACAGTTATCCTCGGGGAATTGCAATGACGCCACAGGGTCATCTTGTCGTGTGTTGTCCCCAATCAAAAACCTATTTTGAATATGTCAGCTCTCATGTAAACACTGTTTCCGTTTTATCTTACGATGGTGATAAGGTAACAGTCTTCGGAGAAAGGGGAGACATGTTTCTTTATCCAATACGAGTAGCCATCAGTGAAAGTGGAGATTTCATTGTCTCTGATAATTTAAACCACAGTGTTATTATATTCAACAACACAGGTAAAATACATGCCATTTACTATGGCCAGCAAGAACCTACTGGACACTCCGCTACACGACCAATCAGCACGTCAACAGGACATTCAACATACTTGATCGCTGATGACTCCAAGTCCAGAGGTCCCCTGTCAGCTCTGCAGAGATCTACAATCAGAACAGCCACTGCTCAAAGCAGAGAGTCAGGACTAGGATCAGCATCCATGATGCGCCCTTTTGACCCACGTGGCATAACGTATGACAGCTTTGGTCACGTGATTGTTACTGACTATTCGAGTAATTCTATTCATTTATTAGATCACTCTGGTCGTTTTCTACGATTATTGCTTTCTGAAAAGGACGGAATATTTGCTCCAACCTCGGTTGCCGTGGATGAAAACGGTTATTTGTGGATTGGTGGTGGGAATGCTACTATTAAAGTGTATAGTTATATCAAAGCGTAAGATTAGTTCAATATTTTTTATGTTCGTGCTTACAATAAAACATTGATAAAACTGCTGCAAATGTGTTTTTGTTTTTTCTGAAACTTATCCTGTTTTAAGCCACGCATATTACATAAAATTTTGGTCCCCAAAGCATCCGCAAGGGGGATGGAGAGGAGGTGTCCTCCAAAATTTCTGTTAAACACGTTTTGTGTTGAAAAATGCTAAAATCTCAGTAAAATGTGTTACCCCGTCTCCAAGCTACCAATGACATTGTATTTTACACCCACCCCTCGTTCCCACAATAGGGTTTTTTTTTAAATGAAGAATATGTTTATAAAGTTTCTGGCCTTGTGTTAAGAAGTTGTAGATTTCTTTAAGCACCTCTATCAAACAGCAAAGTGCAGGAATAACTCATGGCAGAAATATAAAATATTATTCAGTTATTGCCATGGTTATAAATTTAAGTAAAAAAAAAAATACAATTGTACTATAAATCTTTATTTACTGAAGACCAAGGATAATTACATCACAATCATTTACAACCAGAATTATAACATTAATATATGATTTACTTCAAAATTCATTGCACAATTATTGTGAGTGGTCAACAAGAGGTATAAATCAATAAATGACATGAAATATGCACGACAAAGCAATTGTATCCATACGAAAATGTGTACATCCTTCATATATTGTTGCATATGCATGGGGCAAATCAGTCAAGTGGTAGAGAATTCAAATTATATTTAGAAATTCAAAAAATGAATTACTACTCCAAATAAAATCTTAAACATACAGATTTATTTGCTCACAAAAATTACTACATTCTTCCTTAAATTTTTATTTCAATTACAAGAGAAGGGAGGAGTTCATCAAAAGCAATGGAGAAAATGGATGGATTTGGAAAAGTAAATTACTACTTTATTTCAAAAACAAAGTGTAACTAGTTATAATTGTAACGGGGACCGTTACAGATGTTCCCCAAACGCTCCCCAACACCCTTTTGGTGTCTTATTTCCTGTAAGCTTCATTAAATAAGCCAATGAAGTATATTGATAGTTTTTTGCATTTCACGCGCGCGCACGTGCATGCATGTGCAGGATGACCATGTCATCTCATCTATACTATTAATGCATCTTTATATTCTCAGTATTAAAACATTTCATCAAAAAAATAAATAAGTTCCAGCTATATCAAGTATATTGGTCATCTTAGCATTGCACGCATGCGCACCTGCATGCATGTTCATAATGACCATGCCATTTTGTCTACACTTATAATATGTCGGTTTATTCTTAGTATCAAAGCTTTTCATAAAAAAATATAAAAGTTATGGCTACATTAAGTATATTGGTCATTTAACACATTGCACGCGCGCGCATGTGCATTCATGAGCATGATGTCCACATCATCTTGTCTACACTTTTAATATATCTGTATATTCTTAATATCAAAGCTTTTCATAAAAAAATATAAAAATTACGGCTATATTAAGTATATTGGTCATTTAACACATTGCACGCGCGCGCACGTGCATGCATGCATGTGCACGATGACCATGTCGTCTTGTCTACACTTTTAATATATATAAAAATTTTGAGTATCAAAGCATCTCATCAAAAAGTATAAAAGTTACGAGTATATCAAGTATATTTGTCATTTTACGCTTTGCGCGTGCGCACACGTGCATGCATGTGCATGTTGACCATGTCATCTTGTTTACACTTTTAATATATCCTTATATTCTGAGTATCAAAGCATTTCATCAAAAAATATAAAAGTTACAGCTATATCAAGTATATTGGTCATTTTACGCATTGCACGCGCACGCACGTGCATGCACGTGCGCTCAAAATGACCTTGATTCCGCAAATCTACATAACATGCCTATTAACCCTAAAAAGGTTTCACCTCAATCGGATGAGTAGTTGACGAGATCACTCGCGGACAAAAAAGTACCCAGGAAGAAGAAGAAGAAGAAGAAAAATAATAATAACTAGAAACTCATTGCGAGCAATGAGAGGTCTTCCGTCCGATTTTGAAAATAAAAACGAAAATTCAAGCTGAAAAAGAGATAAAAGAAATTCAGACACTCTGGAGATTTAACTCTAGTCGTCAGCGTGAAAATCCAACGTGCTAACCATTTACCATTCACTTTTTTACATCACTTCCGGTCACGACCGGAAATACCGAAAGTAACGGCGATACAAGATTTTCTCACGATTCAAATAAACTGATGACTGACCATCAGTCCAGAAAGTTTTAGACCTTAGTCGTTTACTGTCGTTGCCGAGCAATATTGTGAGATCAAATTCTAATTTTGAGGACAGGTAAACACGAGACCGGAAGTGAATTTTATAAAAAATCTCTGACTTTTCTCTAGACATTTGCAGTATATACAACATACATAAAGTCATTTCAAGTACTTTATCGATGAGCAATATTTATGAGAAAGTTAAATATCAAAATAAAGTAGTTTATCTCCTAGAACCGGAAGTTGACGTTTTTATTTCTGGTGGAATCTAACATATTTCAAAACAGCGAAAGAGATGCAATAAAGTGATGCAAGCATTAATTTAAAAAAGAAAAGTTAGTTTTTTTTAGATTTCTTTGATCACTTACTGTGACAAGCGGAAGTGACGACTGACGCGTTTAACCCAAATGGTTTTGCCTACTCCTCAAGGTCTATTACTCATAAAAGATTGGTGTTTTATTCTTTTACCTGGTTTTGAGATCTCGCTCAGACAACTTCACATTTTGAGGACAGGAAGACATGCGACCGGAAGTGAATTTTTGAAAGATATTTAAGGTTACTCTAGACATTTGCAGTCTGAATAACATATTTAAAATTCATTTCAAATACTTTATCTAGAAAAAATATTGATGGGAAAGTAAAATACTCAAATTATGTAGTTTTTCTCTTATAACCGGAAGTTGTCATTTTTGTTTCCGGTGGGACCAACATCTTTCGAATCTGTGAAAAAGATGCAATGAAGTGATGCAATTTTTACTTAAAAAAAGAAAAATTGAAATTTTCGATTTCTTGGATCACTTCCTGTGACGACCGGAAGTGACGGCCGACGCTCTGAACCCAATTGGTTTTGCCTACATCTTAAGGTCTGATGCTCATATAAGTTTGGTGTCCTAATCTCTCACCGTTTCCGAGATCTTGCTCAGACAACTTCTCATTTTGAGGACAGGAAAACACGCGACCGGAAGTGAATTTTACAAAGATAATTAATGTTACTCTAGATATTTGCAGTCTAAATAACATATGTAAAATTCATTTCAAATACCTTATCTACAAAGGATATTAATGGGAAAGAAAAATACTCAAATTACGTAGTTTTTCTCTTATAACCGGAAGTTGACGTTTTTGTTTCCGGTGGGACCAACATATTTCGAAGCTACGAAAGAGATGCAATAATGTTGTGTAGGATTTGATTTGAAAATGCAAAGTTGAAATTTTACGATTTCTTTGATCACTTCCGTAAGCGACCGGAAGTGCCGACGACGAACGAAAAGGTGATTCTGTTCACCTATAAGTCATGCCCTATACTCTCTTACAAGTCTCCAGTTCATATCTTTTACCATTTTTGCAAAAAAGGGGCGACAAAATTTCATTTTAAAATCAGGAAATTGTCCATAACTTGGCACCGGAAGCGAATTTTCAAAATTCCTCCAAGATGTATCAAGTTCCTATAAATGCGCATTATTCCTGAAAATTTCATAGAAAACCACTGAATAATTGCTGAGAAATCGTGTGCACAAAATTTAGGGAAAAAAATAAGAATAATAATAATAATAATAATAATAAGAAACAGTAGAATCACTATAAGGTCTTCCGTGAAGACGGAAGACCTTAACTAGAAACTCATTGCGAGCAATGAGAGGTCTTCCGTCCGATTCTGAAAATAAAAACGAAAATTCAAGCTGAAAAAGTGATAAAACAAATTCAGACACTCTGGAGATTTAACCCTGGTCGTCAGCGTGAAAATCCAACGTGCTAACCATTAACCATTCACTTTTTTGCATCACTTCCTGTCACCACCGGAAGTAACGCGACACACGATTTTCATACGATGCAAATAAACTGATGACGGACTATCAGTCCTGAAAGTTTCAGACTTCAGTCATTTATTGTTGCCGAGCAATTGTGAGAACAAATTCTAATTTTGAGGACAGGAAAACACGCGACCGGAAGTGAATTTTATAAAAAATCTCTAGCGTGTCTCTAGACATTGCAGTATCTACAACATGTATTAAAACATTTCAATCCTTTTCTATAAGCGATATTATGAGAAAGTTGAATATCGAAATAACGTATTTTATCTCTTAAAACCGGAAGTTAACGTTTTTGTTTCCGGAGGAGTCTAACATATTTCAAAACAGCGAAAGAGATGTAATCAGGTGATGCAAGTTTCAATTTAAACAAGAAAAGTTGAATATTTTGATTTCTTTGATCACTTCCTGTGACGACCGG